CCTGAAACCAGGCATCAAGAAGCTTCACCACTTCTCCTTTCTCCCTCTTAGAATGTTGACCTGAGACTACCATGTGAAGAAGCCAGGTCTAGCCTCAGAAAAAAATGGTAAGAAAACTACTACTAAAGACTGGGAATATGGTTAGCTGTGTTAGGTAGCACTGAAACAATTGGCAAAACGACTACTCAACGGCCTACAGTAATTTGGGAGATAGAACATGTGTCTAATAAACTATGAACTTAGCTAAACAGAACTCTAGATAGTATGTTGAAAGTATCTTTTAGGTGCTTCTAACTGCATATAATAAGATATTCTGTTTGCAGGCAGAATTTAGAGGACATATAGAGAGGGCCTAAGACTTGCTGGGTTGTAAAATAAAATATCTCTCATCTCCAGTCTGCCCAGGTAGTAACTGACTTTGGTAAAGATCAATTTTAAAATGTCTTATCTTTTAATAAGACCCTTTGTTAAGATCTCAGAGACATTTAAGGCAGTGCCTTGTAGATACTCTCATTTAAGCAAAAGGGCTTCTAAGATTCCTAAGGGTGTTATTCCATAGCAGCCTGACAGACCCAAAGGAAAAAGAATTATGGATCTAGTGTTTGGAACATAGAGTTAAGCCTAATAAGATTCATAGAAAATCCACAGAGCGTTTAACATAGGTGTGTTGATGAAATCACAGCAAATTTGGTCTAAAAAGGCACTCATTCAAAATAAAAAGAAATCTCTGGAACTCCAACCTGCAGTGGGTAAGAAGCAGGCTAAGAAAGCTGTTCAGCTGTAAACATGAAGCCATTGTTTTTTTTATTTGTTTGCTGGGGTTTGGTTTTGTTGTGCTATGCTTTGTTTAGGAAAGGATCTATCAGAAGGTGGAGCTAAGAGCCAGAGAACAGTGAATTTGGGAACCATCATGGGGAACAGAACCGGGCTCTCGGGCTCTGCTCCCCAAGAGCAAGAGAAACAGACAGCATGCACCTGTCTGGAGTTCAGAATTGCCATGGATCAGTGACTGCTGTGTGTCTCACAGTCCCTTTATTTTTGAATGGCAGTGTCTATCCTGTTCCAGTCTCACCATTATAGATTAGGTGTCTAAGGGACAGAAAACTTGTCTGTTGAGGTCACAGGTCTCTGGATCAGAGAAGTGGTATCTGAGGAGTTACCTATGCCTCACCTGCCGATTCAAATAGCAATTCCCTCACCACCTTTCCAGCCTCCACCCCTGCCCAGTTCCAAACCCAATATCACACATTTGGGGGTTTCATTATGGTAGCACTTCATTCCTTGGTACCAATTTCTCTTTTATTTAGTCTCTGATTCATAACAAACCAGCTCAAAAGTAGTAGTATAAAACAATATTTTATTTGTTCTTAGTTCTGTGGGTTAGCAATTTGGGCTGGGCTCAGCTGGGGTCACTCACACAGTTGCAGTCAGCTGGAAGCTTTACTGGGGCTGGTTGGACTAATAATAGCCTCTGTCTGAATCTAGTAATATGTGTAGGCTGTCAGTCTAGGAGACATCAGATGGTTCATCTCTCCTCCATGTGGCTTCTCACCTAGTAAGGTAGACCTGGCTTCTGCCCACAGGTGGTGTTAGCATGGCATTCTAAGAATTCAAAAGCAAAAGCTATAGGGTCTCTTGAGCCTTAAGAGCTTGTGCTATGTCCCTAATGAACGCCTAGATATCAGAAACTGTTGTGGTCCACTCTGCAACAATCTAACACACATGATCTATAATTCTAGGTTGAAAATGACTTTCACTCAAAATTTTGAGGCATTGCTGCATTGTTGACTTTGAGAAAAATATCAGTTTATGTAACCTTTTCTTTTCTCTATCTCTGGAAGACTCGGAACCTTCTCACTTATACACTTAAGTTTCATAATGAGTCACCTTGATATGAGTTCTTCTCCATTCATTTTATTGACACTTCCTTGGTATTTTCCACCTAGAAATCTGGTTGTTTTGTGGGAATGTTCTTGTTTCATGTCTTTGATCACTTTCTCTCCATAGTTTTCTCTGTTTGCTCTTTCTAGAACTCCTATTATTTGGATGTTGGACCACTAAATGGATCCTCTAATTTTCTTAACTTTCCCACTTGTTAATCTCTTTATTTTGTTCCACATTTTGAGGGATTTCCCTAACTATATGTTCCTTCTCTTTTACTGAATTTTTAATTACAGTGTTCATGTTTTTAATTTTCAGGAAATCTTTCTTGTTCTCTAATTTTCCTTTTTTTTAAGATTTTATTTATTTATTAATGAGAAACACCGAGAGAGAGGCAGAGACACGGGCAGAGGGAGAAGCAGGATCCATGCAGGGAACTTGAACTCGATCCCGTGACTCTGGGATCATGCCCTGACCTGAAGGCAGACGCTCAACTGCTGAGCCAGCCAGGTGTCCCTCTAATTTTCCTTTTTAAAAGTATCATATTCTTTAAATAAATAAATAAATAAATAAATAAATAAATAAATAAATAAATAAATGTATCATATTCTTGTTTGCAGGATTTCCCTGATACTATTTATTACATCTTCTTTAAAGTTTTATTTCATTGCATTGTTTATATGTTCTTTGAGGTGGGGTTTTTTTCCCCTTCTTACTTTCAGTCTTTTTCTTTTGTAACAGAGGTCATTCTCAAATTCTTGTGATCCTCATCTGCTTGTTCATATTGAAAACTGCCAGAATGGGAACTGGTGCAGCCACTCTGGAAAACTGTGTGGAGGTTCCTCAAAGAGTTAAAAATAGATCTGCCCTATGACCCAACAATTGCACTGCTTGGGATTTACCCCAAAGATACAGATGCAGTTAAACGCCGGGACACCTGCACCCCGATGTTTATAGCAGCAATGTCCACAATAGCCAAACTATGGAAGGAGCCTCGGTGTCCATCGAAAGATGAATGGATAAAGAGATGTGGTTTATGTATACAATGGAATATTACTCAGCCATTAGAAACAACAAATACCCACCATTTGCTTCGACGTGGATGGAACTGGAGGGTATTATGCTGAGTGAAATAAGTCAATAGGAGAAGGACAATCATTATATGGTCTCATTCATATGGGGAATATAAAAAAACAGTGAAAGGGAATAAGAGGGAATGGATAAAAAATGAGTGGGAAATATCAGAAAGGGGGACAGAACATGAGAGACTCCTAACTCTGGGAAACAAACAAGGGGTGGTGGAAAGGGAGGTGGGCAGGGGGTGGGGTTGACTGGGTGACAGGCACTGAATGGGGCACTTGATGGGATGAGCACTGGGTGTTATGCTCTATGTTGGCAAATTGAACTCCAATAAAAAAAAAGTAAACATTAAAAAAATCAATAAATAAAAATTAAAAAATAACTGCCCGGAAGCTCTAGAGTATAGAAAAGACACTTTGCCTGGTGGGCTCCACTGTAGACCAAGCTGGTAGGCAAATGGCTTTTCCCTTGAGTATCTTTGGGTATTCTCTGGGGTAGTTTACTTTATCCAGAAAAGTTCTTACCAGTACTTCCCTTGGCCCAGAGCAAGAGAAGCCCCTGCCTTAGGCTCTGTGCTTTAGAGGGCCTCCCTCTGCCCACCCCTCCCTAAAGGGCAAGTTCATGCCCACCTGGCTCTTCTCTCTCTAGATTGTTCTCCGGGCACCTGAGATCACAGAATTCCCTGCCCAAATGACACTGAATATATTTCTAAGGCCTGTGTGTGCTTTTTCCCTGGAGGCACCCCAAGGCCTGAGAAGAGGTTAAATAAAGGGTAGATGTTTGTTGTGGAGCATAGGCAAGGTTTAGCTGTATGGGATCAGGCGTCCACACATCTGGGGTTCATGGTGCAGGACTGAGAAGAAAAAGGGTATAGGCTCTGGCTGGCAACCAGCCAGCTGTCCTCATGTCATCCTAGTCCTGTGCAGAGTGCCAAGGAGCCAGAATACTAAATTCACGTCTAAGTCCTTCTAAGTTGTTAAAGGTATTTTTGTCAAAGTTGGTAGAACATATCTTACTTAACATTTTGTTTGATTTATGAATTTGCAATATTTAGACATATGGCATATGGGCACCCATATGAACTTCGCCCAAGGGCCCTACATATGTTGAAAATGGACCTGCATCTTTCTGCCTCCTCACCTCACTTTCTGGGGTGCATGGGGGAAGGGGTGGGGTTACTTGCTCACTCTGCAGAGTTTCCCTTATTCTCCCACTTCCCATTGCTGGACACACTGCTACTTTCTCTAAACCCTGAAGCTACTCTGGCTGATATTCTTCAGACTATGCCTGCTGCCTCCTTGGAACGAACAAGTTGCCATAAACACAAGAGGCTACACCAAGGAAAAAAATGGAGTATAGTTTTCATGTGATACACCTGGGAGCCCAAGACTAGGGAACCTGAAATGGCTGGGCCAGCGTGCTATTGAAATACTACAGTTATAAATTAGTACATTTCTGGGGCGCCTGGGGGGCTCAGTCGGTTAAGCGTCTGCCTTCTGCTCAGGTCATGATCCTGGGGTCCTGGGATCCAGCCCCAAGTCAGACTCCCTGCTCAGCGGGGAATCTGCTTCTCCCTTTGCCCCCACTCCCCACCCCACCACCACCTTATGCTTGCTCTCTTGTTCGCACTCTCTCTCTCAAATAAATAAATAAAACCTTTTTTAAAAAATAAAAATAAATTGGTACATTTCTATTGGAAAACGTTATGACTCTACCTAGCAATATCTTCATAGTTATTGTCTTAGAATCCCACTCAGGTTTTTAGAGAATTAATTTAGCAGAAGCAAAAATAAGTAAGTAAATACAGAAATAGCCATGTTTAAAAGCAGAGTATATTGCTGTCTTACTTATAAAATTAAAAACTGGAAACATATCCTTCAATAGGGGCATATTTTAATAACTTATAATACATAACTGCAACTAGGCATCCACTTAACATTGTGAAGACTATTTTGAGGTATGCCAAATGTTTAGAGTGAAACGCAGAATACGAAAAGTGTGCACTGACTTCAGCCACTGGAAAGCAATTGTGTTTCAGGGGTAGAAGGGTCGTGAGGGTCGAATTTCCAATCCTTCTCCATAAGCTGACTTCATCTTTTCTGCTTAAAAAGTTTTAACTAGCTCCCTAGTTAGCCTTAAAAAAACAACAACAACAAACAAAAACCTGTATTTTACCAGACTGTGGATAAACGTGAGGTAATATTTCCTTGTCCCTCAGTAGGAGATGACAGAGTAACACTTTTTGATAACTACACATGAGTCTTAGTCCATTCTGGCTGCTATAACAAAATATTACAGACTGGGTGGCCTATAAACAACAGAAATTTATTTCTTATAGTTTTGGAGGCTAGAAGTCAACGATCAAGGTGCTGGCAGGTTTGGTATCTGGTGAGATCTTACTTGCTGGTCATACATGGCCATCTTCTCGCTGTGTCCTCCCAGGGCAGATGGGGGAAGAAAGCTCTCTGAGGTCTCTTTTATAAGGGCACCAATCCTATTCACGAGGCTCTATTCTCATGCTTCCAAAAGGCCTCCCTTCCTAATGCCATGACATTAGGGGTTAAGTTTCAACACATGAAAGGGGGGGATGGGCACAAAAGCATTCAGTCTATAGCAATACACTTCCTGCAACATCAGACACTAGCTGGGAAGGAAATCCTGGATCTTGGTCCCAACCAGAGCCTATAGTGTCCAGGACAAGTCAATATCTCAGAGTGATGATGACACAATTTGTTTCCAGCCACAGGTGGGAGAGAAAAACCAGGACAGGTCCTTACGCGGCTGTTTATTTTAGAAAGTGAATAAAATGTGGTTTATCCTGTAAACTACAAAAAGCAGGAACAAAGCAGCCCTTGAGAGTTAGAGTGGTGCTCAGTTGCAGTGGGAAAGGAGAGCCACAAGTAAACCAGGCAAAGGTGGATTCCTTGCAAAAGTCACAGGGCTTAAGCCTCTCATCTGCACAGATGCCTTCCAAAGCCCTTTCCTTTCACATGCATGGTAACATCCCCTTTTGTGCCTATTTTTTTGTATGGTTTTCTGAAGAATGATTTTTACATTGCTCAAGCTTCACGCACACAAAATCCGGATCTGCTATGGAGCCCAGTTTCTAGATATTAAAATAAGAGAGAGAGAGAGAGAGAGAGAGAGAGAGAGGCAGGTAGACAGAGACAGAGATCTGCTTGACCAAACAGCCAATTCAAAGCAACGTACTTAAGGAGCACCCAGGTGGCTCAGTGGTTAAGCGTCTGCCTTCAGCTCAGGTCATGACCCAGGGTCCTGGATGGAGTCCCACATCAGGCTCCTCGCAGGGAGCCTGCTTCTCCCTCTGCCTATGTCTGTTGCCTCTCTCTGTGTGTCTCTCATGAATGAATAAATAAATAATCTTTAAAACAAACAACAAAAAAAAAGCAGAGTACTTTAAAAAAGATCCTAAGAAAACAGGAGACTCCAAAAGAATGGTTGATGTCACATCAGTATGAAACTTAATCTGACCAAGAAATAATTCAGGAACTAACTTTTAAAGGATTCCAACGTCAATAATGAAAAGTTTCTCAGAGCTTCCACTAAAGGAAGCCAGGCGGAGAGAAGCGGGCTAATGTTGGCCATCCTTTGGGATTTGCCCATCCAATGTGAACTAGTTTTCAGCCTCCATTAAGTAACAAAATCTGCAGTGACTGAAAGCTGCCACGAGGTGGTAGACGTGGCTTACTCGACGTAATTACTTTGAGGCATGCGAAACACAAATGTTTCATTCTCAGATTTATGAAGTTTTGTGATTTTTCTCACTTTTCAGAGAAGGCTTAGCTCTGTTCAACAGCTTGCTCATAAAGGATGAGGTTTGTTCTGACTTTATTTTGGGAGTTTGCAAGGTGAGATGCATAGAATTTAATTCTGTTAGCACAAAACAGGTGAATTGCAAAAAGAATGGCTAGAAAGCGTCTGCCAGCTTTCTTTCTGCTTCCAGTTGTGCCCTGAACTCTCCCTGCAGTGAGAGGAGCCTTGGCTATTCTCAGAGATGTCAGGTGCACAGAGCTCTGCCTGCCTGGGGAAGGTTTTATCCACTGCCGGGCCCCCAGCAGGTGCCCTGCCTGGGAACATTCGAGTGCCCGCTGGTGTTCAGTTCTGGTGGGGGTCTCTGCATGTATTGGATCCTCGCAGCCTGTGCTCTCCTTGGCCACTCACCACTTCTCACCTGCATAAATAAAAGCTGAGAAAGGTGGAGCATATTAGTCTCAATGACTTCTTCTGAGCACAGCAAGATTCACTCTAAAAAGCAAAAGGCACTCACTGGAGTGGGCCTTGCAGGGCTTAACTTCTCTTGCTGCAGTTGCAAGTTTGAGGCAGGTTCCAAATGGTCTTTTCAAAAATAAAAATAATAATAAAATTATATTAAAATTAAATTAAAAAATAAAAATAAAAACAAAATGGTGTTTTCATCTCTTTCTTTGCCAAAGGCCCTGGAGGCCAGAGATGCTTGTGAGTGGGAGTGACATTCTGCTTTAGTCCGGACAGCTTTCTGTCACACAGAGGAGATGGCACTGTTCTGATCTTTGCAGAGCATTCCCTTCCACTCTGCATTCCCCCAGACCAGCCCCCACAATCCCAGATGTGCCCCTGACCCTTGGATCTCCTTCAAAGCACTCTGGTCTGCTGATCCTCTGATATGAACCACCATGCTCACTGAGTATAGAACTGAGGCTTTTCCTTTCCTCACAATCACCATTCAGTGCAAGGGGAGGCATCACTAGCCACCACACATCATGAGTGGTACTTTTTTTGCTAATGTTTTTACTTGTATCAAATGCAAAACAATTTGCTTAATAAATAACATGGCTTTCCTAACTTTACACACCAAGAAGCTAGAAAAAAGCAAAAAAGCCCAAAGTTAGCAGATGGGGGGAAATAACAGACTAGAACCAGAATAAATGAAATAGAAAATAGAGAAACAGGGGCGCCTGGGTGGCTCCAGTGGGTTAAGCCTCTATCTTAGGCTCATGAGGTCATGGTCTCAGGGTCCTGGGATGGAGCCCTGAGTTGAGCTCCCTGCTCAGAGGGGGGTCTGCTTGTCCCTCTTCCTCTGCCCCTCCCCCTGCTTATGCTCTCTCTTTTCCTCCCCCAAATAAATACATAAAATCTTTAAAAAAAAGAAAATAGAGAAACACTAGAAAAAATCAACAAAACTAAGAGTTGGGGCTTTGAAAGGATAAACAAAATTGAAAAACCCTTCACTAGACTAAGGAAAAAACAGAGAAGACTCAAATATAAAATCAGAAGGAAAGAAGAATGATTACAACCAATGGCACAGAAATAAAATGGATCATAAAAGACTGCTATTAACAACTATACTCCAACAAAATGAATAGCCTGGAAGAAGTGAATAAATCCCTAGAAACATACACCTTAATGAGAGTAAATCATGAAGAAATATAAAGCCTGAACAGACCTATAAAAATATAGATATTGGGGGATCCCTGGGTGGCGCAGCGGTTTGGCGCCTGCCTTTGGCCCAGGGCTGATCCTGGAGACGCAGGATCGAATCCCACATCGGGCTCCCGGTGCATGGAGCCTGCTTCTCCCTCTGCCTGTGTCTCTGCCTCTCTCTCTCTCTCATTGTGTGCCTATCATAAATAAATAAAAATTTTAAAAAATATATATATAGATATTGGGATCCCTGGGTGGCGCAGCAGTTTGGCGCCTGCCTTTGGCCCAGGGCGCGATCCTGGAGACCCGGGATCGAGTCCCATGTCGGGCTCCCGGTGCATGGAGCCTGCTTCTCCCTCTGCCTGTGTCTCTGCCTCTCTCTCTCTCTCTGTGTGACCATCATAAATAAATAAAAATTAAAAAAAAAAAAGAAAGAAAGACACTTAACTGACTGAGCCACCCAGGCACCCTAGGAATAATCTTAATTAAAGAGATGAATGATTGTACACTGAAAATGCAAAGCAATGGTGAAAGGCATTAAAGAAAACACAAACAAAAAAACACACACACACAAAAGAAAAGAAAACACAAACAAATGGAAATGGATGTTTCCCATGTTGATGGATTGGGAGACTTAATATTGTTAAGATGCCACACTATCCAAAGCAATCTACAGATTCAATCCAATCTTTATCAAAAAATACTAACAGCATTTTTTTTGCAGAAATAAAAAAGCAATTCTATCATTGATATGAAACCATAAAAGACCACAAATAGCCAAATCACTCCTGAAGGAGAACAAATCTGGAGGCTCCACACAGTATATCCTGATATTAAAAATATATTACAAAGCTACAGTAATTAAAGCAATAGGACACTGGCATAAAGACAGACATATGGACTGATGGAACAGGACAGAAGACACAGAAATAAACCCACATGCCTACAGCCAACTGATGTTCAATACAGGTACCAAGATATACAATGAGGAAAGGATAGTCTCTTCAACAAAGATGTTGGAAAAAGTAGATGTCTAAATGCAAAAGAATAAAAGTGGGCCCTGATCTTACACCATACACAAAAATCAACTCAAAATGGATTAAGAACTTAAACATAAGACCTTAAACTATAAAACTCCTAGAAAAAAAACATAGGGGCAAAGCTTCATGACACTGGTCTTGGCAGTGATTTCACAGATATCACATCAAAAACACAGGCAACAAAACGAAAAATGTTCAAGTGGGACTACATCAAATTAAAAAGCTTCTGCAAGGCAAAGGAAACAATCAAGAGTGAAAAGGCAATCTACAGAATGGAAGAAAATATTTGCAAACTGTATATTTGATAATGGGTTAATCTTCAAAATAGATAAGGAACTCCTACAACTCAGTAGCAAAACAAAAAACTAATAACCTGATTTTAAAATGAGTTGAGAACTTGAATAGACATTTCTCTTATTTTTTTAAATTTTTTAAATTCCAGTATAGTTAACATACAGTGTTATATTAGTTTCAATTACACAATATAGCAATTCAACGATTCTGTACACTCCTCAGAGCTCATCACCATAAATGTACTCTTAATCCCCTTCATCTATTTCACCCAACTCCCCCCACACCTCTCTTCTGATAACCATCAGTTTGTTCTCTCTAGTTTAGATTCACAGAATCTAAGAGGTGATGGTGGTTGCCAGGGGCTGGTGGGAGGGGAAATAGGGAGTTACTAATCGACAGGCATAAAGTTTCAGTTAAGCAAGATGAGTAAGTTCTCAGAGATCTTCTATATAAATATTGTACCTACAGTCAACAATAATTATTGTACACATATTTGTGAAGAGGTTAGATTTCATGTTAATTGTTCTTACTACCATAAAATAATATCTTCTTTTTTAAAAAATGCAATTCAGGGTACCTGAGTAGCTCTGTTGGTTGTTTGCCTTCAGCTCAGGTCATGAACTTGGGGTCCTGAGATTGAGCCCCGTGTTGGACTCCCTGGTCAGTGGGGAGTATGCTTCTCTCTTTCCCATTACCCCTCCCCCCTGCTCTCTGTCAAATAAATAAATAAAATCTTAAAAAAGAAAAGAGAAAAGCACCCAGAGATTCTTTCTAAAGACAAGATAACAGTGTGGAGAAATGGCAAAACAGACGTTCAGTATTCCCAGGGAGCTTCATTAAAGATCTCACCTAATTACTTCCAGTATGGAAAGAGATAAGTCACTAGGATAAAAGGTCCAGCATAGGGAATATAGTCAATGATATTGTAATAGTGTTGTACGGTGACAGATGGTAGCTACACTGGTGGTGAGCACAGTATAACATACAGGGTTGTTGAATCACTCTGTCGTACACCTGAAACTAACATTGTCTGACAACTACACTTAATCTAAAAAAAAAAAAAAAAAAAAAAAAAAAAAAAAGTAGTGATCGAAAAAAAGAGCAAGAGAGAATTATAACAGAAAAAAAAAACCTCACCTGGGGCACCTGAGTGGTTCAGATGGTTAAGTGTCTGCCTTTGGCTCAAGTCATGATCCCAGGGTCCTGGGATGGAGCTCCCTGCTCAGCAGGGAGCCTGCTTCTGTCTCTCTCTCTCTCTCTGTTCTCCCTCTGCTTCTGCTCTCTCTCTCTCTCTCTCTCTCTCAAATGAATAAATAAAAACAAAAAAAAGAAAGAAAGAAAAAGAAAAAGCCTCATCTAAATAAAGTTATCATACTTAAAACACATAGGGGAAGATTGCTGGGTGCAACCTAGTCCCTGTGCTGCATTTGCCTCATGGAAAGCACAGAGGCCTCAGAACATTCCCTCCCCCAGCGTGGCCAGTGCACACGGGAAGAGTAGGAGCTCCACAAAGCCCACAAGAGCTCTCTCTACCCTCGAGAACTCTCCTTGTTCAAAACATGGAGTTCTACTGAACCATGTGCCAATCTGAATAAAAGCAGACATCATTGTAAAAGAGAAACTTTAATTTATGCTGAAAAAACTTTTTAGGAGATAACATCCTGATGTTAGTCAGAAGCAGGTAAATCAGGGCATTCTGCATTTTCTTTCAACACAGGACACACCTGAGATCCTACAGACAGGAAACGTGGGGAGGATAAATCCAAAGACATATGCATCAGGTACACTCCAAAGTTCACCTGTGAATAAGACAGCAACAAGCTCGATTATTTGAGCAGTTGAAATAATTCTGTAAATAATGTTCAACTAAAATCAAGACAAATCTCGGGGATCCCGGGGGGCTCAGTGGTTTAGCCCTTGCCTTCGGCCCAGGGCGTGATCCTGGAGTCCTGGGATTGAGTCCCACATCAGGCTCCCTGCATGGAGCCTGCTTCTCCCTCTGCCTGTGTCTTTGCCTCTCTGTCTCTGTCCCTCTCTCTCTCTCTCTGTGTCTCTCATGAATAAATAAATAAAAATATTTTAAAAAATAAAATCAAATAAAGTCAAATCTTTAAAGACATGTCCGAGAATCTGTAGTGGGAAACAAGAATCCCAATTTCAGACACCAAGGATTCTCGTTTAAAATGTCCTTTCCTGGGCGCCTGGGCAGCTCATCAGTTAAGCATCCAACTCTTGATTTTCGCTCAGGTCATGATCTCAGGGTCATGAGATGGAGCCCTGAGTCAGGCTCTGTGTTAAGTGTGGACTCCACTTGGGATTCTCTCTCTCCCTCTTCTTCTGACTCTCCCTTCTCCCCACCCCCGTGATCTCTCTCTTAAAAATACATACATACAGGGCAGCCTGGCTGGCTCAGCGGTTTAGCACCGCCTTCAGCCCAGGGCCTGATCCTGGAGACCCAGGATGGAGTCCCATGCCGGGCTCCCTGCATGGAGCCTGCTTCTCTCTCTGCCTTTCTCTCTCAATCTTTCTCTCTCTCTCTCTCTCTCTCTAATAAATAAATAAAAAATCTTTAAAAAATACATACATATATAATACTATCCTCTCCTAAAAGTCACCCACACCTGTTTATTGCTGGACCCATTCTTTTTTCTCCTTCCTCTATACCCTGAGCTTCCAGTAGGAGGGCTTGCATCCTGCTCTTTGTTTCTCACCACTGTCAGGCCAATTTCTGCTCTGTTCCCTGATGTAAAAACTATTTTGTGAAAATAATAGCAAAACTCTGCATTTTCTTTGTTGTGATTTTTTTTTTTAATATCATGTAGGTTAAGTTCTCCAAACTCTCTAGGATAAAGATGGAAAGTCCACAATAAAGAGCTGTGTGAGTCTACTCAAAGTTCGCCATCAATGCAAGTGAGCCAAAAAGGACCTTTTGGAGCATGTGACGTGCTCCCAGAGCTGTTCACTGCTGTGATAACATCAGCTGGACGCCCCCATGTTCCAGGCCTCAGGCTAGAGGCTAAGGCCAAATTAATTCCTTAAGATTTGTGCACATGTGGGTGAAGGGTACACAAGAATTCTCTGTACTCTCTTTGCAATTTATCTGTAAATCTAAAATTATTCCAAAAATTATTTTAAAAAAGAAAAGATATGTGCACATGAGAATTACAGTGATTCTAAGAAGTATTTTTTCCTTCCATGCCCACCATCCCCTCCCCTAGCACCCTTGGCATGGCAGGCCCAAGGTCCCCACACCCCCAGGGGAAATGACTTGCCTCACTGAGCACATAGACATGTTGGTAAAACACTCAAGTGCAGACCATATCTATCCTGTACCTGTAGGGAGACTGTGGCAATTACATACTGTGAACAAATCCCAGTTTTGGAGAAAGAACAAATCCCAGTTTTGGAGAAACACAGGAAACAGTGCAGAACATTTTACTATGAGTTAACTTTCTAACTTACTATTGGAGAGAGATTAAATATTTACATTATTTCAGTTAACTTTCAAGAAATGCTCCATGCAGGCTGACTACTTACCTGGCTTCCTATAATTCTTGGGAAACAAAACCAGAAAGTACTAGCCTAGACACAGATCTTCCTAAAGAATCAATCTGTGAGAAATTCAGTTTCTATAATCTGGCCTCCACAAAAACAATATTTGGGCATATGAACCCTCAAGATTATTTACAGGCTTCTGAGAGTAGAATTTACTGAATCTAAGTAGTGCAGCTCCACTACTTACCAGGGGGGCATTTTACTCTCATGAGACATCCATGGAGAAGAAAATAATGATCAATACAAAAAAATTACTTTGCTTATTTCCTTATTTCTTATTTACACCCAATATCCCTTTAATGAAATTTGACAGCATCAAAAATACACATAATAAGACCCAAAATAGTAAGGAAGTGATAGAAAGGAAAAATAAGATGGGTCCGTGGATGAGGTCAGCCTTAGGATGTGTCCCCACTTCTAAAACTTAACTCAGCACTATTACTCAGAACTACAGTTCTGGTGTGGATAATGAGCCAGGATCTTAAAACAGGTGCCATGGTTCACAATCATGCTTACCTTTCTCTCGCGCCTCTCAGAAAGCTTTTGAAAGACATTTTGGTTTCGCTGCCCAGTTTGCTGGTCGATGCAGATCATCTGGCATCTGTGACAAGGCCCCGAAACCTGGGAGGTGAGAAGGGAAAAGAGAGTGTTGCCATGAAAATGACCAGACACTCCTGCTGTGCAGGTAGGAAGCAGAGTCCGGAAGACTGGTTGTAAGAGGTAGAGTCTCCAGCCCCACTCACACAGAGAAATGCTCAATATTCTAACAGCAAGGAGCCAGAAAGTGGCACCTCCTCAGGTCATTGGTCATCTACTGAAAGACTCCCACCTCAGGGCTTTGTAGAGAAAAAAAAGAGGGGTTGTGAATCTTGGATGGCTTTCAAATGAATCCTGGGGATCCTCCCAGGAAGAAAAGAAATAACTGATTGGAGGGGTAAAAGGGGAGAAGATCAATACCTACGGACCCAGCACTGAGTCCTCTGAAAGAACCTTACAAAGTCCATGCCCTTTGACCCAGAAATTTCATTTCTAGGAATTTCACCCAAGAAAAGAACCACAAGTAGTAGGGGAAATCTGGGAGTGTCTTAAACATCAAAGAGTAGAAAAGGATGGCCACACTCCATGTATGTATCATGCAGGTATTAAAATTACCTCTATAAAGGGCTTTATTTTTTTAAGATTTTATTTATTTATTCATGACAGACAGAGAGAGGCAGAGACATAAGCAGAGGGAGAAGCAGGCTACCCACAGGTTGCCCCATGAGGGACTCAATCCTGAAAATCCGGGATCAGGCCCTGAGCCAAAGGCAGCCGCTCAACCGCTGAGCCACCCAGGCATCCCTATAAAGAGCTTTAAATGAAAGGGGAAATATTTACTTTTATAAGTGAAATAAGCAGGAAACAAAACATATACACACACACACACACACACACACACACACTGTCTTGACAGGGGTCATACCATATGGTAGAACTTCTATTCTGCTTGGTCTGCCATGAATATGAATTGCTTTAAAGCGAGAAAATCTCCCATAAGTGTTAACACAAAAAAAAGAAAGTATGCACTCAGCGGTGACAAGACGCTTCTTTTGTCTCACATATAAAAAGAGCAAAGGCACTTGATTTTCTCCTTTGCTCCTCTGCTCACCCATGGGCGCAAAGTAAGCACTGAAATCAGAAACAGGGCAGCCCCCGTGGCGCAGCGGTTTAGCGCCGCCTGCAGCCCAGGGCGTGATCCTGGAGACCCTGGATCAAGTCCCACGTCAGGCTCGTATGACGCCTGCTTCTCCCTCTGCCTGTGTCTCTGCCTCTCTCTCTCTGTCTCTATGAATAAATAAATAAAATCTTAAAAAAAATAAAAAATAAAAAAGAGAAATCAGAAACAACTAAATCTGGATGTGTCTTGGCCTTTCCTATCCCTCGCTCCCTGGCTGGTGGGCACTAAACCAGGGGAAGCGTGCCCTCACCATGGTGCCGAAGTCAAGGTCTGTAGGCCTCCATAAGCAGCTGGAGTGCGCTGTACGGGCCTCCGCCCAGCACTTGCCTCAATACTGGGTAGACCTACGACCTCTCAAAGCCCTATTTCCTCATCCAGCCCCTTAGCTTGATTTGGTGATTTCTAAGATGTCAAGCCCAGGCCTGGCACTTAGTCATGCTCAAAAGTGGAAGCTCTCATTATAACACACAAGAATCCCCAAGATGGAACAAGACTTCCAAAAGATCAGAACACTAAGCCCTCCAGAATCAAATACAGAACATTTTACCTTCTCTGCCTAGAACATTATGATTGCCAGGCCAGGCTCCCTCTGACTCTGCAGAGCCATGTCCCTCAGAATAGATGTCCCACAGAAGGGATGTCCCACCAGCCCCGGGCCCCAGCAGCCACCTGACAGACAACACTTGAAGTAAAAATCCTGTCACTTTGGTGAAAAGACTCTCTTAACACAGTTTCTCAAGCTGGCAGAAGGAAAGATATTTTCCAGGCACTTTTTTCAAACACCAAGACAGAGAAATCAACTTTCTTACAAAACCGTAATTTTTGGGACGTCTGGGTGGCTCAGTGGTTGAGCGTCTGCCTTCGGCTCAGGGCATGGTCCCAGGGTTCTGGGATCAAGACCCATATCGAGCTTCCTGCGTGGAGCCTGCTTCTCCCCCTGCCTGTGTCTCTGCCTCTCTCTCTCTCTTTGTGTGTGTCTCTCATGAATAAATAAACAAAATATTTTTTTTAAAAACACTGTAAATTTAAGCTTTTTGTTCTAGTACTCTTATCCATTGGGATTGTAAAAAATTGTTTACTAGCATACAGGTTCTTTGAAAAATAACTCAAATGATACAGAAGCTTTAAGAAATGAGAAAGCACTTAGCAGTAGCCTCTCTATCCATCCTCAGAGGCAAAGGCCACTAACATGGCTGTAGGTCACTCCAGACTGCAGCTTATAGCTGGACACGACACCCCATGCACCTGCATAGCACACTCACTGCACTCTGAAAGACCACTGAGTTTCCTCCCTGTTGGCATCACTCCACAATACATCTTGGACATCCTTCCATGTCTGTACAGAGACGACCCCATCCCTGAGCTTTGCAATGTTCAGGATGGCCTGGCATTCCTGGGAGCTGATGTTCTTCACTGTTCTACAAAGCCATGTCAACAGTTTCTAACTCTTTGCTGTTATCGATAATTTTGCAATAAAGGTCTTAATCCACATAACCCTCTTTGAGCTCTGACGTTTTTTGTTTTTGTTTTTGTTTTTAGCATCAATCTCCCTAAATGTGACTCTAAAGCCAACACATATCCAAGTTTCTAAGACCTGATGATTCCCAGTGAAAATTTACTTTCAAAAGAGATGTGCTTGGTTGAAATTTACTTTTCAAAAGAGATGTGCTTGGCTCAGCGGTTGAGTGCCTGCCTTCAGCCCAGGGCGTGATCCTGGAATCCCAGATCAAATCCCCCATCGGGCTCCCTGCATGGAGCCTGTTTCTCTCTCTCTGCCTATGTCTCTGCCCCTCTCTCTCTCTCTGTGTGTGTGTGTGTGTCTCCCATGAATAAATAAATAAAATCTTAAAAAAAAAAAAAGAGATGTGCTAAAGCTTTTTGCATTGCAACGGCCTCAGCCTGAGTATTAGCAACAGCAAACGTCTTTTAAGCATTTAGTTTTTGAAAGGCACGGTACTAACTATAGTTTATACTTTTTAGTGTTTGCACAGGACCACATTGTGTGAAGATAATATAATTTATTTAACCAGTCTCCCTTTTTGTGCATATGTAGGATAGCCTCCAATTCTTCATATTTAACATCATAAGCACTACAATAAGTAGGTTTGTAACATAGCTCTGCATACATGTATTACTGTATTTTGTGGAATAGATTTCTACCCGTGAAAGAATTGAGCCAAAGGGCAGGCATAGTCTCACTTTTATTAATGAATGTTTATTAAGTGACCTAAAGAAAACAGAGCATCTCATAAAAGTTTCTTAAAGAATCTTCCCTGTATGCACATCTCTGGGGTACCTGAAGAGCCACAAGTGCTATGGTTTCTGGGTGAGTTTCTGACAGTGACAACAAACTAGTTCTAGTTCTTTCGTTATCCTCTTCTTTTCTTCCTTTATTTCTCCCTCCTCTTCATTTATCAAACAACATAGATTAGCACCTACTCAATATCAGGCAGGATACCTAAGAGCAAGTGTTTTAAAGACATGACAAGGACACAGCAACAGGAAATAAGAGGACATCAGGAGTCAGGGATAAAAAAAAAAAAAAAGGAGGAGTCAGGGATAAAGGGGTGGGGGAGGTGGCAGTAAGACTAGTGCCAGTGAGAGGTCTGTGGGAGTGAATGCCACAGAGAGAAGAAATTGTTTTTTTCAAGAGGGAGCAGCTGCCAGGATAAGAGGAAGTCTGGGGAGTTAAATGGATAAAAGAAGTTCTCTAGGACATTTTAGCGTCATGCAGATTGAACCACCCTCCACAACCTCAGACCTCTGACATTCTTCAAAAGATTTATTGTTTTAATTTACTGCTTTTCTGGATATTACAGTGGTGTCTCTTCCAAGTGCAGAGCCAGGACACAAGGTAGCCCAGTATAGTCATTATACCATTGATTAATAACACTACTATCAAAATAGTTTCATGCCCCCACTAAAGAACTGGGCACATTCAGTGCAGATGCCCTATCCTTCCGTCCCTAGCTATTCCTTATCTTTCCTGTCAACTCATTCTCTCAACAATTACTGAGCACTGACTCCCAGCCAGGACTGTTCTGGGCCCTAGAGGGACAGCAGGGAACAAAGACTACTTAAGCCCCACCCTTGTATGCCCTGAAGGAATAAGCAGGTAGTATGCAGACTCAGAGTTTTTCAAGGAAGTGATATCTGAGCAGAGGTCCTGAAGTGGCAGCAGGAAGAACATGCCAGGCCTAAGGGACAGCAGGGACAAAGGTGCTGAGACAGGACGCTTGGCCTGTTTAGAGAGTGGAGAGAAGGGTGGTATGGCAGGTAGGGGTGAGGGCTGGCAAGCTCGGAGAGGTTGGAGAGGTCAGAGGGCTCAGGGCTCTGGGGCCCTTATTGACTCCAAGAAAGAATGCAGGTTTTAACCTAAGACTTCCTCACATCTTCCATGCCCATTGCACAATTTGGGGAGCTCAGAGCCTGGGGAGAGACAGCAAGCCATGGCTTTGCCTCTGACTACGAGCTCCTCCACAATGACCAGTGAGGCCAGAAGGCAGAGCGTGGGAAGAGGGTGGAGTGGCCATGGGCACTGAGGGACCGCTAGGCATCTGGGACCTTCTCCACCAGACAGCAGTAAAGTCCAACAGGTTTCATGAGGATAAAGTTCTCATAGACACAGCATTCTAAGAAAACAGAATCTAAGCCTGAACATAGTGAGGGGGTGGAGGTGGCACTGAGCTTGCAATCACCTGTATGGGGCATATTCTCTCTGCCCCATGTGAAATTAACTGTTGCTGCCCTCGTGGGGAATAAACAACAGATCCTTCCCAGGGGAGTCCCAAAATGTAGATGTCAAAGGACTCTCCTTTAAGAGTCGAAGAGAGGCATTCCCGCCTACCACCACCCTGGCCTTAGATAAAGGTCAGTTTCCATTTGCAACCCTTGAGGAAGGGTAACTGAACTTCCCTCAACTCACCTGGAAATGCAAGGAACCAATAGAGATCTCATCCCACTTCTCTTCTTCAAAAGCCCTTGTTCCATTGGTAATAATATTGGCACGGAAACGTGAGATGAGGTCTTTCATTGGGAATAACTCCTCCTTTCCATTCTCATCACTGTTTAAGACATACCGAAGGGGGGGGGTGGTTAAGTGAGGAGAAGTGGGTAAGTGCATTGTTTTATTTATTCAACATTTCTAGCACTTGATGCCTGACTTCATCAGCTGCACTCTGACCTGAGGCCTAGATGATCAGAATAAGCTTCTGCCATGAGTATAAGGCCAACAGACACCCATTTGTTTAATAGACCTTGATGGTGTCCCCTGGGAGATAGTCCCATCTCCATGAAGAGGCCTACTAGAGGCAGCACAAAGGTGAGTAGATCTTAGCAGAAAAGCTGAAGGATTCTGAAAACCAAATGAACAGGGTCAAGTGAACAAACATCTATGAAAATACCAGTTCTATGAGGTGAGTCCAGGCAAGGCATTTAAAGAGTGTCAATAGGCTTAGCTACCAAGGACCTAAAATGTTGCAAGACCTCATACTCTTTTTCTAATATCATAAAGCAACAGGTACCTATGGGAGGTTTTAGTATTTATTTCCTATAGAGAACAGACTGGTGGTTACAAGAAGCAGGCACGGAAGCAGTCGAAATGGGTAAAGGGAGTCAAAAGATACAAGCTTCCAGTGCTAAAATAAATACATCATGGAGATGTACAGCATGATGACTATAGTTGTTACTACTGTACTGCCTATTTGAAGATTGGTTAGAAAGAAAATCTTAAAAGTTCTCATCTCAAGGAAAAAATTTGTATGTGGTGACAGATGTTAATTTGACTTATTGTGGTGATCATTTGTTAATATATACAAATAGTGAATCATTATATTGTACATCTGAAGCTAATGTAATATTGTATGTCAATTAGATGTTGATAAAAACAAATTTACTTCTTAACTTTTATCCTGTTTGCAGTTTTAACTAGCATATGCTATATTTGTAATTCTTGTTTACAATCTCTGCTTACTGCCACGAGGCCCCATACAAGGGCTCTTGGCACCTCCATGCACCCCCTCCCCCAAGTGAAAAAGCACTGAAAAAAAGCATTTAAAAACTTCAGCAAAAGAACACACTGTATAATCCCATTATACTGGGTTCAAGAATAGGTGAGACTATCTCTGGTGAATGAAGTCAGAATAGTGATGACCTTTGATAAGGCTAAGAGGGGATACAAGGAAAGTTTCTGGTTTACTAGAAATGTTCTCTATTTGATCTGGGTCGTGGTTACATGGGCATATACATCTGTAAAAAGTCATTGAGCTATGTCCTTATTATTTTCCTGCTTTGTTGTGCCTCAACAAAAAATAAATAAATTTTAAGTTGGGGGGGGATCCTTAAGTATGACTGAATTTTCCCTGGAAACAGAACTGAAAGTCTCTAGTGGAGGATAAGGCTATATCTCAATTCCCTTCCAAACAGGGAATGGTGTGTGAAAAGCTGGGAGCCAGGAGAACCACCTCTAGCTTTGCCCCTATGTATAACTCCCATAACTGATGAACCGAGAACTACAGTTTCCTCATCTGAAATGCAAGAGCTAGCACTTTCCAGTCCTAAAATCCTTTGATTCTGGATTTACCCTCCAGGTTACAAACCTTTCTTTTGTCCTCTGTAAAAAGAAAAACTGTATGTTTAAAAGCTAATGTGGTCAGCATATATAACATAGAGTCCGTCAGATTTGAAAGCAGAACAGAGATACAGCAACCAGAGCCCCTAGCGACCCTCTCAGGTACTAGGCACAGGCTGGTCCTCTTACCTTCTCTGCCTACTTGCTGTTTGTCAGCCCAGCATTAAACCAACTGGTAGGAAACATGGTCCCCTCCTGGTAGGAACCAGAACTGGAGCAAGCCTGTCTCCATCTCCTAGTTTTCCACACCAAGAATCCTAGAAAACTGCTGACCTGCCCTCCCCAAGGGTTCTGAGTGCCTGAGGAGAAGTGTCACTCTGTGCCAGGCTAGCTCAGTGAACACCCAGGGCCCATGCGCTTGGGCTCTTATGAACCCAAGAAGGGTGAGCTGGGCCACAGCCAGGGAACTGTGTTGTATGGTTTTGCCAATGACTATAAAGAGGAATTACAACAGTCCATCTTTGTCATTTTTATTAAGCTATATTTGTCCATATTTGTGAGTATGCACACATGTGCCCAGGACTACATGGCATGTGAGAGTTACAGGATCCCTGGCTCATGGTGACAGGCATATACACACCCCTCCTAGCCTGTGGACCAGGGATGAGCAGTCCATCCAGCTCTCACAAAACAACGGGGTAATTCTTTTTGCCCTGATTGTCTGATTACCTCGAGACTTCAATTTCCTCTAAAGAACAATGAAGGGAGTTGAACTAATCCTTTCTAGAGCTGACCCGCTAATATGTCAGGCCCTTGGAAGAGCACTGGATGGGAGCAGGCAGGCAGTCATGTCGGTTCTGTCTGATGATACAAACAAATAATATCTATAGTTACAATTTTAAAAGCTTTCATAATCACTCTTCTTTTCACTCAAAATGACTGTGGAAGTAGGGCAAAGCTCCTAGGGGACAGGGAGTAGTAGAGGGCAGGCAACGAAACTGGGTCAAGTTCATTTCAATTAGAGCAAATGTTAAGAGATGGAATGATTGGGGTGCCTGGGTGGCTCAGTCAGTTAAGTGTCTGCCTTCTGCTCAGGTCATGATCTCAGGGTCCTGGGACTGAGGCCTGTATCGGACTCTCTGCTCAGCCAAGAACCTGCTTCTCCCTGCCCCTCCCCACTACTTATGCTTCTCTCTCATTCTCTCTCAAATAAATAACTAAAATTTTTAAGAAAGAGAGAAAGAGAGAAGGAGGGAGAGAGAGGAAGGAAGGAAGGAAGGAAGGAAGGAAGGAAGGAAGGAAGGAAAGAAAGAAAGAAAGAAAGAAAGAAAGAAAGAAAGAAAGAAAGAAAGAAAAGAAAGAAAATAAAAACAAAGTTAGGGTTGACTAAGCATCATGAAGGCATCAAGAGAGATGTGGGAACTGGACCTAAGGGCTTTGCAACTTCTCAGGGCCTCAGTCTCTCATCTAGACTCCATGACTCCCCAGGTAGGTGCCAGGCTCACTCCCAGAGTCAAGTGGTTACACATGTCTGCTATGCCCAAGGCAAAAGGTCTTACCTGGCATTTAATTGCTGCTGAAGCTCCAAAACACTGGATCTGTTTATCAGCAAGTACTGTGCTTCATTCACCAGAGAAAGGCTGGCTGTTGTACCAGCAGGCTGATCTAAAAGTGATGGAGTATTTTAAAAAGAAGTTGCAATATATGGAAATAATCTAAGTATCTATCGATAGATGAATGGATAAAGAAGATGTGAGATATACATATATATATATAATATTATTATAATATATAAAATATATATAATATTATTCAGCCACAAAAAAGAATGAAATCTTGGGGTGCCTGGGTGGCGCAGTTTTTTAAGCATTCAACTCCTGATTCGGGCTCAAGTCATGATCTTGGTGCTATGAGACTGAGCCCTGCATCTCTCTGCTAGAGATTCTCTCCCGCCCCCTCTACTTCTCCACCTGCTCACATTCTCTCTCTCTCTCTCAAATGAATAAGTAAATAAAATCTTTAAAAAAAAAAAAAGAAAGAATGAAATCTTGCAGTTTCTGACAACATGGATGGAGCTTGAGGGCATCATGCTAAGTGAAATAAACCAGACAGAAACGCCATATGATCTCACTTATATGTGGAATCTAAAACAAATAAAAACAAAACAAAACAAAATAAAAAACAAGCTCATAGTTACAAAGAACAGATTAGTGGTTACCAGAGGCATTGAGGAGCGGGAGCAAGATGGATGAAGGGAGTCAAAAGATAGAAGCTTCCAGTTGTAAAATAAATACATCATGGGGATGTAATGTACACCATGGTGACTGTAGTTAATAACACTGTACTGCATTTTTGAAACTTGCTAAGAGAGTAAATCTTAAAAGTCCTCATCACAAGAAAAAAATGTGTAACTATATATGGTGACAGATGTTAACCAGACTTATAGTGGTGACCATTCCTCAATATATACAATATCGAATCGTTATGTTGTACATCTGAAACTAATATATGTCACTTATACCTCAATAAAAGTTTAAATAAATTTAAAAAGAAGAGTTGTTTTCTTAGAATGCAAATGAATCATGCTTCCATTAGCTTGCATTTTTAAAAAGTAGAGACTATTTCTACAAGGGAAAAAAACAGTGCCCTGGAAATAATAAAAATGTTCCAAGCACATCTGGCTCAAACCTCCCAGAGACAGAAAGAAAATGAGCTCCTAGAATACTGTTAATAACCCAGAAAAAAAAATAATAATAAAATGCTGAAATTGGTCCAGCAAAGAAGACCTAGATGCAACATTTAGGGGAGAGATGAGGAGACAGGGATGGGCTTCCCTAAGACAGTCGAAAGAAGGGCCTTGAGGAGGGCCACAGGCCCAGGAAGATCTTCTGAATCCAGTCAGGGATTTTTCTCCTTAGGAAAGTGTATGATAAACTCAAAATAGATGAAAGATCTAAATGTGAGACAAGATTCCATCAAAATCCCAGAGAAGAACTCAGGCAACACCCTTTTTGAACTTGGCCACAGTAACCGGAGAAGGACAAACAGTGTATGTTCTCATTCATTTGGAGAATATGAATAATAGCGAAAGGGAATATAAGGGAAGGGAGAAGAAATGTGTGAGAAATATCAGAAAGGGAGACAGAACATAAAGACTTCTAACTCTGGGAAATGAACTAGGGGTGGTGGAGGGGGAGGAGGGTGGGGGGTGGGGGTGAATGGGTGACGGGCACTGAGGGGTACACTTGACGGGATGAGCACTGGGTGTTATTCTGTATGTTGGTAAATCGAACACCAATAAAAATTAATTTATAAAAAAAAATAAAAAAATAAACAGCTCCATAAAAAAAAAAAAAAAAGGAAAGTGTATGATATTGACTTTAGAAATAAATAGTACAGGGGCGACTGGGTGGCTCAGTTGGTTAAGCATCAAACTCTTGTTTTCAGCTCAGGTCATGATCTCAGGGTCATGAGATTGAGTCCTATGGCAAGGTCAGCTCTCAGCATGGAGTCTGCTTGAAATTCTCTCTCTATCTCTCTCTCTCTACCCCTACCTCACCCAGGTGCATGCACATGTACATTCTCTCTCTGTCTCTAAAATAAAGAGAGAGAGAGAGAGAGAGAGAGAGAGAGAGAGAGAGAGAGAAAGAAAGAAAGAAAGAAAGAAAGAAAGAAAGAAAGAAAGAAAGTAAGTTAGTTTTAAAACTACTGAAGGAAAAAAGTAGAAAACTAGTAAAGGAAAATATCAAGTGTGCCCAGAACTGCTAGCAGCTTCCGTCAGCCATTTGTTGACTGGCCATCACTGTCCTTGCACAAGATGTTGAGAAAAAGAGTGACCTGGGCTAAAGCCTAGTTAGCTGTCTCCAAATCAAATTCGTGGAACCCAGTACACAAAAATGGATACTTTTATGAGAACTGCTTTCCATACCCTCTATTCCCATAGGTCGTCTTTGCTAAAATGGCTGTGTCAGGAAATGGGAGGTGGAATCCCAGCCCCCTCCACAAAGGCCCTTCTTGTAACTTGCAGGAGAAAGGCTCACTCACCTCTCCCAAGGTGCCTTGCCACTGGGGGCTAAACCCCTCCAGGGTAGAAAACAAAAACCCCATTCAAAGCCCTGGAGTCTGTGCAGAGAAAATAAAAGTCTCTAAAGCGCATATGAATGAGCCTCCTGTAGGTCAGATGGGTTCCTATTCCTCACTCTACACAAAACTGCCCAATCTAATTAAGCAGCCAAGTGCCGGATGATTCAAGTCATCCTAGTGTGAGATCCCTGTGCTTTGATCATGTGCCTCAGAAGGAAGGTTTGAGTGACAGTGAATTAACCAAATCCCTTTCATCCCCAGCTTTGTATTGACTTAAATAAAGTTTTCCAGAGAAGAACCAGTCCTGAGCACCAGCTACTCTGGCCACAGGTGACAGTCATTCTCGGATATGGGAATTAATTGGGAATTAATGGTGGGAGGGGGGAAGGTCTGGCATCTCATTAAGAGATTCTTTTTCAACAATGTTCTATTTATATTTATTAACTATTTTTCAAAATTTATGATTGCTTGTGTTGTTTTGATAAACCGTGTACTATTAAACACTCAACCTAGAAAAAAATCTAACACTTGGACTCTTATGATGACAGTAAACTTGAAAAATGTGTATACATTTCAATTTATATATTATTATAGTTTCAGATATATATGACAGTGATAAAGAAGATTTTCAAACATGAAATATATAACACTAAAATAAAATTCTGTCAAGAAAGTGGAAAGGAGGGACGCCTGAGTGGCTCAGTGGTTGAATGTCTGCCTTTGGCTCAGGGCATGAATCTGTGGTCCCAGGACTGAGTCCCACATCGGGCTCCCTGCATGGAGCCTGCTTCTCCCTCTGTCTATGTCTCTGCTTCGTCTGTCAGGAATAAATAAATAAAATCTTTTTTTAAAAAAGTGGAAAGGAAATATAAGTTGAAGAAGGAAAAGGAAAAAAATAAAATTTCTGACCATTAAAAAGCAATGTGCCCATGTGTATGTGTGTGTGTGTATATATATATATATATATATATATATATATATAAATATATATATATATATATTTCTAATGGATACTCTTGAGAATCAAACCACTAAATATCGAGATTCTGTTGGACAGTTTAGATGACAATGTAAAAATGTACAAGGGGGTAGTGTAAGTCTAAAAAAGTTCCTCTCAGGTGTACTAACCTAAAAATGTTCCTAAGACCAGTGGCCTTGACCATCAGAGACCTCTCCACCATGAATGGCATCCTTGAAGTATATAGTATTCACAAGGTGACACTCCCTGGCACTGTATCTTGCCGGGGACAGACTTCCCTCTGCACCTACCTCTGCCTCACCCAGGTCCCCACCTCCCGCTAGGACAGTCACTGCTACCTCCTGCCTGGCTCTTGTGCTTCCCTCACCTCCCTCTCTGATGCAGCTTCCACGCCACACCAAGGTTGTCTTTCTAACACATGTGGCATCACGAAACTCATCAGCTTAGAGTTCTTCAGTGCCTACCCCAACCACAAGACAGTACTCACTGGCTCCTCAGCCAAACATTCATCTCTTCTCCCCAGCTCTGCCCCAAGGCTCCCCTACCCACATTTAACCCTCCCAAACCCTTCTCTGGGCCCATGAAATGCCAAGGCCTGCCATACTGTTCCCAACTCACCTTCCTGCCTCTTTTGGCCTACAAAACTCCTATCTCATGTTAAGATGCAGCTCCAAAGTTACCTCTTCCTTGAAGCCTTCCTTGATTCCCTCCAGGTGTAAAGGATGCCTCCCCCACACCCATGCCCTTTGCATAGACCTTTAACTGTGACCTTTCTGTTAGTGTCACTGTCTACTGGTAAGCCATTGCCTCTAAACTTAGGTCTCAAAAGACCACAACCATTGCTTTGTAATCTTGGCCAGCCTCCTGAAGACCCAGTTGAGCCCCAGGTGGACAGGAAGTATAGGAATGATGGAGATATTCCATCAGCTCATGTCTATGGTGGCCCTCGTCCTGCCAAGCCCCACTCCTTGCACATCCCTACTCACAGAAGGGCCCATTTCTCTCTCCCCTTTCACCATGTCTCTAAGCTTGCCCATGCCCAAACACCACCAGCCCACCCCCTCAATAAGATGAACATACATTTATTCCTCTTCTCCATCACACAGCAACTCAGATTGCTAAACAGCTTATGATATAACAAATTGTCAGCACTTGTAAAAGTGCAAATAGATTATATCCTCCGAATCCTCTCTCGATCATACATTTTAAGGGACTCATGGTTCACCTGTGCAGGTCCCTAGACTCAGTCACTGGTCCCTATACTGTCAAAATGCTACTCAGATTTACAAGCCAGTCTCTCTGGGAGCTAATAACTAAGCCAGGTCATCCCTACACAAATCAATAAAGTGGCAATGACTCATCAATGCATTCATTCATCTGGTATTTATTGAGCAACTGCTATGTGCTAGATGCTGTTCTGAGCACTGGGGATGCAGCATTGAACAAAGCACACAAAAACTCCTGTCCTCTCAGAGCTTACAATCTATTGCAATCTCATAAACAGAATAACTGAGTAAAATGCATGGTCTATCGGATGTGAAAAGTACCACAAGGAAAAATAAAACAGGGAATGAACTGGAGAGATTCAGGTAGAGGCTCTGGTTCTAAGGAAAGCAGTCAAGCAAGGCTTCCCTGAGAAGGTGACACTTGAGTAGACACCTGAAAATGATATCTTCTTCCCACGTGATACTGTTAACTTTCAAATACTTTCTTCTTCTGCTATCTCAATTCAGCTAACAACAGCTATGGCAGGAAAAACTGTCAGCACTTTTACAAGTCGAAGGAGTTGAGGTCTACAGCAGTTGAGACACCATGAGGCTTAACATTTGCCAAGCTCTCAGAGCCATGTGGTGACAGAGTCAAGACTAGAAACCAGGTTTTCTCATTTCCACATACAGTCTGAGGACATAGCAAGTTACCAATGCTTGTAACCCAGTAAACCTGTGCTTCTAAACATGGAGGACTGAGACAGAGTGCTTGTCAGAGGCGAAGCAGCTGGCTGGAAGCCCACCTCCCCTCCTCAGGGTCATCCTGGAGACCACACGTGGTCCTGCAGACCACTCTGCTTTCTGTGCATGAGTAAGTCGCCCTGTAAATCAGTTTCATGGGCTGATTTTGATGTATGCCAGAGTAAACCCAAGCTCCTGTCACCTAAGAACCAACCCAAAATGTGATACCTTTGCCCTGTCTCTTTGCACTTCTTTGAAACTTTGAACTTTGTTTGATCAGTTGACATGGACGGCCAAAAAACCTTGACAACCAGCTTGAAATTTTTTCTCCACAATTATAAGTATTTACCCTGGAAAAATAAAAGGGAGGGGTGGTGAATATTACTTAGCATTCCTTTAATTTGATTTTTATTTGATTAAATAATAATCTAAATATCAAAAAAGTTGGATTATAAAATATAATACAATATTATAAATATAATGTGATATAATACTGAACCATAGAGAGAGGAAAGCGTTAAGTGACAGTGTGCTCAGGAAGCTGTGGGGATATGCTCAAAACATGGGAAGACCTGAAGTTTAGGGCTTGTGCAAAGCTTTCAGATCAGATAAAAGCTTTAGAAGTTCCTCTTGAAAGACCTTGTTTAATTATAGCTACTGAATACCATAGAGCTTAGAATTTGAGAGCTTCCAGAGCAGTATTTTGCTTTAAGAAGCCCTTGAACCCAGACATATGTTCTGGATTTTTACTATTGGCCTGACTAATATTTTCCCTCATAGCCAGACCACATGGAATAATGGGTTTGGCTTGTGAAAAGAATGCTATGCCTTTATATTACCGATAGAAGTACATTTATTGATTTAGTTTTTTTTCTTCTAGAGTCTTAGAGACTTTTTAAATATAATTTAAAGCATTTAAATTTTTTAATTGTTCTAAAATCTACACAACACCAGAATTTATAATGCAAAATTGCTAATAACCTACATTGGGATTACAAGATAGAGCATATGGAAAATCTAGCCTTAATTTTACCTGGATCAAATAGCTGCCTACCTGTGTCTGGAAAGGAAAGAGTAGAATGAAGACTCATTTAGTTACACTTTCTCTCTGGTGCTTTGAGAGATTGCAGGAAAGTCCATTTTCATTAATCTGAGCATTTATGGTTCTGAGCAAAATAAGCCTAACTACCTCTTTATTAACCAGAAAACAGCATTTATCCCAAATGCAGCTAGATGAAAGTGCAACCAGGAATGAGCCTCATAAAGAAACAGAAAGTATCCCTAAATGGCTGCATTTCTCTCTATGCTGGCATCCTGAGGAAGGAGCATGCTTGGTAGGTTTGAAGAACAGCAGGAGGCAGTGTGCTCAGAGTGGAGTTCCTGAGAGGGAAAGGGCAGCTGACTGGATGAGGGGTACAGCTAAGGACTGATCTATAGGGCACTGCTCTCCTCCCCTGCTGTGTTACCTGCAGATGGACTGAGATCTTCACTTGTTACAGAGACTCACCTGTCTGCACAGACCTTGCTTTGGCAAATCTGAGCCTGTTCACCATCTTCCTCCAAGGGCACCTCTATAGGCTCCATCCCTAAAGAATAAAGGTTAGAGACAGATTTATCATCAGGCAAAAAGAACAACTATTGAAGTGAAAGTCCATTATCATGAAATATACAAGATTTGTAATGACCTGGGAAATAGGTTGGATCAAACAGTTGGCCAGATCTTGGAAATCTCTTTATAACACATGGTCTCTTTTGCATGATCATTACCACCAAAGAATGTACATCAAACAGCCTTCTCATGGAAGACTCTGCACTTCGGAAGTCACATCCACAGTAGCTGGATCATGATAAATTCCTTAAAAGATTTCTCTAACTTTCGATGACTCCACATCCCAAGATCATTGTTCTCTAAACTACCTTAAGTCCTTTAGAAATAGGCAGGCTTCAGGGCTCACTCTGTAAAGATATCAGCATAGAGTGGTAATTCCCAATAGCCCCTGGGAATGAGCATCAATTTGGATTCCTGTACCAATCACTGTCATCTAGATAGATAGATAGATAGATAGATAGATAGATAGATAGATAGATAGATAGATGACAGATAGACTGACAGAAATAAAACTGTTGCCATGTCAGTGGGGTTGGGAAGTTTATTTTAATTGTTGCATTTATCATGTATGAAGGAGTATATAGCATATGTATGCAACAGTTTTAAGAATAACAATAGTTAAAACTCATGTACCCATTACCCAGCTAAAGTGCTATTTATTTTTTAAATTAAATCAGAGTTAAATACATGGGTGAAACAAGAAGAAACGGATTCAATTAAGAAGTGAAAGACCTTTGGTAAAGGCTGGAACTGCTAAGGCCCTCTGCTACTCTGCACTCCTTGTTCTCCATGAATCATTGAGAGTACAGGGAAACATATGAAGCCAAAACGCTCCAGTAGAATGTATGGTGGCCTCTACTCTGTGGACACTAAGGCAAGAGCTCCTCCTGTGTGATCCACCTGGCCCTCCGGCCCTCTCGGCACTGCTACTGGTCACAATGCTCACCAATATGACCCAACCTGTTCTTTAGGCACCTGTCATGCACACCTGCATCCCTACCATCTCAGCCCTCCTTATCACATAGGGCACAACACAGCACAGCAAATGGGCATATCACGAGCTTCAGATCATGCCTGCTGTTCAGCCCGTCACAACAGGGCTTTCACAGAGATAAAGACAGAGATGCAACAATTTGATTACCAAGTATTCCATGAACTATGTCCCCTGCTTGTCTGCACCTTACACATGCACAGCCCATTCCATACTCCTGTCCCTGTGTGGGGAAAGCCAGAAGAACTCATTCAGAATGTTCCCGAAGTTTGGAGAAGGGATGTGCTGCTTTGAGTAATTATAGATGCTGCTGTGTCAAAAGGGTGTGCATGGAAGAACAGTACGGTGCCAGGTATGCACCCACAGGGAAAAGCAGTAAAGTGAGCTTGGAACACTGATTATGAGGAAGTCACCACAGCAAGGCAGACAGCATGTGGACAAGGGCACACCATGGGCAAGTGGCGCTGGGACTGTGCTCAGCCTCTTTCTATCCTTACACAGGCTCTAAATAAATCACTCAGGGTCTTTGGCCCTCAGTTGCTTTCTAAAGGTCACTGTAGGCCTCTGGTTAAGGCAACAAAATCTGGGACACATCCGTGAATTGAACTCAAGGGACCTAAACAAAGTTCATGGACAGTGAGTTCATTCCATATATACAAAAGCCCTGGGCTCAGCTCAGAGATACAAAGAAATAAAAGAGCCTGACCTCCGGACTCAAGATGCCTAAAATCTTTGGGAGTGCCAAGTCTCACACATGAAACCATTATAATGCCTTGTTTTATTGTTTATTATTCAGCTCATCCTGTCATGCATTGCAAAAGATGGGCTTACCCCATCCACAATACAAGAATCCTCAGCAAGGGGATCCCTGGGTGGCGCAGCGGTTTAGCACCTGTCTTTGGCTCAGGGCGCGATCCTGGAGATCCGGGATCGAATCCCACGTCGGGCTCCCGGTGCATGGAGCCTGCTTCTCCCTCTGCCTATGTCTCTCTCTCTCTCTCTCTCTGTCTCTCTCTCTGATTATCATGAATAAATAAAAATTAAAAAAAAAAAGAATCCTCAGCAAGTGAGCAGAATATCTGGTACATGGTGGGAAGGGACACCACACCACCTCACAAAGCACTGCTATTTTGGAGTGGAAGATATTGAGTATCTGTTTTCTTTCTCTCTCCCATTCTTTACATCCTGGAATAAACCCTACTTAGCCATGATATATATTTTTATGCTTCTGAGAATAGAAAGAAAGAGAAGCAATCTGCTCAATTCTTTTTATATATTAATGTCTTGGATACCTGAACTTAAATAAGAAAGCACAGTAAGGGCAGCTCAGGTGGCTCAGGGGTTTAGCGCTGCCTTTGGCCAAAGGAGTGATCCTGGAGACCCAGGATGGAGTCCCACATCGGGCTCCCTGCATGGAGCCTGTTTCTCCCTCTGCCTCTGTCTCTGCCTCTCTTTCTGTGTCTCTCATGAATAAATAAATAAAATCTTAAAAAAAAAGAAAGAAAGAAAGCACAGTAAAAGAAAGTGATATATCAATCTCACTAATGAATAGCTACAAAAATACTAAACAAAATATTAGCAAACCAAATCCAACAATATATCAAAAAGCCATTGCTACCTACTGTTTCCCTCCCCTCAAGAGTCCAAGGATACTTTAGAACTAGACAATCTATGAATGTAAGACATCACACTAACAGACTATAGGAAAAAAAATATGATAACCAACAGATGCAGAAAAAGCATTCAATAAGAATTGACTATTAGCCATCATTTGGCTACATAAGAAAAGAACTATTTCTATCAAATCTATCAAAAGCTTATAGTAAGAATCATTATTATTTTTGAAACTGTAAAAGTATTCTATTCAAATCAGTAATAAAGCAGGCTATCTTCCATCATTGCTCCAGCATCATATAAACAGGCTAAGCCAATGCAGTAAAAAAGAGAAAGAAGAGAAATACAAATTAGAAAGATAAGAAACTATCATTATTAGAAAATTATATGTCTATTTACACAGAATATGTGAGAAAATCTTCAGACCAACTAGTAAAACTAACAGGAATTCAGAAAAAGTATGGGGGAACACATAAATATATAAAAATCAAACATTTCTATATGTATTAATAACCAATTAAAATATTTAATCGAAAAAAGATAGTATTAAAAATATTCCAATAAACCATTACAAAGCAGGGCACCTGCATGACTCGGTTAAGTGTGTGACTCTTGATTCCTGTTCAGGTCATGATCTCAGAGTTGTGAAATTGAGCCCCAAGTCAAGTTTGGCACTGAACATGGAGCCTGCTTAAGAATCTCTCTCCCTCTCCCGCTGCTCTTTCTCTGTCTCAAAAATTCATTCCTTCCTTCCTCCATTCATTCATTTAAGAAAACCATTAGACAGCAAAAAAAAGTACAAAAGTCTCTGGAAAATATTAAAATTTAAGCAATTAAAGAAGTTGTAAATCAAAAGAAACACTATTATAAATAAAAGACTCAATACTATATGATAAAATTATTTGAAATTAATATATCATATTACAATCAAAATAGGACTACAAATATATGACTATAAATTATGCAATTTTGCAATCAAAATGCTAACAGGACACACCAATGAAAATATAGAGATTGTCAAAGTGGTTAGAAAGCATGAGCCAACTCTATGGTGGATATAGGAAACTCACTTTAAATATAGTGATACAGACAGATTAAAAGTAAAATGGGGCCACCAAGAAGATAAAAAGACAATCTAGGGACCCCTGGGTGGCTCAGTGGTTGAGTGTCTACCTTCAACTCAGGGTGTGATCCTGGGGTCACAGGATTGAATCCCATACCAGGCTCCCCACAGGGAGCCTGCTTCTCTCTCTGCATATGTCTTGTCTCTCCTCTCTGTATCTCTCATGAATAAATAAATAAAATAAAATCTTTTTAAAAAAAAAAGACAATCTACACAATGGGAGAAAATATTTGAAAATCATAGATCTGAAAAGGGATTTGTACACAATATAGTAAGGACTCTTACAACTCAATAACTCAAAAATAAAGAAGCAAAGAATTTGAATAGATATTTTTTCTAAAGAAGATATACAGATGACCAATAAACACAAGAAAAGATAGTCAACATCATTAGTCATTACGGAAATATGAACCAAGGCCACAGAGGTACCACTACACACCCACTACAATGACTACTGAAAAACAACAATGGAAAATAACAGGTGTTGAGGACATGGAGAAATTAGAACCGCCGCACATTGTTGGTGGGAGTATAAAATGGCAATGCAGCCACTTTGGAAATGTTCAACATACAGTTCCCACATGACCCAGCAATTCTACTCACAGGTATATACCCAAGAGAATGGAAAACATATGGCCACCTGAAAACTTATACACAAATGTTCATAGCAGGATGATTTCTAAAAGCCAAAATGTGGAACCAATCTGAACATCTATCAACTACTAAATGGATTTTTCAAAATGGTATGTCCTTGCAAAGGAATATTATTCGACAACAGAGAGACCCTCAAAAACTTGTGCTAGGTGAAAAAAGCCAGTTGCGTATTACATGATTCCATTTTCACAAAACATCCAGAATAGGCAAATCCATAGAAGCAGCAGATTACTGGTTGCCTGGGGCCAGGGATGAGACTGGCGATGGAGACTGACTACTAATGGGTATGATGTTTCTGTTTGATGGTCATGAAAATGTTCTAAAGTTGATTGTGGTAATGGTTGCCCAACCTCGTGAATGTACAAAAAAAATCTGACCTGGACACTTCCCACTAGCCACATTTTAGGGCTCAAGAGCCACATGTACCCAGTGGCTACCAATCTGGACAACAGAGATATTAAACATTTCCATCATTACATAAAACTCCATTGGACAGAGTTGATCTATACTTTTATATATTTGTTAGTTTATAACCCAAAAAACCAAAAATGAAGAATTAAAGCTTAAGTATGTATTATGACAAGCGATGAAAATAAAGGGGATGCAAGTGAAAAGACATATTTCAAATTTTATACTTCATTTCTGAGTCAACTGCCAGATCTTTACCTCTTTCCAGAAATGTCTCAGAACATAGGGAGCAAAACCTTTTTGTCATCTCTTGACACCATTTCATGGACTTTAGGGTTATTTTAAGAGTTGGTAGAGGAAAACCCTTATTTTATTTTCTGAGGAGTACAAAAGCTACTCTTGACAGTGGATTTGTGAAAAATGAACCCAGTTTTCACACCTTTGGCTTTGAGGACCATGACCTTTTGCTGTAGGTCAATGAAGGGCTGGATCAGACAGAGCCGGGGCTCCTGCTTCTGACTGAGGCACACGCCGTTGTGGTTCACAACCATCCAGCTCCGGTCATACAGCAGCCCTTGATTCCCTAGAGGCCACGTGGTTACCTAAACACAAAGGAAAGCAGATTTTAGGGTAGGGCTCCTCAAAGGTGGCCTTTGCATTATTGCACAGTGGCTGCACAAGTACAGATGGACTTCATGGCCTCAGCACACACTCTTCCTTCAAGGAGGAAATGAAGGAAGAAAAGAAAGGAAAGCAAAGAAGACAATGCACAGGAGACAGTGTGAGAGCTAGATGTCTCCCATTTACCCTCCAGATCTACTTCCTACCCTTCTCTTCGAACTGTCTTTTAAATAGGCAATGTGTGTGCAACCAGCAACATTCAGAGTGCTCATGGAAAGTAAGTCTCACTCCACCCCAGCTCCCCTCCCCCCAGACTTCCATCCCTCTTTCTCTCTATCCTTCCATAGTGGTGAATGTCTGTACAGGCATATCCTGATACTATAGACATATTTCTTGCATAAACTGTGGCTATAGGCATGGCCATTGAGTTGAGCCACTTTAAGTATACATTTAAAGTGTATACACGTTTTCCTAAACTCTTCATATTTCTACAAATTTTAAAATATAAATTACACCCACTGCCCAGATCATTCTTGCATTCTAATACTATTCTCCAATAAAAAATAACTGGGATTCTTTGGAGAAATGGTTGATTCTAGGGCTGGGTCAGCAGCATCTGGTGATGGTAGAAAAGTAAGGAAGTACTCAAAAAGCAAAAAGATGGGAGCATGTCAAAGGGATGCAGTAGTCAACTGCATGCCAGCTGGCCAAAACTGGAACAATCTGAGCAAAAATAAGAATAGTGATGTAGTACTGTATTATAACCCAATATATAAAATAAATATTCATGAGTCAATACTGAAATAAATACATAATTGGATAAATAATAAATATACAAATATATAAGAAAAGTTAAGTCTCCCACACAGAAAAACCTCAAATAATTGATGTAGATGCTCCCCCCTCAAGAAGGAATATAACTCCTCACCCCTTACATGTGGGCTACTGACTTGCTTCCAAAGAGTTCAGTGTGGAAAGGGGGTGGAGGAGAAACTTTATAGTGAAGAAACTTGGAAAACACTCTCTCAACCAGATGATCAGGGTTAATTAACATCAGTAGTGGTAAGTCATGTTGATAATATGTACTATGATATGATATTATATGATTTATGATGTAAGAATAGCACTTTGTCTCTGTGTTCCTCCCCCCCCCCAAAAAAAAATCCTGTAACCCCAGTCTAATCATGAGAAAGACATCAAACAAACCCAAGTCAAAGGACATGCTAAAAATACCTGACCAGTACTCCTCAAAACTGTCAAGGTCATCAAGAACAAGGAAAGTCTGAGAAACCGGTACAGCCCACAGAAGCCTAAGGAGAGATGACCGCTAAATATGATAGGACATCCTGGATGAGATCCTGGAACAGAAAAAGGGCATTAGGGAAAAGCTAACAACATTTCAATGAAGCATGGCCAGGTCTTCACAAGGGTTTTGTCCACAGCTGAGCTACTAATAGCACTGCATGCAACATCGCATGTACGGTAGTCCCATCAGCGAGGGCTCTTCTGGAATCCGCTCTCCATTGAAGAAAAGGCAAAGGCGAAAAAAAAATGTTTTTGAAATAGTTACAAGACAGTCATTCTTGAACTAACTGTGAATCAATTTCAACCAATTGTCTTCCTCTGTGCACTCAATTCAGCTACCCAAAAGAACCTGGAAACTTCAATAGCAGGTAATAAAAGGAAGCAATTTTTAATCAAGGGGCATTTTGCGGTGAGTCTTCTGGTGAGGGACCTCAGGGAAGACAGAGGGAGGCACCATGGAAAGTGAAGGAGAGGAGGTGCAGGCACAGGGGGAGGCATAGAACTCAAGGAGGAAGAATGTCAAGGTAAGCTTCACCTCGAGCAGGGCGAGCCCTGTATTCAGGAGGTGGAAATGTCATGCAATGGGGGGTGAAGGTATCCTGGATACTGACAGATCTGGGTTTAAATCCCACCTCAACTGTTAGTAGCTTTGAACAACTTCCCAACCTTACTCGGTCTTGGCTTTGTCACATGTCAGATGGACATTATTATCATTTCCTGCAGTACTGGCTAAAAGCTAAAATGAAATATAAAATGTAAAGCAACTAAAATATATTAGATGATCCATAGATGTTAATCCCTTTACCTCTCTCCCTTCAATTTTTCTCATGTATCAAATATCCTCCCCATACACTATAGATGCCTCTGTTAGTACAACATTCAAGTTCCGCAATATTATGGTCTATATTAGCTTTTATGGGTAAGCCCAGAAACCACCATTATTTTTTATTCATTTTTTAATTCATTTTTTAATTATTCATTATTATTTCTATAGGAAAGCCCAGAAACCACCATCATTATTTCTACAGGAAAACATGTTTTGAATGACAAATAACTTTTTAGAAGACAAGGTATTACTGGAAGACAATCTCCATGGTCTCTTGTTTCTGCATGTCTGTTTTAATGAGCAGAAGCACTAATTGCCCTTTTGTTCCAGACTACCTGAGTATGTTTGTATAGTGAACACAAGGAAATATAGTGAATTCAAGACTCTGGGAAGAAGAGCAGGTTTGCTCACAGGCCAGTATTATAATGTCTTCCTCCTGAGCCACGACTAGGCACCTTTGCTTGTATCCCATTATGAGTCAGGTTCCCTGAGTGAGGGGTTCCTCAGCCACATGCACAGCATCAGCCAGGGCCCCTCTATAACCCCTCTTGGGACTTGGGGGGCACAGGGAAGCAACACAAACATGAAGTTCATGCTGCCTGCTGAGTAATAAAGCCCTTTTTCTCTGACCCGGGAGTCTCATGTCTTTTGCCAGCATCGAGAACTGTTAGGCTAGCTGGTTAGCTTAAAAGAAGGGCAAGCTTACAAGGTTTGCCTCAGATTCTTCACAGTTCTTCATACCTATTTATTGAAATAGGTCTATAAATTTCCATCTTTTAATTTGCCATCTAAAAATCTAATGTGCTGGCTTCCCATTTCCTCCTTTCTTCTTCCTCTTCTTCTGGGCCACCCTTCCAGCCAGTGTGCACATGCTGAGGAAGGGGGAAGCTGGCATGTGTGGGGCTGAGCTTTCAGCTACTGTAGCTAGGGTTTGGTTACATAAGGAGGAGTTGAGCAAATAAGTATCTGGTGAAGATATGGAAGCCAGGTTTCTCACAGGAGATACAGTATGGGAAGGGGGATAAACAGAATAAACAATGTGGTGTCGGATTGAAAGGGGAGGTGTTAGTGGGAAACTGGGAGCATATCTAGCTAACAGGGATGGATAATAGGTTAACAGATGATAGATAGGTATAGAAATACAGATGTGTGTATGCATGCATGTATGCAGAATATCCCAAAAGTCTTAACACATACATATATGTGGTAGACAGAATAATGGTCTTTCTAAACATGTCCACATCCTAATCCCTGGGATTAGGCAAAAAGGAACTTGCAGGTGCGATTAAAGTTGAGGACCCTATGATGGGGAGATCTTCCTGGATTATCCAGGTGGGCCTGCCCTATTTCTCAGGCAGGGGACATACAGAATGAGCCTAGAACACATTATTGCACCAGAAAGTAAGAAAATACTCAAGGAATGAAGGGAACATATCAAAAGGACACAGGAACTGACCTGAAGGAGCTCCCACAGACCAAGTCTGCAGCAATTTAATCAAAATAAATACTGATAATGATGGATTGTAACTTTTGAGCAAAAAGCAGAATCCATGAGTTCATGCAGATTCAAAAAGAGAGAGAGAAGAATTAATGACTAATAAACATGGAAGAAGGAAAGCTCTATCCTACAACAGAATACCAACTAACAAATCCAAAAGGAATGATGGAATTTCTTAAATTACCATTTTGCAATCCTCATACCAACCATTGATTTGGCAAAAGTCATCAATAGATGCTAAATCTAGCGAATAAAAGTTTGACAAGGAACAAGATATTTCGGGACACCTGGGTGGCTCAGTAGTTGAGCATCTACCTTTGGCTCGGGGTGTGATCCCAAGTCGTGGGATCGAGTCCCACGTCAGGCTCCCTGCAGAGAGGCTGCTTCCCCCTCTGCTTATGTCTCTGCCTCTCTTTGTGTCTCTCAAGAATGAATAAATAAAATCTTTTTTTAAAAAAAAGGAACAAGAGAAAAAAAAGGAAGAAGATATTTTCATGTCCTCAAAGTATCTCTCCATAAAATAGGATTAATTACATATTAATGAATTTTACAGTAGAGAAACCTGGCAGACTCCATCTTAAGCAAATGATGACAGTTAATGTCACCAGCATTGGGACAAATGAATAGAGTGTGTCTTCTGGGATGCACTGAGAAAGCAGGGTATAACTCTGATGGAATTCCAGCCCAAAAATACAGAAATCACAAGGAAACCTCAGATAATACCATCACGTTGGGGAGTAGGAGACCTTTGAGAGGTGAAAAGTCATGAGGGTAGAGTTGTCATGAATGTGATTAAAGATCTTATAGAAGAGGCCCCAGAGAGCTCCCTCGCCCCTCTGCACGTGAGGACACAGTGAGAAAAGGCTGTCTATGAACCAGGAAGTGAGCCCTCACTGGACACTGAATCCACCACTGCAGACTTGCAGCCTCCAGAACCATAAGAAGTATATGTTGTTTACAAGCCACACAGTTGATGGCACTTTGCTATAGCAGCCTGAATGGACTAAGACATCAATCCACCAAAATTCTATCTGGTGCACCCCACATCTTGCCTCATGGGCCCTTATCACTAGTGTGATTCTGTTCCCTTCGGTGGTGTTTGGTCTTGTGTATGCTTCCCTTCTGAGATATTGCACTCTCTGATGGAAGGAACCATTTCCATCTTGCTCATCGCTGCAGACCAGGCGCTGGCCCAAGGCCTGGCAGATAGCAGGTGCTTGGTATACAGTTTTTGAATGAGCAGATAGATAGATGACCTTTAGCGAATCTTACTGAGTATCAGTGACCTTGCTGTAAGATGGGACGCTAATTCCTGCTTAGGGTACCTGTGCTACGTGGCTACCCTATGGGATATAACCAACCTGTGAAAATAAGAGTCCTGACACATGAGGGAAACAAGGACCCATCACCTTCCTCCATTTGGAAGTGAAAGTGAACTTGCTTGTTATGGTCTCGGCCTGGAGGACAGGCTCCCATCGGACCACCCTGAAAGGCAGTCCACATACAGCCCTAACCATGGGATATCTGACCAGGAACCAAAGAGCCTGCTATTCCAGAGGCCCAGGAGTCTTTCACCTGTGCCTGGGACTTAGGACACATACATGCAGATCATAGGAAGATAGCTTCAGTTTGTCCACAGCAGAGGTGTCAGGGCTAGCTGGCCAGCCAAAGCAGGCACCCCAGCCTCCCAACTCAAGTAAACAGCAGGCCGGCACATTTCAAGACATAACATAGTTTACATTCATAGGAAGGACTAAGCAGAATGAGCACATAAGAGCACTGACCCAAGAAGTCAGCAGACCCAGGTTCAAATCTTTATCATTAATTACTGGGCAAAGTGCTTAACCTCAATATCTATAAAATGGGGATTTTATTACCTTGTATCTCATATAGTTGTTTTAAAGATAGAAAAAAAGCATGTAAGATGCTTCAGCAGGGAATCAGCACACATTCAGTAAAAATTATGTCCATTATTATAGAGTAACTAGGTGTTCCCCGTTCAGAAACAGGATCATCTCCAGTGTACCTCTAAGCAGAGCCATGTTCAAAAGTCAGCCCAAACCAAGAGAGGAAGAATGAGAATGACTCTTCACATATCACAATACTCTTAATATGATCTTGATTTTCTGCACACTTTGCTTTACTTTCTGTACTTTTTTCTTTATTTTATCAAAAAAAAGTCATAAAGTAAACAACAACAACAACAAAGCAATCTCTGTGCTGCAGTGAAAATCCTTACCTCAAATGCAGCACAGGATTTAATCGGGTAGAGGTAAAGGTTGGTGATGACATATGGCCCAAGGCCCCCATCCAGGACTCCAGCTGCTCTTTCTAAAGGGGTGTGCTGGGTTCCGGTGGTCATAGGCAGAGGTGAGTGCAAATCCGCTGCACCCACAGTGCTAGGCAAATCACTGCAAAACCCAGAGGCTATGGGAGCATCTTCCTGAGGTGAAGAACCACATCCATCCATGATGGCAGGAATGGCATCCTGAGCCTCGCTCTCTGATGGGGCTCCAGCCTCTGCAGGCATGGTCTGAGGAAGAGGCTGGCCATCAGACTGGTGCAGTTGCATTGCTATGATGAACCTGAGAAAGGCCTGGGCGTCCTCAACTGTAGACATATATCCAAAGGAAATCCTCACAGATCCTGTAGGCTGCCCATCTATGAGGTCCACGTCATCTCCACAGACATGACCAGCCTAGAATAAAAGGGCAATAAGTCAGTGACAGTGATACATTCCATATGGATAAACTGGAAATCATTTTGGAGAAGAAACTTAACCCAGGACAAGAAACTGCACCAGTAATACATGCTGTGTGCCTGAGCCACGCTCTCCTAAGCACAAGGACTCCCTTGTGAATCTCACTTTGCCCAGGTGCAAATTGGGGTCAATACCAATGTCAATAGATCTTTCAAAAGTTTAAAAGAAAGACTGCATGGAAAGCATTTACCCAGAGCTGCACACCATGTCAACTCACAGACACATCAAGACAGACCAAAGTTTCAGAAATGTGATGGGTCAGCTTCTTGTTCTACCCACAGCTGAGGCAGTAGAAACATCTGCTAGCCGCTCCCTTGAGCCTCTCAGAACCAAAGGCACCTGGGTGGCTCAGTTGGTTAATTGTCTGCCTTCAGCTTGGGTCATGATCTCAGGGTCCTGGGATGGAGCCCCATGAAGGCTCCCTGCTCAGTGGGGATCTTGCTCCTCCCTCTCCCTCTGCCTGCTGTTCCACCTGCTTGTGCTCTCTCTCTCTCTCTCTCATTCTCTGCCAAATATATAAATAAAATCTTTTTTTATAAAGATTTTATTTATTTATTCATGATAGTCACGCAGAGAGAGACAGAGAGGCAGAGACACAGGCAGAGGGAGAAGCAGGCTCCATGCAGGGAGCCGACGCGGGACTCGACCCCGGGTCTCCAGGATCACGCCCCGGGCCAAAGGCAGGCGCCAAACCACTGCGCCACCCAGGGATCCCATAAAAAAAATCTTTAAAATAAAATTTAAAAAAAAGAACCAAAGGGAGGGTCACATCCCTGAGAGAGCTGCCTTTGACAAGAAGGCAAAATAGAAGATGCCCTCTCTGTGAATGAGCAGCCAAGGCCACTACAAAAGCCAAAGACAGGCCGGGTGCTCCTGCTGGAGGGCGGGGAGAGAAAGGCAGGAAGTCCCTGAGCCTCTCCAAGTGGGGATGCTGGGTATCAGTCCCTGCTCAGGCTACCTGCCTGCCCCGGTGCTGAACCCAGGTCAGTCATTCAAAGAGCTGAGGTCCCAACACTCCACAGCATCAAATATTCTATCTAGAACTGCATCTGTTTCTGTACCGGGGCATCCTCCTCTCTCTTTAAATAAAGTCCAGTCCATGGTTGGTTGGGATCTAGTGTATACAATAGTTAGTGACAACCAAAAGAAACTCAAGTTAGAAACAATTCCAAAATAAATAAGTGCTCTTTGCCACCCGAACTATTCTTATGAAATGGCTCAAAACACTAGCTGTACCCTGAAGTGAAAAACCTCAGCCTAGGGCAGAGGTAGGGAGGGAGAGGATTCTGAGAGAGTCAGAACAGCCCCTGGAAGAGTTTCTCTCCTTACCCAGAGATGAACTAACCCTAGGATAGGACTGGACTAGCTAAGAGCCCTCTGTATGTACAAGCACATTCTCACATACGCTTGCCCCATATTAAGACCCATCTGCCTTTACATTTTTCCCCTCAAAGTAAAAAATGACTGCCAGAGAGGTACTGTTTTCTCTTTTTGTAGACCCCTTTTCCTTTGCACTTCCACAGAGTGGGCTCGGAGAAATGAGCCCAGCCCACAGAACCAGCTCTGACCCCAGACATGAGACCAGCCTCCAGGGTAGTTGGAGAGGCCACCATTGGACATGACCAGCATTACCAACCTGAAGATGCTTCTTGACCATCTCGTCGCTTATCCCCAGGTGCCTCTGGCAGGCCCCAGTGTTACAGAAGCAGCCAGTTCGCACATGGATGTTGTAAAGACTGGCCATTTTATCCACCTGTGGGTTCAATGTGACATGAAACCAGTGTTACAGATGTCCAGTTTTACTCTGACTGCCTGGGAGAGAGTTTCAGATCAAAATGTGGACCTCTCTTCCCTAACAATAAAATGAAAATTTGAGCTTGGAATTTTGCTTTGAAGTGCCATGATCTATCATGGGTTTACTAAACACATTTTATAAAATGTCACTGAGAATTAAAGTTTATGCAGTTGGCTCATAATGTATGCCTGAGAAAACCGAAAATATCCAATTCAGTCCAAACTCCAAGTTTGCAGAGCTCACATTTCAACAAACAATACTATTAAAAATGGCACAGAAGATTTGGATAGACATTTTTCCAAAGAAGACATACAAATGGCCAAGAGATACATGAAAAGATGTTCAACATCACTCATCATCAGGGAAATGCAAATCAAAGCAACAATGAGATATCACTCACATCTATTATAATAGTTATGATTAAGATAACAAGCAATAACAAGTGTTGGAAATAACGTGGAGAGAGAGAACCCTTGTTCACTGTTGGTGGGAATGTAAATTGCTGTAGCCACTATGGAAAACAGTATGAAGGTTCCTCAAAAATTAAAAATAGAAGTACCACAGGGCCCAGCAACCCTACTTCTGAGTATTTATCTGAAGAAAATGAAAATATTATCTTGAAATGATACGTGCCTCATGTTCATTGCAGCATTATTTATAATAGCCAATGAAACAACTTAAGTATCCATCAAAGGATGAACGGATAAAGAAAACTGGAATATACACACACACACTGGAATATTTTTCAGTCATAAAAAAATAAGGAAATCCGGGATCCCTGGGTGGCGCAGCGGTTTGGCGCCTGCCTTTGGCCCAGGGCGCGATCCTGGAGACCCGGGATCGAGTCCCACGTCGGGCTCCCGGTGCATGGAGCCTGCTTCTCCCTCTGCCTATGTCTCTGCCTCTCTCTTTCTCTCTCTGTGACTATCATAAATAAATAAAAATTTAAAAAAAAAAAAAAAAAAAAATAAGGAAATCCTATCATCTGTGACATCATGGATGGGTCTTGAGGACATGATACTAAATGAAATAAGTCAGACATAGAAAGATAACTATAAGATATCATTTATATGTGGAACCAAAAAAAAAAAAAACCCCTCAAACTCATAGATACAGAGAACAGATTGGTGGCTGCCAGACGTAGGGGGTGGGCAAAAAGGGTAAAGGTGGTCAAAAGGCACAAACTCCTAGTTACAATATAAATAAGTCTTAGGAATGTCATGTACAACATGGCAACTATAGTTGATGATACTTCGTTATATGTATTTGAAAGAGAATAAATCTCTTTAAGAGAATAAATCTTGAAAACTCATCACAAGAAAAAAATCTGTAACTATGTATGTTGATGAATGTTAGGTAGACTTACTGCAGTAATTACCCTGCATTACATACATATATCAAATAATTATGTTGTATACCTAAAACTTATACAATATATGTCCATTTTATCTCAATATTTTAAATAATAAATTATTTTTTTAAAGAGCCCACATCTGCCAAGGGGGTTCACAAGAATAAAATCTGAGTGGCTGGGATGGGGGACAAGTCCTTGGCATCTTCTGCCACAGGGTTGATCTCAGGGCAGTCCCCAGCTGAGCCACCACTCAGAGCCTCCCTGTCCAGGTTCACAGCCTGGGCTACAAACATTACTGTGTTGACACTGTGTATTATCAATTTGCTTTCCATAATGTCCCTTACTTTGGGTTGAATCACAGAACTTCTGTTCCTTCCAGAAGTGCCAAGGCTCTTTCCTGTCTCCCAAAGGCTCTGGGAGGCGAACTGCATTCACCCAGGGCTCAAAAGTAGGGCTAGCATAGGGGATATTTGCCCAGCCCTTCCCGCTGTGAGTCAAGGGCTGCATTCTTCCAAGTATCTAGGAGCCCACTGAGGGTCCTCTAAGCCCTGGTGACTCCTGCTAAACCCAGGGAAGTCACCTAACTGCATTCAGGAAAACAAACACATTTTGCCCAGCTGGGCAAATCTTTGAAACTTTTCTTCCTGGGAATTCACATTGTAGGATGGCCAGAGGCAGCCAGGGGCAGTACAGCACTCTGCAGCTCACTACACAGCCAGCAAACATTCCCGGCCATGCTGCGCACAGCAGTGGTGACTCCCACACTGCTGAAACCATGGCTGTCTTCACTTCAGCTGTCTCCCCTAGACTGTCAGAGTGAGACGTCCTTCTCTGGATTGAACTGAGGGGCCTCAGAAAAACATCTCTGTTCCTTTATCCTGGGCAAATATAGCTCAGTGACGTGCAAGACAACTAATGAAATCCAGGCATTCCCTGACTCTCTGAGCTGAGACCTGGCAGGACCGCTGGGTCTGGCCAACTCCATCTCCAGGTGGCCTCCATTCAAAGAGCAGCTGCTAGGGAAGTTCCCTCACTGCCCCACCCCAACTCCTGCCAACTGGAATGAGAAGTCCCCTGTGCCCACCCCACATTCATTGTTCCAGTTACCAATGCCATGAAACAAGCCACCAAACTTGGTGGAATAAAATAATAACCACTTTATTGTGCTCGGAGCTACAGAAGGTCAGGAATCCGGAAAGAGCACAGAGGAGATGCTTGACTCTTTTCCATGATTTCCCAAGTCTCAGCTGGGAAGACTCCAAGGCTGGGAGTGACGTGGTGTCTGGGATTTGGAATCATCTGGAGACTTACTTATGCATGTGTGTGTCTGGCCTCCCAGCCAGGAGGGCTCAAAACAGGACTGTCACAATCAGGCCTGTGCTTGGCCTCCTGACATGGCTTGGCTTCCTCAGAGCATGGCAGCCTCAGGGCAGAACTTCTTACATGGTAACATGGGGCCCAAAAAGTGGATGCCCCAAGGAATAATGCTTTCTACCACACAGCCTTCCCTTCTGTAGCATTCTCCTGGTTGTGGGCAAGTCGCAAATCCACCAAGATTCAAGGAGAGAGAGGGGCCCCCACCTAGAGGAGGATCTGGGTACAACAGGCTGTTTGGGCCACAATTAACCCTCCTTCAATTTCCCATCATGAGGTAGTCCCCTTTTACCTTGATCCTTGTGGAATCCCTGCCTGTGCCTGGCCAGGTGAAGGATTTGGTTTTGGTGGCAGGATGAGCACTGTATCCAGAGAGGGCAAGAAAGTAGCCTGAGCACAGAGCAGCATGGGAGCCTTCCCACCCAGGAGCTTGCATGCTGTTTATTGAGCACTTGCTTCCCCGTGGGCCCCGTGCTCAGGCATTCTATATGATATCTCATTTAATCCTCAGAGCAACACTATGAACAGGGTCCCTTGTTCTCCCCATTTCATGGAGACTTGGAGAGTTTATACTAACTTGCCCAAGCTCACAGAGCCAACAAAAGGCAGTCAGAATCTGAACCTGCATTCTTAACCACTAAGTAGAGTGACTTCTGCAGAGGGGAGAATGGAATTAGGAGGCCTGGATATAAAAAACGAGAACCCCAAAGCTTCTTACGGAAAGCTAAATTCTTTGAAAAGCTTCAGAAGTTCTTTTGAAATCTCCTGAAAAGAGCTATACTCAGCCATGAAATCATCTGTTCTTTCTGAAGGCCACTGAAATCCCTATGGAATTCCTACACAGAGAAGCGGCCCAGGGAAACCAAGCTGGGCTTTACCAAGCCAGCAAAGCTGGCCACGCCTCGGCCACGGATCCACTCATGTAACAAGCTTCCTCTACAAACACACAGAGGAAGAAACTCGTCCAGGGTCCAGCCTCCAGGAATGAGTCCTGGTGAAGTCAGCAGGACACCTAGACAGGTAGCTCTCTCCATTACTCCCCACCAGACTGCTCCTCTCTTCCAAGCTTCTCTAGCCAAATGAGGCATTCTCTCCCTGCTCTGCCTGACACAGCATACTTCATGGTCACCTGTCTGTCCTCCTCCATACCTCGCAGGAAATACAAACTTATTTAGGTCCACGAATGAAACTTACTTTACCAATCATCTAGAACAGTGTGTTTAAGAAAGCATACTCCTGATGCATTTTCCATCACCCCCTGGAAAGCATTTAAAATCACACACTTCTGAGGCACCCCAGGTGGCTCAGCTAGTTGAACATCTGTCTTCAGCTTGGGTCATGATCCCAAGGTCCTGGGATCGAGTCCCACATCATCGGGCTCCCTGCTCAGTGGGGAGTCTGCTTCTCCCTCTCCCTCTGCCCCTGCTCCCTGCTTGTACTCTCCTGCGTGCTCTCTCTCTCTCACTCTAGTGTGCTCTCAAATAAAATCTTTTTTTAAAAATTGCATACTTCTTAGTGACAATGGGCTGCCAGTGCATTACTAAAGGAGAGTCTGCACAGTAAACCTACCCAAGAGAGAACCTATAGTTAGAGTGTCTACTCCCGGATACCAGTAAGGATTGACATATCCCCAGAAGAGTATTTCTCAGCTTTGTTCCTCAGCTAGTTTATGGCTATTGAGAAGAGAGGGGGTTGTGATTCCTTGAGAAATGGATTTTGTTTGAGAAATTCTGCATTTAACAAAGGTTAATGGGGATTGTGGCTTTCAAAGGAAAACTTATCTGACCATTGAACCTGCTCCTCACAGAGCTGCTCCAGGAACTCACACTCTGGGAAGGGCCTTAGGCTGCCCATCCCTGCCAGTCTGTGACACCCCATCTGGTGACCATCTACCACTGTGTCTGAGTGCTTGATATGACTCTGGACATTTTAATGGACTGAGCAGTGACCAGCTTACTCAGCTATGGCAAGGAGCCAAGCATTTCCTAACCTCTGGTATTTGCTCTGTTTTCATGGAAAGATAGATACAGAGTACATCTGCACAAACTGTTTTATAATCAAACTACTAAATCCTTTGAACTCATAGTATGCATGAACTATGACAGAAATAAGGACTTTTGTGATACTAAGGACATCATTTCTACTTGTTATAAAGGAGTTCTGAATTCCAAGCCACATGCAAATACATGGTGGTCAAAGGACCACGTTTTGTGTGATGCCAGGATCCGGTCTGATGTATCACCGGGGCCACCATGCTAAATAGACATGGGATGACTATTCTGTAGACAGAATACACTGCTTTTCTGTCTACACCCTTTTAGGATGTCTTCCCTTGTTAGGATGTCTCCCCTTGTTGGCAAGCTGTCGGCTGCCCCCTTCCACTGCGATCAAAGACTCCGCCCCTCCCTCCTTGCACTTGAAATTGACAATTTCTGGCTGAAAAAACTAAACATCCACACCTGTTAGAACTGCATGGAAAGGAGAGTAGGTAGCCTGTAAGGAAGCGCTGGGGCGTCTCCAACCATGCCCAGGCTGCCCTTTGCACAGCGGCTGCAAGCCCCCAAGGACCCGCACAGCAGTACAGTTCAGGGCTTCAGAAGGCAGCAGAGTGCCAGAGAAGAGTGTCCCTTGTGAACGAGTACTGGAGGTGATGAGGAGACCCACCTGGGAGTAACCAATGATGTTCCCACTGTGGTCGAGCACATTAAAATTGATGATGGGACCCTGCTCCTCCGGGCTGCTGAATTCAGAGTCACTGTAAATCCGCACCACAGGGGCTCCATCAGGGTACCGGAGAGCAGACAGGGCAGTGTAGGTGTACTGCGCCAAGGTAAAGGTGTGCTGCTTTATATTCTCCATTCCACCTCAAAAGCGATTGTGAAATGTCAGAGAGAAACATGGACTTCACGTGCAATTCACTCACTCGTTTTTAAGAAAAGATCATTTTAACCAGCAAAGCTGGAGCTCAGATCAATGATTCTAAATACTGGTAGATACTGTGTGATACTGTCCATATGGTTATGCATAGGTGTGGAGTACTAAACACCTTTCTGTTGCTGTTCTGTGGAATCTTCCATAGGAATTCTTGTCATCCTTCTTTTTTCTTTCTTTTTTTTTTTTTAATTTAGACCTTTGGGTTACAGATGGCACAGATACACAATTTTATCTTTATTATTATTTTAAATTTTTTTTTAATTTTATTTTTAAGTCATCTCTATACCCAATGTGGGGCTCGAACTCACAACCCTGAGATCCAGAGTCACATGCTCCACTGACTGAGCCAGCCAGGTCACAGTTTTATCTTTAAAAGTATTGGGGGAGGGGATTCCTGGATGGCTCAGCAGTTTAGCGCCTGCCTTTGGCCCGGGGCATGATCCTGGAGTCCCGGAATTGAGTCCCGGGATTGAGTCCCACGTCGGGTTCCCGCCATGGAGCCTGCTTCTCCCTCCTCCTGTGTCTCTGCCTCTCTCTCTCTCTCTCTATGTCTATCATAAATAAATAAATCTTTTTAAAATAATAAATAAATAAATAAATGTATCAGGGGATAAGATAAATAAATAAATAAAAAAGTATCGGGTGGTTTTGCTGGTTTTTTTTTTTTAAATGTCTAAAGCATTTTAACATTATCCAAATCAATTAGGGATACATGTTACAACATGGATGAACCTTGAAAACATGTGAAATAAGCCAGACACAAAAGAGCAGATAATGTATTATTCCTCTTATCTAAGTGCCTAGAATATGCAAATTCATACAGGCAGAAAGGAGACTTGAGATTACTTGGGGCTGGGGCAAGGGGAAGGGGGCAGTTACTGTTGAATGGGTAGAGTTTTAGTTTGGGATGATGCAGAAGTCCTGGAGCCAGTCAGTGGTGGATGGTTGCATACCAATGTAAGCACACTTAATGCCCCTGAAATGTACACTTACTTAAATTGGCCAAAATGGTGCATTTTGTGTTACAGATAGTTCAGCACATTTTTTTCCAAAGAAGCGATTAAGTAGGAATAACCAGGGTTTGCTTTATTGTGGAACTGATATGGTCAGTCTGTTTTCAGTTCAGAGGTGTCCCTGCCCCCATCAGACCTGCAGCTTGCAGTTTGGGTGTATATTAATATCTTTCCTTGGAAAAGTGCTCATATCTCAATACTTGTCTTTATTGTCTTTTCTTTGTCTTGGATGGTGTACATTCTCTGCATTACCATCAGGACTCCCCTCCACTCCTGTGAATCCTGTCTGCCCCCAGCTCAGGCCACGAACCTGAAGAGTCCCATTACGGTGGCAAGAGAGAGAGAAAGGAAGGACTACCTAATCATTAAGCCACATCCCTGGTTCACCACAACTCCATTTCCATATGGATGGTCCAAGCAGTACCACCCAGTTCTAGAACCTCAGCCTCTGGAGGAGTGCCCAGGAGCACAACAGGATGGTGGACGCCTGGTGCATGAGACACACGTTCTTCCAGGCATGTATCTTTGTGTCAAGCTCCACATGATGGGAAGTGGCAACTCTCTGTGTGTCAGCCTACTGTGAGGGTCCTCCACCTGCCCACACACCCGAAACATTTGCCAGGAAAGAAAACCTGCATCACTGCAAAGGCCAACAACAGAGACAGTGGTTGGGGCTCAGGGTTAGGCATTATTATGGTCTAGGTGGAAATCTCAGCCATCTCAATTATTAGGTCCCAGGGAAGGCATTTAACCTCTCTAAATATTAGCTCCTCATGAGCAAAGTGGGCTCATCATATAGCTCCCCAGTGTGACAGGAGGGAGGACCCAGAAAGGTAGCAGCTGAATAAGGTCTCAGGATCTGTAACCAGTCCTAGTTTGGGGACCAAGGATGGCTCCTCTGCTCCTGTGAAGCTACTAATCTCCTGGTTTGGAATAATCTCCTACTTGTGAAAATGTTCTTTTAACTGACACACACACACACACACACACAGCACCTCAGTCTCTTGCTCTTGCCTCAGAAGTTATTCTGAAGTTCTTCAGGATAAGCTTCAACTGCATTCAGGGTACAGCTCCCAAATGCCAACCGCTCACACAGACCCTAATCCTTATCTACCTTATCTAAACCGCACCCATTCCAAGGCTCCCTCAAGGACGCAGGTGACAGGAGCAAATTCCACATAGATAAAAGGGTCCACTGACCTGTGAGGCGCTCTAGGGCATCGAATCCATGTTTTAGTGCTATCACGTCAAGGAAGGAGATGGTGCCATCTTCAAACCTGTAACAGGGTTGAGGGGAACAAGGTCAAGCTGTGGCCAACATCTCCATGTGCATTTTGCAGCACACAACAAGGTTTTGACTCTAGTCTTGGCTATAATCGATGAATACCTCTGCTGTCTTATAAACCACGGCTCTCCCGGTCCGGATAGACGGATTTACACACAGAGACCGACGGCGCCAGTTCTGGCCCTGACTCGCTCACTGGGGGGTGCTTCCTTGGGATCGGACGGCCATGGTGACAAAGGACCCTAAAAGACAGTCACCGCCTTGAGAAATGCTATCCTGCCCCCGTGAAGACTTCGCCAAGACCTCAAGCGCCGCGGGCTCTTAAAACGCTGCCCTTGACCCCAAGGGAACACCACTGGCAAGGCGTCGGTTGGGTGTGATCAATGCGCTCGGAAGTCTAGGTTGCCAACCTAGATGCGGAACCACAGGCTTCGGGGAACATTATGAGGCTCCCAATACAGCACACATACCCCTCCTGGATTATCAGGGTGTTCACGATACTCGCATTCTGTGACTTCTGATCTAGCCAAAATATTCATCAAATCTCTACTGCCCACACACACTGTGCGCCAGGCACCGTCCTTGGTGCCCTTCTGGTGCTTCCCTTCTCCTGAGGCACAGAAACAAGGGACAACACGCGACACATAAGCAACACGCCAGCAGCGGGTGACAGTGCACTGAGGATGCAGAAGGATCTTTTTTTTTTTTTTTATGATAGGCACACACAGAGAGAGAGAGACAGAGACACAGGCAGAGACACAGGCAGAGGGAGAAGCAGGCTCCATGCACCGGGAGCCCGACGTGGGATTCGATCCCGGGTCTCCAGGATCGCGCCCTGGGCCAAAGGCAGGCGCCAAACCGCTGCGCCACCCAGGGATCCCCAGAAGGATCATTTTTGAAACAGCAGAGTTCGCAGAGGGAAAGGGCGCGTCCCAGGCAGAGGCCGCAGGGATCACCCCGAGCGGGCGGAAGCGGGCACACGTCCTGAACGGCAGGGACGTCAGCGCGTCGTCGGCGCGTCAGTGCTGCGTCAGTGCTGCGTCAGTGCGTCAGTGCTGCGTCGGTGCGGCTGGGCGCGAGTGCGCACGAGCGGGGAGCCCGCAGGGGGGCGGGACGGTGGTGGGCGTAAAGTCGGAGGACCCCCCCCCCCGTGGGGAGGTGCGGAGGCTGACGTGTGGCTGCAGGGCTCGAGCAGAGAGCAGGGGCGGGATGCGGACCCAGAGCCTGACAGGCAGAGTCCGCCCGCGAACTGCTGGGGGCGGGGGGGGGGGGGGCTCGGAGGCAGGCGGTGTCAGCGAGCATTGGCAGGAAGGATGGGGACGGCAGCCTCTGCGAGCCCACCGGTGGGTGACGGAAGCAAGTTGAAGCTTTCAGTGGAAATACTGTGCTTTGTATTCTAAGATTCTAGAGATGAGGTTTGCTCAGAATACTGTTACTGCAGTGTTAGTTCCCTTATAAAACCGATGTGTTAATAGCCGTGAATCAATTATGTGAACCAACAACTGGGTTGTTTTTATTTCTGTTTGTTTGTTTAAAGATTATATTTGGGGGCAGCCCAGGTGGCTCAAGCAGTTTAGCACTGCCTTTGGCCCAGGGCCTGATCCTGGAGAGCCAGGATCGAGTCCCACGTCAGGCTCCTTGCAGGGCGCCTGCTTCTCCCTCTGCCTGTGTCTCTGCTTCTCTCTCTCCTCTCTGTGTATTCTCAGACATAAATAAATAAAATCTTTAAAAAAAAAATATTTTATTTGGGCAGCCCCGGGTGGCTCAGTGGCTCAGCGGTTCAGCGCCGCCTTCCTCCCAGGGCGTGACCCTGGAGACCCGGGATCGAGTCCTGCATCGGGCTCCCTGCGTGGAGCCTGCTTCTCCCTCTGCCTGTGCCTCTGTCTGTCTCTCTCTCTCTCTCTCTCTCTCTCTCTCTCTCTGTGTCTCTCATGAATAAATAAATAAATCTTTTAAAATATAATAACCAGTTGTGCCATCAATATGCACGCAGACTTGTTCCAAACAATGCCATCTTTTAAAATGACTGCTTGAGTAAACTGTTGTACCTCTTGCCTGTGCTCTGGGAAAAGGCCTGGTGGCCTATCTTCCTTCCTCTCCTGAGAGTCTTTCACGTCTCCTGCTTGCAGCCCCTGTACCCTCATAGCTATGGAGAAGCCCCCAAGTGGGGGTCCAGTTCACTAAGCCACCTGGGGCACACGCCAGCCGGCCTCCATCCAAGCCCTCCAACCCCAGTGGCCCAGTTGGGTCCCTTGCACAACCCTATAGGTGACACGGGCCAGAACCCCTGCCTTGCTGAACTCGTCAGCCACTCCCACAGAGAGGTTACCTTTCAGCCACGGAGCTTCTTGGGATGTAGAAGTCTTCTCCTGCCAGGTACGCAGCAGCTGTGCCCCCTCCAAAGTAGGTTTTCCTCAGCAGAGGAGCCACACGATTATTCACCAGCAGGGCACCCAGGCCAGTGGGGAATCCAAAGAGCTTATAGAAGGAGAGGGGGACAAAGTCGGCCTGGTGGACCGACAGGTCCAAAGGTGAGGTGCTCACATAGGAGGCTGCATCGAGCAGCACGAACCACTTGCCAGGCACACTCACAGGGCACATCCGCCCAGCCTTGACCTCTCCTATCCAGGACAGGGGGTACCTGGTCCCGGAAAAGTTACTCTGCGCGGGGTAACAGAAGAGATGCGGAAGCTGGCAGTCAGGGTCACTGGCGGCAGCGGCCCGTCTCTCTGCCAACCGCATGTCCTCTGGCCTGACTGGGATGGAAGTGACGTTCATGGCCATGGTGACCTTCCTCATGCCCACCACGGAGGTATGGCTGTCAGTGAGGTAACAGAACCGGCTCCCGCTGCACTCCGGGCCTGGGGACACCCACGGGAAGGCCTCCGCCACCAGTTTAAGAGCAGCCGTGCTCCCTGCCGTGAAAATCACACTGTAGTCCTCTGAGGAGGTGTGGAAGTGCGCCAGAATCCTGGAAGAAGCATAGCATCATGCCAATCCGTGGTCTCAGTAGTGTCAAATGTTCAGGGGTAGCTGTATTTGACCTCTCTCTCTCCCTTTATATTTAGGGAAAAACCCAGATCAGCTTTGCCACAATTACAAAGTTAGGGTAGGGGAAGAGCAAGCAGCAGGAAGAGATGACAAACCGGTTCAAGCTGGCAAGATCAGCTCTGCCTCCCATGTCCCCACCCTCAATGGATAAGATAAAAATCCACGGGGCAGGATGCCTGGGTGGCTCAGTGGTTTAATGCCTGCCTTTGGCCCAGGGCGTGATCTGGGAGCTCCAGGAGTCCCACGTTGGGCTCCCAGCATGGAGCCTGCTCCTCCCTCTGACTATGTCTCTGTCTCTGTCTCTCTCTCTCCCTCATGAACAAATAAAATCCTTTAAAAAAAATCCATGGGGCACCTGGGTAGCTGTCTGTTGAGCATTTGATTCCTTTTTTGTTTGTTTTCCTTTTTAAATGATTTTATTTATTTATTTCAGAGAGAGAGCATGCAAGCATGAGTGGGAGGTGGGGTGCAGCAAAGGGAGAAGCAGGCTCCCCACTGAGCAGGGAGGCCAATACAGGCTTGGCTCCATCCCAGGACCCTGGGATCACAACCTGGGCTGAAGGCAGATGCTTAACTGACTGAGCCACCCAGGCACCCGGAGCATCCAACTCTTGATTTCAGCTTAGGTCATGATCTTAGGGTTGTGAGATCAAGCCCTGAGTCAAGCTCCATGCTCAATGGGGAGTCTGCTTGGGATTCTCTTTCTCCTTTCCCGCCCCTCTGTCTCCCCCTGTGCTCATGTGCTCTCTCTCTCTCTCCTTCTCTCTCTCAAATAAATAAATGAATAAATAAATCTTTTTTTAAAAAAGATAAAAATCCACAACAACCTCAACCCTAGAAAATACTCTCTCCTTGGACCACTCTCCTTGGTTCAGCTCTATTGCAGCAAGTTTTAAGTCACCAACTTGTTTCATGGTGCTTTTAAAATTGGCAGCCCAGCTTCCCTTTTAAATTGGAAATAACTTGTTATATTCATTCAAGAAACTTCAGGCACCACTTGGAAATTACTATAAAGGAATTATTACGCGTGGAGAAAAGGGGAGATGGATAAAACAAGATGCCCAATGAAACATGAAAGCCCAAAGAAAATGTTTTTCTTCTCTCTGAAAATGAGACTTAGGAAATTGGGTCCCTCCTGGTCACTCTGGCCCTCAGGCACTCTGGCATCAGCCTGAAGCTGCACACAACAGCTGTGCACACCTCAGAGCCACCCACCTGTGCTTCAGATCAGCCCTGCTCTGCACCTACTCACTCACACCTTCCCGTCCCCTGCCCCTGATATTTGTCACTGTGCATGTGATCATTTAGCCAAATGCGATCTTCCTGAAACCAACTCAGAGCTTTTGTGGAATGCGGTGGGTGGTAGGGAAGAAATCCATCCACCTGGGAGTGCCCACTCAGGCTGGCACCTCTGCCACTCACCTGTAGCGCACGTGTTCCACGGTTTCGTGGGTGAGCTTGCTGCTGATATTCTGGCTGTGAGGATTACCTGGCAGGTTACAGAGACAAAGCCATCAAGTCACTACTTGTGTTTCTCCTCTTGTGTTCCTCCAAAACCCTCTCTTTTGGTTTCTCAAAAAGCTAAGCATACAATTACTCTATGACCCAGCCATGCCACTCTGATACACTCAAGAGAAATGAAAACGCATGTCCACACAAAGATTCATGCACAGAAATGTTCAAAGGGAGGTTTATTGATAAAGCCAAATTCTGGGAACAACATGAATGTCCATCAACTGATCAGCAGAGAGACAAGATGTTGTATATCCACACAATTGGAAAGTATTCACAACAAAAAGGGAACAATCTACTGGCTATGTCATGAATGAACCTCAAAAACATGCTAAGAGAAAAAAAAACATGCTAAGAGGTCACAGATTGTTTGATTCCTTTTATATGAAATGTCCAGCAAAGGCAATTGTATAGAAAGATATTCAGAAAGTAATGGATTAGTGGTTGCCTGGGACTGAGGGGGTAACAGGGATGAATTATAAATAGGCATCAGAGGGGCAGCTCTGGTGGCGCAGCAGTTTAGCGCCTCCTGCAGCCCAGGGTGTGATCCTGGAGACCCAGGATCCAGTCCCAAGTCAAGTTCCACGTCGGGCTCCCTGCATGGAGCCTGCTTCTCCCTCTGCCTGTGTCTCTGCCTCTCTCTCTTTCTCTCTGCATCTCTCATGAATAAATAAATAAAATATAAAAAAAAATAAATCATTTAGAACATTTTCATTCCCCCATAAGATCTCTGATGCCTGTTTATTTTTTAAAAGATTTTATTTATTTATTCATGAGAATACACAGAGAGGAGAGAGAGAGGGAGAGACACAGGCAGAGGGAGAAGCAGGCTCCATGCAGGGAGCCTGACGTGGGACTCGATCCCTGGTCTCCTGGATCATGCCCTGGGCTGAAGGCGGCACTAAACCACTGAGCCACCAGGGTTGCCCCTAAATGATTTATAATGATAGTAGCATCACTTGTTAGTTACTAAAATCACTAAATTGTACATTTGAAATAGATGAATTGTATAATATGTAAAACATAACTTGATTTTTAAAATACTTTTTTAAACAAACAAACCAACCCCTGCCTCCCACTAGTAGAACAAGATGGGATTGGGAAGAACATTCTGGAGATGGAAGTCAGCTCACTGGCAGCCAGGCCAATGCTAGAACCTTTTCTGCAAGTTCCCTGACAGGTGGTTCTGATCAGTAATCCCAGGGAAGCAAGTACACATCCTCAGGAGGCTGCCCCTTCCCCAGCCATGAGACAGAGCCATGAACACCACTTCAACTAAATCCCCCTCTCTTGCCCTGTGTTCATACTCCTGCTCCTGGCATTGTTCCCGCAGAAACACATCTAATTCCTCCAAATATGTGAAGGGGGCCATCACATCTCCCCTTAGCCCAGGCTCAAGGCTAACATCTCTACTAATTTCACTTGTCAATTTCTAATTTTTCTCCCCTCCTTCCATCTCCCCTGAGTGGGTCCCGAAGTATCATTACCTCCCTCAAAACACAGCCCCCCGGGTGAGGACACAGACCTGGGGCTGGACATGCAGGACTCAGGCACAGCATTTCTCAGGAGCAGGACTACATATGCACATTAGGGGCTGGACATGCAGGAGCTGGACATGCAGGAGTCAGGCACAAGCATTTCTCAGGAGCAGGACTACATGTGCACGTTAACGCAGTCTTGACTTGTTTTGTTTGTTCATTTGTTTTCTCATTTCATGTTTCTACCATGCCGTCTGGTCACACTGGATTTCTGGCCACTGAAGCTACCACTATTCCTTTTCCATAAGCACCAGTAACCTGTGAGACTCGGTACTTACCTGAATAGCCTCTCAACACTCTAGTTTTTAGCTCAGCACCACCTCCAGTCTAGATTCTGTCACCGTGCCCACAGTTATGACTCTTGCAAAGATTTAGAGAAGATTTGTGGATCTCTTTGCAAATCATGGATTAAAGTCAAGATAAGGTCCCTCACTGGCATCTCCTCTAGAAACTCTTCTCTAGACTTAAATATCTGCTGGTTGCCCAGGATCATATTGGGGCATGATAGGATTGTCATGAACTGAGGGAGTCTGGTGAGGGCCAAGGCCTTGCGCTCTGGAACCCAACTGCCTGGAGATCCAGCTCCCCCAGCCCCAGCACTTCCTGACTGAGTGGCCTCCGGTTAGCTCCCTATCCTCTCTGGGGCCCAGGAGTGAGAACAGAACCTGTACCTTAGCTTGTTGGATAGCAGCACCTGTACACTAGTTTGCTGGGAGAGCAGAGGGGGACAGTGGAGATAAAGTGTCTGGAGCAACCAAATATGGTTTCTAGAGGAAACATCAAACTCCACAGAGCGCCCTCAATGCCCCTACCTCTCCATTCAGGCCCCCTGCACTCTCCTCCCCTTCTCTGCACTCCGGGGCTAATTCCTGGACCCACTAATGGGTCTGGGTTCATGCTATTACCTCTGCCTGGAATACCCTTCTCCCTCTCTTCTCCATGTGAATTCCTGCTCATCCTCCAGGATCCACCCCACTCCTAAAACAGCTTTTTCTGACACACAAATGGCCAATGCTGTGGCTCTGAAGCCACACCCCACCACAGTATCAGGGCCTTGTGTTCACAGCCCTTCATATAGCTGGTCATTTACATTTATATTGGAGCTCACAGGATTAGGTCCTGTGTACTAGGTCACAGCCCACGAAGGCAGAGGCAGTGCTTCCTTTGTCTTCATGTTAGCACCATGCCCCCAATACCAAAGTGGCCCAATAAACATTTATGGAGTGAAAGAATGAGGGTGCCTGAATGGTGCAGTCGATTAAGCATCCAACTCTTGGTTTCGACTCAGGTATGATCTCTCAGAGACATGAGATCGAGCCCCATGTCAGGCTCTTCACTCAGTGCAGAGTATGCTTGAGTTTCTCTCTCTCTCTCTCCCTCTGCCCCTCCTGCCTGTGTTCTTGCTCTCTCTCTCTGGCTCTCAAATAAATAAATACATCTTAAAAAAAAAAAAAAGACTGAATGTCCTTCCTACCACCTTACCCTGTGCACTGCACTGTCCCCCAGGATCATACTGCTGTCAAACACAGCACCTTGTACTTCTGTGCCCTTCTGACATTGACCCGTTCTTCTGGAAGTAAATTGTGTCCCTGAGCCAATTCTTCCTAATCCTGGCAGTGCATGTATTATAGGGACTGACCTGTGGGCTTCCTTGACCACCCCACCCCCACGGGGCCTATTCAGTGCTACATGCTCAGTCCTGGTCTATTAATCCAACATTTGGTAAGCAGAGATATATCAGCTGAATGTAGTTGGCTCCTATTCAATGCAAAAGTCAGCTTTGGTGTGTTGTTCTTTACCATAAACATTTTCCATGAGATCATTAGTGAAGCTTGTGAGCTGACTCTGGGGGAACAACGTGGCTCCTGCATGGTCAAGGTAGACAGTTCCTGAAAGAAAACACAGAATAAAGCTGTGGTTGTTTTTCAGAGGTATTCTACTTCTATTACCAGGATCTTGTCTGGGTGAGCTTGAGCAGTGGGACCACCAGGCTACTGATTTCTCCCAGCCTCTTGATAGGAGCTTCTTAATCGAAATAGTAAGCATGAGCAATGGAAGATTGCACTCTCCTGTGTAATCAACTTTAGTGCCCGGAGCAAGGCTGCCTGATTAGCCAGCTCTTTCGTAAAACCAGGAACAGTATCCCACACACAGGAGGAGCCCAACAGACATTTGTCATCAATGACGGTAAAGTAATTTCACACGGATGACTCACTTCCTACCCAGGATTTCCTTGCTGCTTCCCCGGCGGTTGGTCGAGCTCTGAGTCTGCTTTCCCACAGTGAATTCGCCATCCCTCGACCCTGGACCAGTTCTGAGAGCTTTGGAAAATACTAGGATTGTAAACGATCTTTCTAGCCTCTTTCATAAACAGAGATATAGGCAAATATAGATGAGAGGGAAATGCTGAGGTTTTCCCATCAGATGGTGGAGACCAGAAGGTTGGATAACTCACCGTGTGGGTAAAGGTGCTGGAAAAGAGGCCTGCTGGGACATGGCTGGTTGGAGGCTACACTGATACAGCTTCTTTATGGACAGTAGTTTGTCAATATGGGTTACACTTTCAAATGCAGATCCACAGGGCACCTGGGTGGCACAGTTGGTTAAGTGTCCAACTCTTTTTGAGTTCAGGTCATGATCTCAGGGTCATGGGATCAAGTCCTGCATGGGTCTCCAAACTCAGCAGGGAATCTGCTTAAGATTCTATCTCCTTCTCCCACTGCCCCTCCCCCATTTTCTCTCTCTCTCTCCCAAATAAAGAAGTAAATCTTAAAAAGAAAAGAAAATACAAACCCTCTTTGACCCAGCAATCCCTCTTCTAAGAATTCACCTTATAAATCCCCATGGTTTGTGAAATGGCCTGCACATGAGGACACTTAGTGCAGCATTGTCTGCAGAAGCCAGAGACTGGAAATGACTTAAATGTCCATGAACATGTGTTTAAAATAAAGAATTCTTGTACCTCCATCTAGTACTTTTTAAGTACTGACATGGAGTAAACTCTAAGATAACACTTTTGAGAACATACAGTGTGAACATTCATTCCTCCTTTCATTCACTTAAATGGTTTTTTTTCTGTTGTGAAGAATGGATTTTTTTTTTGTTTCTTGTATAACAGCTTTATTGAGATATAATTCCCATACCATAACATTCACCCTTTTAGTGGTGCTTTTAGCAGATCCATAAAGTTGTGCAACCATCACCATTATCTAATTTTTGAACAATTTTATTCATCCCAAAAAGAGAGCCCATACCCACTGCCAATCACTCCCCAATCTACCCAGCCCCAGCCCCTGGCAATCACTAATCTACTTTCTGTCTCTACAGATTTGCGGATTCTGGGCATTCCACATAAATGAAATCATATACTATGTGGCCTTTTGTGTCTGCCTTCTTCCACTTAGCATCCATATTTTCATGTCATTCATTTTTATGACTGAATAATATTCTACTGTATGGACGCACTACATTTTGTTTATCAATTCATCCAATGATAAACATGTGGGTGGTTTCTATTTTTTGCCTGCTATAAGTAATGCTGCAATGACTATTTATGTGCAAGTTTTTATGGGGACATCTGTTTTCTCCCATTCGGTCAGTTGTCCTTTTTTGGTGGTATCCATTGAAGCATAAAAGTTTTTAGTTTTGATGAAGTCCAATTTTTCTATTTCTGTTGTTACTGTTGCTTGTAATTTTAGTGACATAAGAAACCATTCCTAATTCAAGGTCCTGATGATTATTGCTTATGCTTTCTTCTAAGAGTTTTATATTTTTAGCTCTTGTATTTCAGACTTTAGTCCATTTTTAGTTAAAATTTTTAAAGATTTTATTTATTTAATCATGAGAGACACAGAGAGAAAGGCAGAGACATAGGCAGAGGAAGAAGCAGGCTCCCTTTGGGGAGCCTCATGCAGGACTTGATCCCAGGATCCTGGGATCATGCCCTGAGCCAAAGGCAGATACTCAACCACTGAGCCACCCAAGTGCCTCATTTTTTTTTTTCAGTTAATTTTCAAATACAGTGTGAGGTAGGGGTCCACCTTCATTCTTTTGTGTGTGGATACCAGCTGCCCCCACACTATTTGTTGAAGAGACTATTCTTTCCTCTATTGAATAGTCTTGGCCTTCTGTTAAAAAGCAATTGACCATAGATGTGTGGGTTTATTTCGGACTTACAATTCTACTCCATTGTTTCATGCATCTATCCTCATACCACATTGTCTTGATTACTGTAACTTTATATAAATTATACTTACTTTACTTTTATGGGAAGTGTGAGTCCTTCAACTTTGTTCCCTCCCAAGGTTGCTTTGGCTAGTTGGGTCCCTCCCATCTCTACATGAATTTTAGGATCAATTTGTCAATTGCTGCAAAAAGGTACCTGGGATTTTGGTTGGAATGACATTCAATCTGCAGATCAGTTTGGGGGGTATTGTCATGTTAACAATACTTAGTCTTCAAATTCATGAATATAGGATGTCTTTCCATTGATTTAAGTCTTCCTTTATTTCTTTCAATGACATGTTGTAGTCATCAGTGTTCGCTTTCTACTTCTTTTGATAAATTTATTTCTATGTATTTTATTCTTTCTGAAGCTTTCCTTTATTTAATTTTCATAGCTTTTCTTACTAGTATATAGAAATCAGGTTGATATTTGTATATTGAGCTTCTATCCTGTAACCTTGCTGAGCTTGTTTTTTAGTTCTAATAGTTTTATATGTGGATTCTTTAGGATTTTTTTATATACAAGGTTATGTTATCCACAAATAGAAATGTTTTCCAATCTAGGTGACTTTTGTTCCATTTTCTTGCCTAATTTTCCTGGTTAGAACCCCTAGTACAATGTTGAATAGCAGTGGTGAGACCAGACATCCTTGTCTTATTCTTGATCTTAGAAATAAAGCTGTCAGTCTTTTGCCAGTAAGTATGATATTAGCAGTGGATTTCTTGAAGATAGCCTTTATCAGGCCAATTAAATTTCCTTTTATTTCCTCGTTTATTGTATTTTTACATTCAAGAAATGTTTATTGAGTAATTACTGTGTGCCAGACACTATTCTAAGTGGTGGAGACACAACAGTAGACAAAAAAGCTGGTATGATAGTGACAGAGAAAGACCATAAACAAATAAATGCAAACTGTGTCAGTTAACAGATGTTATGTCTCAATTACGTGATAAAAAAAAACTGTACATACTCATATAAATATAGACAACAACTCAAAAGAGACACAGGACACAAGTGGCAGGAGCTGACCCTGGGGCAGCCACCATGGCTGTGGCTGGAGTGAGATGGGGCTCCCTGGCCCTTTACCATCCTTTGGCAACTTTGGAGTGCTATGTAAAGGTACTACCTAATCAAAAAAAAAAAATTAGTTTTAGAATAACGTTCTCTTTAACTGAAGATTCAGAAATACAAATGCACCATGCCAAAAGACAGGTTTCTGTCTAGGCACACATCAGGGAGATGCTTTTGTGAAGCCCCGGGTGAACATGTGAAACCTAAGGGGTTCCCAAGGAGCACCATATGTCTTGCGCACAGTCTTCTGCAGGGCCAGGAAGCCTTTTGGGAGAAGGCTACTTTGGCCTTTGGTCCAGTAGTTAATTTTGCAAAACCAGTCAGCCCTGTTAGATTAGCTAGAGATCTGAGAAGCCAGCTAGCACCGTGGTTAACAGTGCAGAATCCAAGTCAGCCACCTTGACTGAATTTTGCTCTACCTCTAGCCACTCTGGATCCCTGTTCCTTCACCTGCAGATGGGATGCGGGTTAAAAGAGTCCGTAAACAGAGCCCAGTTTAGTGCTTGGCATAGAGTAACACCCACTGAGATTTGACTGTTATTAGAAGAAGCAAGCAAACGACCCCCAAACCCACTGGTATTGGGTCTTCAAGAAGGAAATTCCAGGGTCTCTTCTAGACCTTGCCTCTTCAGTTCTCAGTTCTATACAGGGTGAGTGGCTATCCGTCAGCACTCTGAGACTTCAAGAACCATTTGTACCACATCTGAAAATTCAGTATGCTCCCTTCACCAAGACAAGGGAATTCCCAACCAATTGGTTAGGCAAAATGTTTCAGCATTTAAAGATTAAGCATGTAATTATCTAGAGCTACCATGTAACCGAAAAACTCTCCAGCCTGCACAAAAACTATGAGGAGAAGGAGGAAGGGGAAAAGAAGAGGAGATGAAGGTTATGTTATTTTGTTTTGTTTGTTTTTCCCTGATCTCTGAGAGAAAAAAAAGTGCGTGCTTATGTTCCAAGACTCCCAGCCATGGAAAGGGTGGGTTTAATTCACAAAACTCTACTTGAACTATTAATGTAGAGGAAATGCTGGGAACTTGCACTAGGTAGATAGATAGATAGATAGATAGATAGATAGATAGATAGATGATAGAATACAAAACAGTAGATTTTTTAAAAAGATTTTATTCATTTATTCATGAGAGACACAGACAGAGAGGCAAGGGACACAGGTAGAGAGAGAAGCAAGCTCCCTGCAGGATCCCGATGTGGGACTCAATCCCAGGACCCCAGGATCATGCCCTGAGCCAAAGGCAGACGCTCAACCACTGAGCCACCCAGGTGTCCCAATACGGTAGATTTTAAAGGGGCTCTGAAGCCTGGGATCCTGGTTATCACATCTAAATTTTACATTTAAGGGAAAAGGTGCTGCTCTCTGAGGGACAAGTAAACAAGTAGTCACAGTTCCCAGGGTAGTCTTCAGGGGAGAGGTCAGCCAGTGATGGGTGTGAGGGACCAGAGCTGGAGGGATTAGGAGATTAAGCAGGTGTGGTGCAGAAATAATTATGGGCTGCACCAAAACAGCCTCTAAACTTTCTTCAAAAGAATGCGGAGCCTCCTTCCCTCCCTCCACCTCTGTGAGTGTTCATTGTCCCAGGCTACTCCTAGGGTGGAAATTTCCATAATACAAACTTTCAGGGACAGCAGGCAGAAGCATCGGGGTGAGGTGCTGTCTCCTCCAGGTGGATGTGCCACTAGGAAGAATGGGCAGGTGGTAGAGAGGACGCCAGAAGGCTCGCGGTCTCCCTCCCGAGTTCCCTACAGAGGTACAGACAGGAGACACACAGAGCAGAGGCCACAGCCCTGAAAGCCCTCCAAGAGAAAAAACCAGTCACTCTCCCAAACAGGAGAAAGTGACTCAAAAGAGCTGAAATCAGCTACCCGATTAATGAAATATTACGCCAGGGTGGCTGTTGTGCCACCAGCAAGGAAGCAGTCACCAGTTAGTTGCTCACTGCGACAGAACGAGTACGAGTCAACTCCGGGCGCCACCACGGAGCCCACTTCACCTGCGGGCCCTCCCTGCCCCGCCGGCCCGCGGTTCTGAGGCTCGAGGCCGCCCCTCACTTGAGGTCCCTTAAAAGAGCGAGTCCCTACACAGACCCCACAGGTGCGGGCGCCCTCTCGCCCTGCAACAAGGGCCAGATGAAGCTCGACTTAAAATTCGACCAGCCTGTTCCGTCCTGCGGAAACCAAAGGGACGATGTGATCCCGGGCCTTGTGTCCAGTTTACAGGCTCGCCCTGCCCTTTAAGCTTTAAGCTCAAAGTGCCCGTTTTGCGAATGGGAGTCGCCCGGCGAGCTAGAGCTCGGAGGCATTATTCTGACTGCACGCCTGAGAAAACTGAGGCTTCGAAAATAAAAGATGCGTGTGAGCTCAGTCTCCAGAGGCTGTAGCCTCTGGGTCGCCACGGCGCGCCCCCCGCCCCGCGCCCCGGCCACCCGGGCGCTGCACCTGTTCGCGGGCGGGCGGACGGGCGAGCGCCCCAACAGCCGCGGCGGCAGGACATCCCCGCATTTTGCAAGCTAGCTCCGACCTTTAGAGCAAGCCTGGCCCAAAGGAATGAATCCTAAGGCCGGCCCGCGGTGGGCGAGTAGGAGCAGGTGAGTAAGGAGTAAGGCAGGGACGAGGCTGGTCCTGCACCGCGGGAAAAGCCTAAGGAGCTAGATCGCAGGAAATCTTGGGCTGCAGGTGGGACCTCGGGGAGCCGGGTCCACGAAGCGGACGCGTGGACACGCCTCTCCAAGTCTTTCGGTCCAAAATGTATCCCAAACAAGGTGAGCCGCTCCCACCTAGAGCCAAAGCTCCTTCCACCCCAGTTCCAGAACCCGCGCGCCCGCCCCGTCCTCCCTGCCGGGTCCACCCGCACAGGTGCCCCGCCAGCCTCACCTGCCAGGCGGCCGAATTCGCGCTGGCGCAGCTCCCGCAGGCTGCGCGGCCCATAGCCGTAGGCGAGCGGCCGCTTGCTCGCCTCCCGGAACCGCGCGAAGGCCAGGAGCTCGGGCCCCCGCGGCGCAGCCCCGCCGGCCATGCCTCGCGCCGTCCAGGCCGCCGGCGGGGGAAATGCGGACGCGGGCCGCAGCGGCTGCGAGCCAGGGGCGCTGACTCACGGAGTTTCACTTTCTGCGGCCCTTTTCCTGGGGGCGGGGCCCGTTTCTGTGATCTCTTTGAACGGCTTCCCAGGGGAGCCCACGGAGAGGCCCCCGAGGACCCGCGGAGCTCGAAGCTCCGTGTCCGCGAGCTTCCGAGTCTGGGGCAGAGGCAGCGCGCTGCTCTCCGCTGCTCCGCATCCTGACCCTTGTCCTCGGCGTTTGCAAGGAGACTTGGCCTTGCTGCTCTCCCCTGCCGTGTGTCTGAGGCAAAGTGTGGAAGAGGAAGAAAGACTGGGGCTCCAGGAGGTTGCTGTTTAGTAGGCTCTCAGCGGTTGCACACCACCGAAACCGTAGCTCGGTCGCGACTCCGACCCGAGGGCCTCCTGCGCTCTGCCCTTGGACCTGCGGCCGGGGTGCCCGAGTCAGGGCGGCTCTGTCCCCGGGGCACCACTGCCTCATACTGAGCGGCAGGCCCAGCCCAGGCGCCGGTGCGGGAGCGAGGCGGCAGGTGCACAAGGTGGGGCCCGGCACGAGGATGGGAGGGAGAACTCGGGTGCGATCCCAGGGTGGGGACCCGCTTCGGAGGATGGAGGGAAAGGTGACCAGGTAGCGGAGGCCTAGGCGAGGTGCCTGGTGTGGAACCAAGTTAGGGAGCTTAGCGCAGAACCTGCAGTGAAGAGGCACCAAGCGCTGGGAGCCAGGTGAAGGGACTCAGGTGTGGGCCAAGTAGAGCGACCCACCCAAGGAGGGGTGGACCACTGGCTTCCGAAGCATACCATGGTCCTCGGAGGTGGGAAGGGCGCCCATGGCACAAGTTCACCGCCTGCGCCCCAGCCAGGCTGGCTGCAGCCTAGTGCAGGTGCCTCAAGCCCTTGCGATGCGTGATGACGTATGTACCCTATGTACCCCGCAGATCCCTGGGCCCAGCCTCTGCCTGTATAAAAAGCAGCCCGAGGGCTGCCGCCTGGCTCAGCTCGAGAGCTGCGGGAGGGCCATGCACAGTGTTGCCCCTCCTGGCCCAGCCCCTGAATATTAGGTTGCATTGGGGGGCTGGGGGGTCTATAAGGGCCCTGTCCAGAGGTTCCTCATTCTGGGGCTGCAGCTGAGGGGGCCGAATCCTGGCATGCCCTGTGCTGAGGGGGCCTCTGCCTGCAGACAGCCCCAGCTCATCCTCACTGCCAGATCCACAGGTCCTTACTGGCCAAGCATTCATACTTGTTCTGGAATGAACATATTCATGAACGAATGCCCAAATTTGCTCATTGGCATCACTGACCACTGCCAGCCCCTTCTGCCTACACTTGGAGCTAGAACCTTGGGCACTGGTGGCATCTTCACCTCTCTCCACTGTACTCTCCTGAAATGTGACTTCTGGCAATAAGGGCAAGAGCAGGTACCGCCCTGGGCACCTGTATGCCGTTACCTGTACTCATTATTCCACACTTAAGTAAGCAGATCCATGAGGTGGCTCTTACAGGTGGAGAAGCTAAGTCACAGAGATGTGCGGTGACTTGGTCAAGAGCACACAGCTAGAAGACGGACAAGTCAGCACGTGTGAAGTCAGTTTCCAGTGACCAATTCCAGCTAAATGCGTCCAGCAGCCTCTCTGGTGCAAGCCTCTATGGGCCTCAGGGCCTCGGTTTTCCTGTATCTAAGTTGGGAGAGGGCTGTTCACCCCAAAGACTGTTTGGTGACTGTGCCACGCACCCCTACTTTTATTATCCTACTTCCCAGAGAGGATCCCTTCTAGGCCAGGCTTTTCAGGCATATATTTGCATGAATTGCCTGGAAGCCTATTAAAATGCAGATTCCGATTCTTCAAGCTTGGGGTAGGACCTGAGGTTCTGAGTCTCTAAGGAGCCTGGGTGATGCTGTCACTCAGGTCCAAGAACTGCACTCTGAGGAGTGAGGGCCTTTCATATTTCCCTAGGAATGTAAGGAGTACCTACCTCTGCTCAAGGTGTTCTGTTGGCCAGTAACAAATCCCAGATCTGCAAGGGGGCTGCTTTCCAACAAGTTTGCCTAGTGAATAATCCGAATGGGTCAACTCAGTGCAGAACTCCTTTTTTAAAATTTATTTTTAGTTGTGGTAAAATATACATAAAATTTACCAACTTAGCCATTTTTAAGAGTACGGTTCAGTAGTGTTAAGTATATTCACACTGTGTGCAACCAATCTCCAGGAACTCTACCCATCTTGCAAAACTGAAACTGTATCCAGGAAACAACTTCCCATTCCCCCCGCCCCCACCCTTCTATTTTCTGTCTCTGTAAATTTGGCTACATTAGTGAAATCATATAATATTTGTCTTTTTGTGACTGGCTTATTTCACTTGCATAATGTCCTCAAGATTCATCCATATTGCAGCATGTGTCAGAATTTCCTTCTTTTTTAAAATGGAATAATATTCCATTGTGTGTATATACCACATTTTACGTATCCATTCATCTATTGATGGGACATTTGGATTACTTCCACCTCTTGGCTTTTGTGAATAGTGCTGCTATGAACATGAGTGTACAAATACCTTTGAGACTCTACTTTCAGCTCCTTTGGATATAGAACCAGAAGTGGGATTGCTGAATCATGTGGTAGTTCTAATTTTTGAGGAACCGCCATACTGCTTTCCACTAGCAGCTGCACCATTTTGCATTACAACAGTACACAGGGGTTCCAATTTCTCCTCATTCTCACCAACACTTATTTTTCTATTGTTACTTTATAGAAATCATTCTACTGGGTGTGAAGTGACATCTCATTCTGGTTTTAATGTGCACTTCCCTAATGATTGGTGGTGTTAAACATCTTTTCCTATGCTTTTTGGACATTTGTATGTCTTCTTTGGAGAAATGTCTATTCAAATCCTTTGAATTCATTTTTCAATTCGGTTTTTTTTAATTGTTGAGTTGTAGAAGTATATATTCTGAAATTAACCCCTTATCAGGTAATAATTAGCAATATTTTCTCCCATCCTACAGATGGCCTTTTCACTTTAATTGTATCCTTTTAGGTACAGCGCAAAACTCTTGAACTACCATTTGGTCAAGAAATATCTTTAAGTTCCTGACTCTGCCCAGGGCACCACATACTCAGGAGGATCGGAAGGAATTGTGCCTATGGAGCCATGCAGGAAAATAAGCTATTGAACATCTAGCCACTAGGCCATGTGGCCTGAGCACTGTCCCACCACTCCAAGAAGGAGGTGTAGAATTGCAGGGGAGTGGAAAGGAGCTACTTCCAACCAGGGAGTTCAGGGAAGGCACCCCAAAGGAGCAAGCCTTTGACCTGGGCCATAGCAATGTGTCTGTGAAGGGAGGGAAAGTAGTGGGGGATGCCAGAAGGCTCAGCCTCTAATTGGCACCCTCAAATTTATTCACCAAGATTCCCCAGGGGTCTCCTGAGAGAAAGAGACATCAGAAATCAGATTGCCATGGTTCTCAAAATATACCCTAAAAACTACAGAACACTTCTGAAAGAAATTGAGGAAGACACAAAGAGATGGAAAAATATTCCATGCTCATGGATTGGCAGAATTAATATTGTGAAAATGTCAATGTTACCCAGGGCAATTTACACGTATAATGCAATCCCTATCAAAATACCATGGACTTTCTTCAGAGATTTAGAACAAATTATTTTAAGATTTGTGTGGAATCAGAAAAGACCCCAAACAGCCAGGGGAATTTTAAAAAAAGAAAACCATATCTGGGGGCATCACAATGCCAGATTTCAGGTTGTACTACAAAGCTGTGTTCATCAAGACAGTGTGGTACTGGCACAAAAACAGACATATAGATCAATGGAACAGAACAGAGAACCCAGAAGTGGACCCTGAACTTTATGCTCAACTAATATATGATAAAGGAGGAAAGACGATCCACTAGAAGAAAGACAGTCTCTTCAATAAATGGTGCTGGGAAAATTGGACATCCACATGCAGAAGAATGAAACTGGACCACTCTCTTGCACCATACACAAAGATAAACTCAAAATAGATGAAAGATCTAAATGTGAGACAAGATTCCATCAAAATCCCAGAGGAGAACTCAGGCAACACCCTTTTTGAACTTGGCCACAGTAACCGGAGAAGGACAGTGTATGTTCTCATTCATTTGGGGAATATGAATAATAGTGAAAGGGAATATAGGGGAAGGGAGAAGAAATGGGTGGGAAATATCAGAAAGGGAGACAGAACATAAAGACTTCTAACTCTGGGAAATGAACTAGGGGTGGTGGAGGGGGAGGAGGGCGGGGGGTGGGGGTGAATGGGTGACGGGCACTGAGGGGTACACTTGACGGGATGAGCACTGGGTGTTACTCTGTATGTTGGTAAATTGAACACCAATAAAAATTAATTTATAAAAAAAAAAAAAAAGAAATCAGATTGCCCATTCTTACTCTCCCTAAAGCAGAAACTCCTGCCCCCATGAGTGAAATGCCTTCCATGTGTTGTCAGTGGGTTCCTGCCTGCCACTGCCTTGTCTGGCCTGGTCCACTGCTGACCCTGGAGCCTTCAGGGCCTGAGCTGACCATGCTGAGGCCAAGAAGCTAGCTTCTGCACCCAAAGTCTAGAGCTTCATAGGGAAAGTTCTTCAGCTCCTACCTATGGCCCTCTCTCAACATGGAACTAGGAAAAATATGTACCTACAGGCCAGACTGGGCAGACATGAGAGACAGCCCGGATTCTGTACTTAAAATCTCTCTCACTGGGTGAGGCTTTGTCCCGGGTCCAGCTCACTGAGCTTGGATGATAAATCGCCCAAACCCTTGCTCCCATGTTAACAGACTTCTAGAAGACCCCACCCCCAGGGCTCCCTGGCTATGGACTCCATTTGCAAAAACCTCCACTCTACAGAATGCATTCGTTCACATATTCTTCATTCACTCGGCAAAAGTTCTATGAGTATTTCTCAGAATTAAAGTCTATAGTGGCTGCGGAAGACATGGTAGATTTGGGGGCAGATTTTGGAAGGCTGTAAATCAAGCTAAAGGAACTACAATTTCATTCTGAACAATTCTTAGCACAAAAGTGTTCCCAAGAGGTGATTTAGGTAGATCTAATGGGCACGACTGCGTGGGGAGAATGGGCAGTAGAGAGACCAGCTACAACCTCCTGCAACCCTCAGGCTTGAGTCACAGAGATGCAAGTGGGCACTGGCAGGGGTGTCATCCAGTGTTCACTGGGGAGCTGCTCCCTGTGAGGAACACGCTCGATCTGGGAAGACAGCAGTCAGTACAGCAGCCTGTGTGCCTGAGAGGCCCCCAGGGAAGAAGACCAGTCTGCAGCTAGATTATTCCTTCTACACCGCACAGTGCTGGAGAAGGGAGCTCCCAAGAGATTGAGGCTGTAAGGGAGAAAGCCTCCTCAGCCTGGTGCTTCTCTAAAGAGAAGGTGAGAGAGGGAGGGCAGCATCCCACGTGCAAATGCTGGAGATATGAAAAGGCTCAGAAAATTACAGAAGCACAACCCTGAAGGAGGCTGGAGCACAGGCTGTGGCTGTGCAGGGATAAGGGGTGGGAGGACAGGGAGTGAGGAAAGGGAGTGGGCCACACTCTGCAGCCAGAAGTGTCAGGAAGGTGCCAGGGAGTCCCGACAGGAGAGTGGCTGTGTCAAAGGTGTGTCTGACACCCCAGCAGCGCTGAGGCAAGTAGGGAGGCTGCCCAGAAGTCCTGGTGAGGAGCAGGGAGGGCCCAGATGGTACAGAAATGAAGGAATTCAGAGACAAATGGGGCAGACGGAAGACTGGCTCAGGCAACACTGTTGGAGTGGGTGCCTTGGTGGATGCAGGGAGGAGGGGACTCAGGCACAGGGAAACAAGACGGTTCAGGACATCTAAGTGCAGGTTGGGGCTCAGGGCTCAGGAAGGTCAGTGTCAGGAGCTGGAGACTCAACTCATGGGAGAGGCTTCTGGAAAGGTCACATTACAATGGTCAAGTCTTAAATGGTGATGAAGATAGAGGTTTTCCTACTGGCTAACCCCAACTGAGGCCTCTTGATCCTGGAAGGATTTGGGGACTGCCATTATGATGGATCAAATTTGCTGCCAAGAGACTGGGATGGAGAGTGGGTGTTTCAGAGGCTAAATCTGGTTTCCACAGTGGATTTATTGCTTCCTGTTAGGGTTAAATGCATCCTTCCCTAACAATGAGAACCTGCTAGCCGAGATAATCAGACACCTGAGAAATAAGAGTCTGCACAGCAGCAGGAGGAGAGACAGCAATGGAGCAGGTTTCTCTCCAAAGCCTGAAGGAGTAGAAGTTCTGGGAGAAACAACTTAAAAGCAGTGGAAAGAACAGAAACTCCAGGAAGGTCCCTCCCCTACAGGGACACAAGACCTTTTCTGTGAATAGAAGCTGAAAGGGCAGTTTGGAATCATGAACAAGGCTCCATTATATCTAAATCCATAATGTATAAAACAAAACCCTGCCAGTACTGGGCGGACCACAGAAGTGACAGGGTGGGTGGATGGGGCAGGGATGGAGTGGGATTTTCCTAAGCCTGTTTCAGCTTCTTCCTATGTTCATTCAGGCACAGGTCCACTGGGCAAGCCCACCCCCTTCTTGGTCTCTTCTGCATTGACACCTTCCCTCCAGTTCTTTGCCCCCGACCCCTTTAGGCCACGGAGGCAGGGGAAGGATCGGATACCAATTATTCTATTTACTGCTTAGTGGATTACATTGGATAATCCTTCCTCCACCAGCCAGCCATCTGTGCTGTCAAATTTACTCATCCTTAAACTCAGCAAATATTTGACAATACACTGTTAGACACACTGTGCTGGATGCTGTGGAGAGAAGAAAACAAATCTGATGCCCCATGTTTAGGCTTTAGTAGGCTTGTATAGTGGGATTTCATTGGTTGCCTACCCAGCACCCACTGCTCTTCTGACTTTGCTTTGGAAAACTACCTCACATTCGTGTGGTCCTAATGGGAGGGACCCTGCCTCCAGCTCCAGAGTAATCCATGGCTCTTGCCACATCAGATAGGCCTAAACTACTCAATGTGTGGTTCCCTCCCACCCCACCACACCCTCCCCAACCCCACTGCCCACCATGATTAGTTCAGGAAGTTCAGGTCAAATAAAGTTCAGGATTTAATGTTTATTTCCTTTGATATGAGGCAAGGAAATCTACAACATCAACAGCTGCTTTCACCCATAGGGGAGGGCAGCCTTGGAAGAAAGCTGACCCATGGAGACCAGCTGAGAGAAGTAGAGAAAGGGGCACAGAGCTCTGATGAAACTATATCTGAACTTTGTCCTACCACTGTTTTTTTTTTTTTCAGTTATGTGAGCTTCTAATTCCCTGTATCATTTTGAGACAAACTTTCTTACCAGAGAAAGAATCTGAGTGACATAATGGAAGATATATGTAAATAAAAGGGAGTGAGAAATGCCACAAAAAATGGTAATAAAATACCTTGAAATTCAGAGAAAGGAAAGAATACTTGAAACAAGGGGATTAACAAAGGCTCTATGGAGGTGATATGAGCAGAGCTTTATTTAACTCAAACAGTTGGTATCTCATGATATTTCCAGATCCTGAACTAGCATTTTTCATGTGCTGGCTCATTTAATTCTGAAAACAATGCTACAAGGTGGTTGGTTTTTACAAAATGAGACTAACATTTGTTTTCTTCCAGAACAAAGCACCTCAATTCCCAGCTGAACAGAATGGCTCCTGCAATAAAAATTTTATTTCCTAGTTTCTCTTTCAGTAGAGCACAAGACTAAATTGTGGTCAAGGAGATTAAACAGAACTGTGTGGACTTCCAAGAAGCTTTTTTAAAGCTAAGGACAAGCCTTTCCTTCCTGTTGGTTGGAATGCAAAGATCATGGCAGGAGGCCAAGCAGCCACGCTGGATTGTGAGGAAGTCACACACTGAGGATCGCAGACAACAAACAAAAAGAGCCTTCGTCCTTGATCATGTTGAGAAGTCTCCATGCCCATCCTGGTCTGCCTACCTTGATTCCCTTCTTTTTTTCTTTTTAGAGAAAGAGAGAGCACACAGGGAGGGGCAGACACGGGGAAAGAATCTTAAGCAGGCTCCACACCCAGCGTAGGGAGCCTAACACAGGGCTCCATCCCACGAGATGGAGATCATGACCTGAGTTGAAATCAAGAGTTGGACATTTCACTGATCGGACCACCCAGGCACCTCTACCTTGATTCCTTTTGAGAGAAAACTTCCACCTTGCATAGGCCAGAAAGAACATCTGGGATTTTCCTCACACACGGCCGAATGGAAGTCAGACTGACCCACTAGTATTATCTCCATGTAGATGTGTGGGGAAACGCTTACTCACATTTACTGCCAGCATGAGCCAGGATTAAACGTGCTTCTGATTCTTTAAGTCTAGGTTCCAACTCCGTTTAGGGGGCTTTGAGAAACACATGGGTCTGTACAAAAGTAGTTCACAGAAGGCCTGGAATTCCTTAAACCACTCAGGATTTTGTGGTGGTCAGAATTTCTAATTTAAAAGAGAGAATGAGTCTGTCCTTGCATTTTATTCCTGAATTTGCAGTTTCCTTCCAATTCCCGCATTCCTCCTTTGGGATCCATAACCAATTCTGCTTCCTCTTATTTGGCTTTGTGCTGTCCAAGATAAAAATGTACTCAGAACAAACCAATAACTTCTCCCCTGATCTAGGAAAGTTGTACAGGTCAGAAGATAGCAACTGCTTAGGCTGGCGCTTGGCATCAATCTGAGCTCTAATGCTGTGAATCAGGCAGAGATGTGAGAGATCAGGGAAGAGGGAAAGGCAGGTCAGGGACTCTGAAATACTCTGGAACAAAGTTCCAAGAGTCCCTTTCTGCTTTAGATATGATGAACAATGTGGTTCATGATATGATATGGTTCAAAGGGTGTGCTCCTTTAGCAGATTAAGAGGCATGTAAAATTACAGCATATGTGTATGAATTACAATGTAGACTGCCCCAGTGTACAGTAAGTCCTTTGAACACTTATTGAGTTACTCAGGTTGTTACTGAGAATGATGCTTCAGTGCCACACACGAAAACTAATACAAACCCAACTGACAAATTAAAACAATAACCATGAATTCAGTCTGAGACGAGGTCTATTTTCAGGAAACTTTAGGAAGTTGAGTTCTGTGCTTGAAAATGTTCTAAAACACCAAGTTAGTTCAATCAATCTGCTCCGGAATCCCACACGGATGGGATCCAAACAAATCCCTGTGTGCCAAATGGGGGTGAAAACTCAGATCCTTTAGCTGGTAAAGGAAACCGTACTTTAGGGCATCCTGGTTTCTGAGGTTGAGAACTCAGACTCTCACTGCTTTGGTGTAGACATGCACACACGTGCTTGAGGGTGTAAGACAAGTTTATACAGACTCAGTAGCCTAGAACTGCACAGTCCAAATATGGATGGCCACTAGTGACATGTGGCTAGTACATACTGAGATAGGCTCTAAGGGTAAAATACCTCAACAATCTTTTATGTTGTATATGTGAAATGATACTATTTTGGATATACTGGGTTAAAAGAGGTCACTAAAATAAATTTTACCTGTTTAACTTTTATTACATAACTACCAGAAAACTTTAAATTACTTAAGTAGCTCAAATTATTTATTTCTAGAAATACTGGATAGTGTCGGTCTAGAAATCTCAATTTAGACAAAATATCTCAATTCCTTTGGAAGCAAAATGTCATATTAGATAATGGCAAACTCCAATGAAGAAAATCCTCACCACCCCCCCTTCAGCATATTTATTATTCACAGTATTCATTTCACTGCCAATTTGTCAGATGACTCTGGATCAGAGGAAATCTCCATTCTCAAGCCAGTTTTCATCATACCCCTCCCCCAGAGCTTAACTTCCCTCCACCCAACTCCCAAAGTTCACGACTCTCATGACCCATGTCCCAAACTTCAGCTGGCACACCCAACATTCTGTTTGAAGCATCTTCTTCTCTCTGCTCCCACTATGTACTCACCCTGGGGGACATCCTTTCTCTCATAACTCATGTATGTGACTTCACATCAATTCAGGTGATTCAGACACAACTCTACTTTTCAGGTCCTACATCTATCAGTGTAAATGTCAGGATAGTCTGCTTTAAGTCAAACTGTAAAAGAATCTATGTACTTTTAAATACAAGGAAGAATTGACTACAGTTCAAATTCACAAGCGCCTGCCAAATTCCTAGAATGGTGGGTGTGTACTGGAAGAAAGGGTCAAGACCACAAAGTGTGGTCTCTACACAAATTGTTAAAATAAAAATTGGGTAATCTGGGTTTTATCTTTTTTTATTTTCCATGTCCTCTCTTTGAAGAGGGTAATAAATAATGAAATGTCCCAAAGAAGCGCGTATGAAAAGGCCCAAAACAATGCATAATTAGGCAAATTCAGTCATGAAGAAAGAAGCAACAGAGGTTAACTTGGGACACATGAATGCAGGTCTGAATCCCTCAAAGTGTGGGCCAAGTTCTGAGGGTGTGTGCATATATACATCTGTGAGAAGAGTCTGCAGTTTTCATGAGATTTCAAAGGGTCTGTGACCCAATAAGAACTACTGCTATAGGGCTTAAAAAGAAACTCGATGAAATTACAAGGTAAAGAAAGACATCTATTTACAGGATAAATATTTTAAGACACTAATGACCACATGCCGATAGTTATTAACCCCATCACAGTACACATCTGTTAACTTTGTATATTTTCACAGTGTGATCTTCACCACAACTTGCAAAGTGTAACCACTCGGTGCCTTCTGCTTCATTCTGTTCAGTTTTTCCATTACAATTCTTCCAGCATAATTTTTTGATAGCAAGCATATGTCTTTGGCTAAAACAAAGATAGAAAAATCATGAAAGGAATGTATGCTAGGACTACAAAATATTTACCCTATGTATTACTTTCATTTATATGCCCTTGTTATTAATGTTAACATGAATGGTAGTCAAAATCTGAAAAATCAAAAAGGAAAGGTCTTACAAAAAGCAGAATCAGACCTATAAATAGAGAGAACTGATAGTTTCCAAAGGGGCAGGGGTGGAGGGTTGGACAGAATGGATGAGAAACAGATACACACTTCCATTATGGAATGAATAAATCACGAGAATAAAAAGCATCATATAAGGAATACAGTCAATGATGCCCTAATAGTGACTGACAGGACAGATGGCAGTTACACTTGGGGTAAACATAGCATAACGTGTAAATATGTCAAATCACTAAGTTGTAAACCTGAAACCAATGTAATACTCTATGTCAACTATACTCAAGAAAAAAATTATTATAAAAATTCAAAAGTACATGTTTTAAAATGTCATCACTAATACTTTAGCAATTTTATTCTAAACCTAAAAATATCTTAACTCTATTTACTTAAAACCCTAAATATCTTACTGACAAAGGGCACTACCAGAAAGAACAAGAAATAGACAATGAATTCCTGTCAAATCTTGTTTGAATGATCAGTGTAATTCATAAAATGGCTATTAAAATCAGTTTTTCAAATAACATTACTAAAGGTATTTCTTTTTTAAAGAATTCCAACTTGCAACGTATTCTAAATTATTTTATTCTTTTGACATCCCTGTGACATTGATAGACTCATGTTTTTACTGCTGGGTAAGTAAAATAACAAAAGATTTAATAAACTGCCCAATGAAACAATCTTGGTCTCCAACATGACCTCCAACTGCATGACCCTGGGCAAGACACTCTTATTAATGCCCCCTCAACCCCATTGCAGGCCTAGAATGCTACCAAACAAACACTGTCAAATCCCTATGAAAATATAATAACCTATAAATTTAACCTGCAAATTAGACCTCCAAACCAAAGAGGAATAAAGTTAAAAACTTAAGTAGATTTTAAGGCAGTAAACCCTGAAAACAATACCTGTGCAAACAAATTATACTTTCAGATGTTGAGAGCCCCACACATCACCAGATGCACTCTCAGAATGAAAGGCAGGAATGAAATATAACCTTGAGGTAATGAAACACATTTTAAAAGCTGGCAAACCAGAATCTATGTAGCCACATGACTGTGAGGGCTTGCAAGTGACCATCATGGAGGTCACACACACTTCAACAATGCTACTATACATAGTGTTTCCTGAAATTATCTTATAGGCAATGCTTCCATACTATGCAGGCAATGACCTGAACACTATCTTCAGTGACAGTACATCTGTGCGTTTGACTCTGGTTACTGAAGGCAGTCAAGACTCATAAGGAAATGAACTTTATAAATAGAATCAATGCCACACTTTTAAAAAAAGTGATGAAATGTGTACAATTATAAAAGATATTATAATTGGCTTTCTTGTATCACTAGTAAGCTGGTCCTGAACACAATCTCTAAAGAGAAGTTCCAAAAATATTTTAAGTCACACCAACATCACTAGCATCTCATTTGTTATCAATAATATTAAAGAGCTCACATTTCATGAGAGGAATGGTTTGAAGTAGTGACATTACTGAAAGAAATACATGTAGTACAGTTGACCCTTAACACAGATTTGAACTGCATGGGTCCACTTATACACGGATTTTTTTCAATACATACAGTACAGTACCATAAATGTATTTTCTCTTACAATTTCTTAGCAACATTTTTTTTTCTCTAGCTTATTTTATTCAAACACAGCGCTAAATACATATAACATACAAAATAGGGCTAATCCACTGCTTATGTTATTACTAAGGCTTCTAGTCAACAGAAGGCTGTTAGAAATTAAGCTTTGTGGAGTCAAAAGGTATACACCTCTAACTGCCACTGTTCAAGGACCAATTGCATACTGCTGCCCATGGGAGCTACTTTGAGGAGTACTTATTTTGTTATTTTAAGTCTTAACATGGTGGGTTTGGGTAATATTCCCCTTAAATCTAGCATGTTAATAGATCATATTTTTTTTAAATTTTTATTTATTTATGACAGTCACACAGAGAGAGAGAGAGAGGCAGAGACACAGGCTCCATGCACCGGGAGCCCGACGTGGGATTCGATCCCGGGTCTCCAGGATCGCGCCCTGGGCCAAAGGCAGGCACCAAACCGCTGCGCCACCCAGGGATCCCAGTAGATCATATTTAGAAGACAGGAGTTTAAGGAGCCAACCTTAAAGGCAGTATTTGGTTGTATTTACCTTTATAGCTCATTATTAGCAAAAACTTTGATTTGAAAGATACCTGAAATTTGGTAATTGGGATATTAACAATGCAAATAGTATAATGTGGTTAAGTCAGGGATTAGTTCTTATAAATCTAACACCATCATAATGACTTAAAAAAAAATCTTGAAATAAAAAATACAAATTCTGTACATGTCTCCCCTGCCTTGCTTCTAAGGGCCTTCCACCAGTATTCCACATTCAGGACCTGCAGAGGAGAATGAACACCATGGGTAGGGCAAGCTGAAAGGAAGAAGGCAAGGGAGGGAGCCCAGGAAGAGAGAAAATTTCAAATTCCTAGAATATGGAATATCACACTGAAGTACTTACCTCCTCAGTAAGCAACAGCATGAACTCATTCTTTCTTTTTTTAAAAAAATTTTATTTATTTGGCAAAGAGAGCATACAAGTAGGCAGACCAGGAGGGAGAGGGAGATACAGGCTTTCCGCTGAGCAGAGAGCTTGATGTGGGGCTCGATCCCAGGACCCTGGGATCATGACCTGAGCCCATAGCAGACACTTAACTGACTGAGCCACCAAGGCGCCTCCAACATGAACTGTTTCAATTGCTAAAACCACCATCAGAGGTGGGAGAGAAGCCAAAAGGGCAACAGGAACAAAGATTACATTTTAACGAATACAATTATTATCAGTACTAACATGCTTTTGCCAACAAGGAGACAAACTCCCCTGGATGAAATATCTTGTAAAAGACATCTGCTCACAGGTCTCTCTCTCCACCAACCCATCACTTTCATCATGATACTGTCACTTGGAATTTTGACATTCTATTTTGAACAGTTCAGATATATGAAGGTTGAGGAATTCTAAAAAAAAATCTGACAGAATGAGGTTAGTGACATTTCAATTATTCAGATATTTTTAAAGAATAATTTGGGTTAAAAATCAGATTAAAAAAGGATCCTGCTACCTAAGTGAGTGATGGTAGGGAGAAGGCTGTAAATGACAGGTGCTCTAAGCCAGCGCAGGAGGCAACAGCCCAGGCGCAGGGCATGAGGCTCAGGGAGCATCCTGTGCTAGAAAGCAGTCATGTGGCTTTGAAGTGCACTTGACCGTTTGCTCCAACATGGGTTCTAAGCTAAAGTGTTCAAACACAAGATGAGGATACCAAAACACAATCTATAATATCTCAAAAAATCACCAATACTTTTAATCCAATTTTACTACAAATCTACTATAATCACATTCTAAACATCATTATAAAAATCACTTTCATTTCAAATGCGTTGTCTATAAAGATAGTATTATGCAAACAAGCAATCTGTTCAAGTAAACTTTTAAAAAACCTGGTGTGGGGACACCTGGGTGGCTTAGTGGTTTAGCGCCGGCCTTCGGCCCAAGGCATGATCCTGGAATACTGGGATTGAGTCCCACATCAGGCTCCCTGCATGGAGCCTGCTTCTCTCTCTGCCTATGTCTCTGCTTCTCTCTCTCTCTGTGTCTCTCATGAATAAATAAATAAAATCTTTAAAACAAAACAAAACAACAACCTGGTGCAATAGTAAGAAACATCAATCTCAAGAGACTACCACAGTACCACTTGGTGGTAAGCACCAAGAAGAGAGATTTGTGTCCCTCTCCATGTAAATGTGGCATAAATTTGCCCGTAAAGACAAATACTCTATGATTTCACTTATATATTGAATCTTTAAAAAATGAAAACAAACAAACAAAAAAAGAAAACAAAAACTCACAGGAAAAGAGATCAGATTTACGGTTACCAGATACAAAGAGTAGGGAGAGAGGGAATCAGAGGAAGGTGGTCAAAACGTACAAACTCCCAGTTATAAGGACAAGTATTAGAGATGTAATGTACGACATGATGACTACAGCTGACACTGCTGGATGACGGACAGGGAAGTTAAGAGAGTAAATCCTAGAGTTCTCATTAGGGGAGACATTTTTTTCCTTTATTCTTTTCTTTTTTCCTTTTTTATTGTATCTCTAATAGTAAATGGATATAAGGTGAACATAGTGTAGTAACATTTCACAACGTATGTAAATCCTGCTGTACACCATAAACTTAGAGTCACATGTATTGATTACTTCTCAATAAAACTCAAGAAAAACTGCCACTAAAAACTAGATGCCGGGGGCGTCTGGGTGGCTCAGTCAGGTTAAGTGGAGCCTGTCTGGCTCCCTGCTCAGTGGGGAATCTGCTCCCTCTCCCTCCACCCCTTACCCTGCTCTTGCATGTGCGTGCGCTCTCTCTCAAATAAATAAATCTTAAAAAAAAAAAAAAAAAGATCTACAAAAGAGCAACTTATTTTTAAAAATAAATAAAAACTCAATGCTTGATAACAAATACAATTATAATTTGCATATTTATAACAAAATCTAATGTGATGAAAGTGAAAATAGTAAGAAAATACCTTTGACTTGTTTCTACACAGTGGGTCCAGTCATTTATTTCTGGAACTTGATCAGTCTTTTTCCAGGTGTATAAACAAACCTTTCCACACTCTAATCCTACAGCAACAATGTATCTGTTTTTAAGGGAGGGGAGAAAAGACTGATTAATTATATGAATTTCTGTTATCTCTGTCATCACTCTAAGGGAAGGGAGTTCTTTACCGTATTTCCAACTGTCCATGGCTTACAAAAGGCTTTGTTTAAAAATGCCAGCTGAGGAGAGAGTGCACTGCTTCTACTGTGTCCTCATGGAACTCCTCTCCATCATGGGTGCTCAAAGTTTTCCCTCTGTTCTCTGCTGGCAAAGCCCCTAAATCAATGTTTCCCTGGCTGGCTGCAGGGGCTCCCGTTCTACTGAAGACACTTGTTACCAAGAAAGCACCAAGGTTCTGACATAAGAACCTTTGAGCCACACTCCCAATCCCCATTTTCTCCACTCTGAATATCATCGGGTTTGGATGATTTAACAATTCTTATAAGAAACCTAAGCACTGGGGATCCCTGGGTGGCGCAGCAGTTTGGCGCCTGCCTTTGGCCCAGGGCGCGATCCTGGAGACCCGGGATCGAATCCCACATCGGGCTCCCGGTGCATGGAGCCTGCTTCTCCCTCTGCCTGTGTCTCTGCCTCTCTCTCTTTCTCTCTCTGTGACTATCATAAATAAATAAAAATTAAAAAAAAAATTAAAAAAAAAAGAAACCTAAGCATTATGAAAAAAATAGCAACTCAGAAGCTATGAAAAAGCACAAATCAAAGTATGAGAGAGCTACATACTAAGGAATCAAGTCTTAACAAATATGTAAAACAAAGACCCACTTGGAGACTGACCTTTGGGAAAGGTTAAGCAGGGGGCAGACACTGACGGCTGTCACTGCCCCGCCCACATCCAGGACAGAGGAGCAGGGGCCAATGCTGTGCTCCACAGAGTCATCACTGGAGTCGCACTCACCCCACACAACCACCTAATGGAGACAGATCAAACTCTGTGAAGCTTTCTCTTTGCAAGGTTTCCAGCAATGCATCAAGAGTATCAGTGGCACAGATAATGCAAAATATTCACTCTAACATTTAGAAAAATGCCTCATCAACATTTGTGGATGATGTTCCAGGATTTCAGGTATTTCAAGCATCATAGAGAAGCCACAGTGTAGAGACACAAGTCTATGAGACCTCAAATACCTAAGTGTGCAGGTCCCAGATGGACTGCCCCTGCCCAGAGACTGGAGATTATCTAGCATGCTCTTTGATACTCAGGAAACCAGTTCTGATCCAGGGAGAGTCTATCAGTCACATCTTCACCAGGAGGCTCATCCTGCACGTCTCTAAGAAGTTACCACACAATGCATGGGGACCTATCAAACCTGGCTCTTCCTCTGTACCACTGAGTCGCTCAGGGAAACAAGTCAGCAGTCAAGAGCACCTAACCATGATGCTACCCTGTGTAAGAAATGGTGTTTCCCTGGAAGCTCATGCCTCCAGGGGGTGTGACTGGTCCCTAAGAAACAGAGAGCAGTGAAGCAGATGACACTTGTAAAATCCAGACCAAAGCAAGACTCCAAGCAGAAGCCTCTGACCAAGTAAACAAAAGTGCATTTCTGAGAACGTGTGGTGAATGTCACTCTGTCCATTTCAGTCCCGACACACCCTTGAGAGCCACAGCTAGAGCATGCACTACAGCGAGACTGCAGAGGGCAGAGAAGCCCCGCTTCCTCAGCAGCCAGCAGTACACAGCACATAAGCGCCAGGGAAGAAATGAATAGGCAAATGGACACAAGTGAACATCTAAGAGAAACGGGTTTAGAGGATGACATTTCAGTGATTCAATGAGTGACAAGGCAAGAGCTAGCCCTCTGCTAAGGGGATTTGGACCATGACAAACTGAAGAGGGCAGGAAGAGGAAAGGAAATGCTCAACTGCCTCACCACCTCTGGTCCGCAGGCACTGCAGAAAAAGGAAAGGGCATTAAAGAGTGTGAGAACAGGAGGGACCAGAGGCCAGGGTGAGTAGTCAAGAACATACACCTAACTAACTTGTTTTGATTTTTTCAAAGCTTGGGAAACACACCCACCCACATACACAAACTGCTTCCTCCACTGAATGAAAAGGCAGTAATTATCTAATGTAGAAAAATTCATAAATGTATGAAAAAGAAAAGCAGCAACTGTTTTCCCCCGTATGTCCCCTCCACCCCCTCCTGCTCTCCTAGTTGGTTAGTCTTGAATCATTTTATTCACCACTTCTCTCCTGCTGGGGTCATCTGAGGAACATCATGTGTGAAAGGTTTTCTTCTCAGTATTTGATATTTCAGAGAAATGTATTTATAGAATTTAGCACGAAAAGCCTTTTTATGCATGCATATGAAAAACACAGAAGAGGGCAGCCCCAGTGGCTCAGTGGTTTAGTGCCACCTTCAGCCCAGGGTGTGATCCTGGAGACCTGGGATCGAGTCCCATGTCGGGCTCCCTGCATGGAGCCTGCTTCTCCCTCTGCCTCTGCCTCTGTGTGTGTCTGTCTGTCTCTCATGAATGAATAAATAAAATCTTAAAAAAAAAAAAAACAACACAGAAGAGAATATACAGATTTAAAAAAAATAAGATCAGAAAGTCAGGATTATGTGTTTTCTATCCAAATACACCTGTAGTATTATTTTACATTTGAAAAATACTAAGTTTAAAAAATTACCTTTTTGTCCCGACTTCCAGTGAAGAAATACTTGCTATCAGGACTCCAATCACAAGACCAAATAATTCTACTGTGCACAGCAGTTACTTTGTTGGTAAAGGCAAAGAGGCTAAAAACTGGGTCTGAAAGAAACACCATACACACGACTCACAAAGCAGACAGAGTTGTCTTTATCTGTAGAAACCTATGGTTATGTGCCATATCCATCAAGCCCTTTAGCAATCAATTTATTCATGTGGACTTTTGCAACACACTAGGCAGCTGGCCCTCACCAGAAGGCTATGGGCACACAGTTACTCTCCCAGGAGGGAAAGCTCTCTAGTGACACCTTCCAGGTGCTTAACTAAAATTTAACTTATGCCCATGAGAGAAGCCTGAGCAATTTAACTTTACTCGGGGAGTGGCCAGATTTACACATATGGATAAAAGAGTAATGCACTCTTCAATAATGGAAAAAAAAATGAATGAAAACTTAAAAAAATTTTTTGCCCTGGAGCACCTGGGTGGCTCAGTAGGTGAAGCATCTGCCTTTGGCTCAGGTCACAGAGCCCCACATCCGGCTCCCTGCTCAGTGGGTAGTCTGCTTCTCCCTTTACCTCTACCTACTAACTTCTCCTGCTTGTTTTCTCCTTGGTAATCTGTCAAGTGAATAAATAAAATCTTAAAAAACAGGGACACCTGGGTGGCTCAGTGGTTGAGCGTCTGCCTTTAGCCCAGGGCCTGATCCTGGAGACCCGGGTTCGAGTCCCACATCGGGCTCCCTGCATGGAGCCTGCTTCTCCCTCTGCCTGTGTCTCTGCCTCTCTTCTCTCTGTGTCTCTCATGAATAAATAAAAAGAAAATCTTAAAAAAAATCCTAAAAAAAAAAAAACCTTTTCCCTTGTAAGATTTCTTTTTTTTTTTTTAAAGATTTTATTTATTTATTCATGAGAGACAGAGAGAGAGAGAGAGGCAGAGACATAGGTAGAGGGAGGAGCAGGCTCCACGCAGGGAGCCTGATGTGGGACTTGATCCTGGGACCCCAGGATCATGCCCTGGGCCAAAGGCAGGCACTAAACCACTGAGCCACCCAGGCGTCCCCCTTGTAAGATTTCAATGTAAGGTAACTACTAGCCCTCAGGGGGACTAAACCTAAAACACGTAATTACTTATGAAGAGGGAAGAGGAATATATCTATTAACCATAATCCATAAAGATACAATACATTAATGGATATATCATTAGTTTCACATCAACTTTTTATAAAGTAAAAGCTGCATGTTAGGAAATCACTAGTTGCAAAAGAAATCAATCTGTTCTAATATGTATTGTTTAATATGTGTCAGTCTAAAATACAAGAAACTAAGAGACTAGGAATACCACAAGATCAAACTGCATGCAAGTTATATCAATGGAAAAATTAAAACAATTAAACAACATGAAGATATATTAAACACTCTTTAGATTTTACCCAAAGAAACCAGGGTAAGAGAAATAGGCTATGCTCCAACAACACAAAGGTTTGTTGTTGCTGGTTTTTTTCCCTTTGTTTTTAATTAATGCCAGAATATGCCACTCATTCAGTTTTATGCTGGCATTCTGAAACAATCCACAAAATCCATATTTTTTAGATTTCTGTTTCTTTTAATGGAGATGTCTGAATACTTGCCATCTTGACTATATAATCACAAGAAGTCAACTCAAAGATCACTGTGTTTAAATCTTACAAGGAAGGTCAAGTCTTCCTCAGAATACAGCTATGAAGGATTTCATGAAAGTGAGACTGTGGCCTTCACCCTGGTATTACTTCTACTCCTCTTCACCGAGTAGCTCCTCACTAGATAAAATAGTAGTAGATAAAATGGACATATGTGTTTCACTAGTAATCTTCCAACTGGAAGCTGTTTTACCTAACTCAGGTGAGATTGTGTCCTGCCTTTTCCACAATGACCAGGTTCGATCTCTGGAAACAGCTAGTAAGAACTTGTCGTTAGGTGAGAAGGCCATCTGCGTGACAGTCAAACTGTGAAAAACTAAATTCTGCACCTGTTTCCAAGATGTAGTGTTCCAAAGAATGATGGCTGCATGCTCTTTCTTAGCTGCCTGGAGGACAGAGATGAAACAAGCAATTTAAGCAGAAATAAACTGCAAAAAGCCCCACATTAAAAATAAATAATATATTGTTTCTATGGGTATGTTTTATTTATCTGTATAAATGAGGAAAAAATTCAGAGCAGGTACATACTACAAACAGGTATAATCTCCTGGAAGAAGAAGACTAGGATTAGCATAGGTAACTCATCAGAAACTGACACTGTCATCATAATATTTCAATATTTTATAAGAAGAATACATTTGTATATTAATTTGTAATTAAGAATTTAGAAACTTTCACTTCTGGTCAGTATGATGGAGTAACAGGGAATGGACTGACTCTTCTGTGAAATAACTAAAAAAAACAAAAAAAACAAAAAAAAAAACAGACATAGTGCCTGAAAATAACAGCACTCCAAAATACGAGATATCTGGCAACAAAGAACACTCATCTCTGGGACAAAATGAATTTGGGAGAAAAAAAAAAAGAACCTCACTGAACTCTGTGACAACTTCAAACAGCTAAAGAAGTTTAACTAGAGTCTCCACAAAGGAAGAAAAGAAAAATACTTAAAAAGATAGCTGCCAAAAAATTTCCAAATTTTATAAAAACAATAAACCTACAGATCCAAGAAGTTCAATAAAACCCAAAACATGAAGAAAATTATATCGAAAATAATCACATTGTTTACAACCAGCAATAAAAAACAAAATTGCAGTTGGAGGGGAAAAGCCCATTACCAAGAAACAAAAAAATTACAGCAAGTTCATATCAGAAACAATGCAAAAAAAAAAAAAAAAAAAAAAAAGGAGCTCCATTGTTAAAGTACTGAGAGGAAAACCAACAGTATCTTACCCACTATAAAAATCATTAGTGAAAAATGAGGGAGAGACAGAGTCTGTCAGACAGGCAGAAGCTCAAAAAATTCAGGACCAGCAGAAATACATTACCAGGAATGTTAAAGAATATCCTTTAGGCAGAAAGAAACTGGTATCTGTTGGAAAATTTTTTATTTATATCTCTTCAAAAGATAACTGACTGATCACGGGGATCCCTGGGTGGCTCAGAGGTTCGACGCCTGACTCTGGCCCAGGGTTTGATTTTGGAGTCCCAGGATCGAGTCCCGCATTGGGCTCCTGGCATGGAGCCCACTTCTCCCTCTGCCTGTGTTTCTCTCTCCCTCCCTCCCTCTCTCTCTATCATGAATAAATAAATAAAATCTTAAAAAAGAAAAGATAACTGGGATCCCTGGGTGGCGCAGCGGTTTGGCGCCCGCCTTTGGCCCGGGGCGCGATCCTGGAGACCCGGGATCGAGTCCCACGTCGGGCTCCCGGTGCATGGAGCCTGTTTCTCCCTCTGCCTGTGTCTCTGCCTCTCTCTCTCTCTCACTGTATGCCTATCATAAATAAATAAAACATTTAAAAAAAAAAAAAAAGATAACTGATCAAAGGAAAAATGACAAGATATTGAGGAATTTCTCTGAAGAAGTAAAGTGTCCAACAAAACCACAGTAGGGGGGAAACAAAAGTATACTTCTGTGAAGTTCCTAAATCATTCATTCATTCATGAAACAGTGCAACATTACTTGAAGGCAGACTGTGGCAAATTACAGAGGTATACTATGAAATGAAAGACAGCCAATAAAATTACACAGTAGTTATATCTACTAACCAAAAAAAAGAAATAAAACACTCATAAGAAGTAATCAATTAACCCAAAGTAAGTAAAATGAAAAAAAAAGGATGAAACAAATAGAAAACAAAATAGCAAGTTGACAGATTTAAATCTGAGCATATTATTTATTACATTAAGGGACATCTGGGTGGCTCAGTCAGTTGAGAATCTCCCTTTTGCTCAAGTCATTATCTCAGGGTCCTGGGATCAAGCCCCACATCAGGCTCTCTGCTTAGCAGGGAGTCTACCTCTCCCTCTCACTCTGCGCTCTCTCTTTCTCAAATAAATAAATAAAATCTTTATTTAAAAAAATCTCTAATTAAAAATTATATCTCATCATGGTTTTTTTTTAAAGTAAATGGCCTCACAATTGCCACTATTAAAATGGAAGATTATCAAGATGAATAAAAAGATCCTACTGTATGCTGTCTTTAAGAAACCCACTTGAAAAAAAAAAGGAAACAAACAGCTGAAGAGTACAAGTGTGGAAAAAAGATACATAATTCAAGCACTTCTCAAAAGAAAGCTGGAGTGGGTATATTAACATTGGACAACATAGATTTGAGAGCACAATATATGGCCAGAAATAAAGAGGATCATTCCATAATGATAAACTAGTCAATTAATCAAGAGAATGTAACAAATCATAAATGTTTTAACAGCAGAGCTCCAAAATATAAAGTAAAAACTGAAAAACAAGTATTAAAAGATAAGCCCACAACCATATAGATCTCAAAAAGCTACTCTCAATAAAATTCAAAGTATAGAGACATAACACTATCAACCAATCTAACATAATTCACATTTTCAGAACACTCCACCTAACAGAGAATCCACATCCTTTTTTTTTTTTTAAGATTTTATTTATTTATTCATGAGAGACACAGGCAGAGGGAGAAGCAGGCTCCATGCAGGGAGCCCGATGTGGGACTTGATCCCAGGACTCCAGAATCATGCCCTGGGCAGAAGGCAGGCACTAAACCGCTGCCACCCAGGGATCCTGAATCCACATCCTTTTTAACTGACATGGAAATTTACCATGTTCCAAGATTACCAAGATTAAATTTCAAAGGATTCAAATCATACTATGTTTTCTGACCACAAAGAAATTAAATTAGAAATCAGTAACAGAAAGATATTTGGAAAACACTCAGTATAAGGAAACTAAATAATAAATCTCAAAATAACCTATAGGTAAAAAGACAAAATCAAGAGAAATTTAAAAATATTTTTAGTGAAAATGAATAGAACATATCAAAACTTACGGGATGCCTCAAAAATAATACTTAGAGGGACACGTGGGTGGCTCAGTGGTTGAGCATCTGCCTTTGGCTCAAGGCGTGATCCCAGGTCCTTGGATCAAGGCCCACATCAGGCTCCTTGCAGGGACCCTGCTTCTCCTTCTGCCTATGTCTCTGGTTCTCTATGTTTCTCATGAATAAATAAATAAAATCTTTAAAAAAAAAAGCTTCTTTAAAAAAAATAATACTTAGAAAATTATAGCACTCAACATCTGTATTAGAAAGATCTGAAATCAATGGCTTCAGCTTTAACCTTATTAAACTAGAAACAGTAGAGGAAATGAAATCTAAGAAAAAAAAAACCAGCAAAAAAATCAATGAAAAAGAAACAAGAACAGCAGCAGAGGAAAATCAACAAAACCAAAAAGCTGGTTATTTGAAAATACCAAAAAAATAATTATTTCCCCGATTAATTCTCAGAAAGCTCTCCACCCCAAAAAAAGGTAGGAGAGAGAAGGCACAAATTGCTGATAACAATTGTAAGAAAGATGACATCTGGGGCACATGGGTGGGTCAGTTGATTAAGTATCTGCCTTCAGTTCAAGTTATGATCTCAGGGTTCCTGGGATTGAGCCCCATGTCCAGCTCCCTGCTCAGCAGAGAGTCTGCTTCCCCCTCTCCCTCTGCGCCTTGGCTTGTGTTCTCTCCATCTTACTACCTTCTCAAGTAAAAAAATAAAATCTTTAAAACAAAACAAAAAAAACCACAAAGGTAACATCACCAGAGATTCTTTCAATATTAAAAGGGACAAATTTTCTGAAAAATACAAACTACCAAAGTGCACTCAAGAAAAGCTACACACACACACACACATACAAAGAAAGAAAAGCTACACAGTCCTATATCTATTAAAGATATTAGATTTCTAGTTAAAAACTTTGCCACAAAGAAAACTCCAGGATTGGTTGGCTTACTGGGGATTTTTCTCAAAAATTTAAAAAGATAGTAATACAAATTCTACACAAACTCTTCCAGAAAATTGCAGAGGAAGATATATTTCTAAGAGGCTAATATTACTCTGAAACCAAAACCATATAAAGAAAACTATACTTCAATACCCATCATATATTATATACAAAAGTTTTAACAAAATTTTAGAAAAATTAGTCCAATAGTATATAAAATGATAATGTACTATAAACAGGTGGGGTTTGGTTCCAGGAATGTGACGTTGGTTTATTATTTTAAAAATCCGTGTAGTTCACCATATTAATAAACTGAAAAGGGGAAACCATATGATCATATCAACAGATGAAGAAAAAATACTTAACAAAATCTATCTTCCATTCCTGATAAAAACTCTCTGCAGAGGCACCTGGGTGACTCAGTCAGTTGAGGATCTGCCTCTGGCTCATGAGGGTCATAATCCTGGGGTCCTGGGATCGAGCCCCATGTCAGGCTCCCTGCTCAGTGAGCAACCTGCTTCTCCCTCTCCCCTGCCCTGCTCATGTTCTCTCTCTTGCTCACTCTCTCTCTCTCTAATAAATACAAATCTTTAAAAAAAAAAAAAACAAAACCTCTCTGCAAACTAGAAACTGGAGGTAACCTGAGAGAGAAGAATCACAAAAAAGTCTACAGCAAATATCACCTGTAATGGACAAACAAGGAATGTTCCTGAGGTGAGGAATAAGGCCAAGGATTTCTGCTATTACTATACCATTTCTATCCAACATTAAGACATGCATATGAGGAAGGAAATTTCTTTACTCATAGGCAACATAAGAATCTATGCGGAAACGCTATAGCACGTATAATAAAGGTACAAATTTAGGAAGCTCCCAGGATGTAAGATCAATATACAAAAAGCAAGGAAGAGATACAAAATATCTGAAATAAGGGCAAATATGAAAGAATTGTGTAAGACCTGACACTGAAAACTATAAAACATTCCTAACAGACGTTAACAATGGGGAAAATTGGGTGAGATAAAACTACATATTATCTCTGCAACATTTTGTTAAATCTACCATCATTCTAAAATAAAATGTTTACTGGGACGCCTGGGTGACTCAGTGGTTGAGTGCCTGCCTTCGGGTGTGATCCTGGAGTTCTGGGATCAAGTCCTGCATCAGGCTCCCCACAGGGAGCTTGCTTCTCTCTCTGCCTATGTCTCTGCCTCCTTGTGTCTCTCATGAATAATAAAATATTTAAATAAAATGTTTATTTTAAAAAATCATCCTGAGAAATTAAAGACCTAAATAAATGAGACAGTGCATTTGCATGTCAAAAAACCCAATATTGTTATAATCTCCTCCAAATAACTTTGAAAAGTAAGAAGAGAATTGGTTCCTGATTTCAAGACCTATTACAAAAAGCTACAGCTTTTAAAAGAATGTGGTATTGGCATCAACATAAGAAAAAAAGATGAACAGAAGAAAATAAAAGTGTAGAAAAAGACTCATACATATATAGACAGGTGATTTCTGGCAAAGGTGCAAAAGGCAGTAAATAAAGTAGTCTTTTCAACAAATAATGATGGTACAATTGGATACTGACATGCAAAAAAAAAAAACCAACTTTAACCTAAATTCCAGGCCAAATGCAAAGAATGCAAGAATTAAAGATGTAAACATAAAACTTAAAATCTACAAAACTCCTAGAACAAAATGTAGCAGAGCTTTGTGACCTTCAGTTAGGCAAAGATTCCTTAGACATTACACAAAAGCACACAATCCAATACAGAAAAAAATTGGTAAATCAGACTTCACCAAAACATATAACTTCTGCTCTTTGAAAAACACAGGGAAATGAAGACAAGTCATTGGGAATAATTATCTAAATAGCATTTATCTGATAGTTGTATCCAGTGTATATAAAGAACTTTCCCAAATTCAGTAGTGGAAAAACAATTGCTATAAAGAAATGGGCAGAAGATTTGAAGATACTTCATCAAAGAGATACAGATGGCAAATTAGCACATAAAAAGATGCTCAACAACACTGGTCTTGTGGAAAATGCAAATTACAACCACGAGATGTTACCCACCAAACTGAATGGTTAAAAAGATTGACAGTGGCATACAAAGTATTGATAACGGTGTGGAGCTACTCAAACTCCCTCTGCTGGTGGGAACTGTAAAATGGTACAACCACTTTGGAAAATAGATTGGCAGTTTCTTTTTTTAAGATTTTATTTATTTATTCCTGAGCTGGAGGGAAGGAAGGAAGGAAAGAAGGAAATATGGCATGATTCCACTTATATAAATTTTAGAAGATACAAACTACTCTATCATGACAGGAAACAGATTAGTGGTTTCCTAGGGATGAGGCAGCAAAGGGTAAGAAGGAGCAGGAAAGAGGACTTACCAAGGGACAGAGGAAATAATCTAGGGTTGATGGCTATGTCTATTATCTTATTTGTGGTTGTGATTTCACAGGTATAAACAAACATGTTAAAACTTATCAAACTGTTCACTTTCAACATGCAACTTATAGTATGCTAATAACACCCAAATAAAATTGCTAAAAATGTTAGTTTCAAAGAAAGATACATCTAATCATCTGCTTTACCAAAGAAAACCAAATATGTGGCTGGCATCTTCAAGAAACCCAGCTACCTTCAGGTAAATCTGCAGATTTAAACTTTCCAAGCCACACTAACATCCACATCTCTTTTCTATTGTTTATTTAAATATAAAGTACACAGAACAAGTATACAAATAACAAAAAGAAAGCTGCACATTTTTGCTATAACCAAGCCCATTTGAAAAGGAAAAATAATCAATTATATGACCAACAGTGCCCAAAAACTAAAAACAAATAAGCTGCTCAACAGAAGCATAGCTATTCCTGATACCACACTCCATTCTTTCCACAGGCCCCTGCCACCAAGGAAGTATTCTCAGTACCATCCTCACAGAGGGACAAGCAAAGGACATAAGGCAGGAGGGGTATATTGATACTTACGATGCCTCTCAATACAGGCCAACAGCAAGAAGCTGCAGAAAGAGCAGGGACAGAGGAGCCTAGCCACATAGGCAGCTCGCATTATCACGTTTAAAACAAGTAAATGAATTTTAGAAAATGTAGAGAGATATGCAGATCTCAGACCTTTCAGACAATCCTCCATACACACTGGCTCCTTCCACAGAGTATGAATATATGGATAAATACTGAATTGTGAGTTTGGGATCATTCTCCCAGGCAAAAGCTTGAAGAGCACTATTCTACAGTGCCATGTGCTAGTGAGCCAGGCACCACCCTGCCTCACCCTGGCATAGGCTGAGGGACTCCATTCATCCATTCACTTCAGTCGATACCACATCTGTTCCTGGAGAAACTCAAATGGAGCGGAGGGCACCTTCTCATTTCCCTGTGTCCTCAGGGCTCCCAATTATTTCAATTTATTTATTATCTTTTTAAGTCATTTAGAAACATCTGATTAAATACATCAGGCATGGGACTCCTGGGTGGTTCAGCGGTTAGCGCCTGCCTTCAGCCCAGGGCATGAGCCTGGAGTCCTCGGATCGAGTCCCGCATCGGGCTCCCTGCATAGAGCCTGCTTCTCCCTCGCCTGGTCTCTTCCTCTCTGTGTCTCTCATGAATAAATAAATAAAATCTTTAAATAAACAAATAAATAAATTGGGCATAAATCAACTTAAATCAAGTATTTAAAAACAGAAGTGTGTGGCTCAAACAGATTTAAAATCCAACTGCAGGCTTTATTTTATTTCTCTTTATGTAAGCTCTACACACCCAACATGGGGCTTGAACTCACCATCCTGATATTAGGAGTCACATGGTCTACTAACTGAGGTAGCCAAGTGCCCCTTAATTGCAAGATTTTGAAGGGAAAGAAGGGAAATGAGATTGAGAAAGTAACTTCAGAAAAAAGCAGGTCCCAGTGGCCTTTCACGGAGCATTCTGCCTCTATTACCACAACTTTTAAGAGCCTGAGGACTCAAATAACATGTCACCAAGTAGAATAAAAAAAATTCCCTACCTTACATGCTGAGGCAAGCAGAGTCTTTGAATTGCTACAAGCAACACAAAATATTTCATAACCATGTCCATATCTAAAATTAAAAAAAAAGCATGATCCCTTTATTAGTATATATACTTATTTTCATGCTGCAAAGTTTTAACATGTGAAAAGAACATCAATCTCCATAACATACAATTCTTTTAGGGACATTACATTTCTGTCTAGGCAAGCATTTAGGGGAAAAAAACAGAGAGACTGGGAAACAGGCCAGCTTCCTAAAAGTGCTACAACTTATTCAAACAATTAGATTAAAATACATTTCATACCTCCACCCCCACCAGCCAATACAACAAATAAATCCAGGAAAGGTTTTGATGGAAAAACACCCAAGGGAAAAAAACAAAAACAAAAAACAGAGTAATAAATCTTAGAAGTCCTTTTTAAAAAGGGAAAGAAATGGGGCACCTGGGTGGCTCAGTTGATTAAGCATCTGCCTTTAGCGCAGGTCACAATCTCAGGGTCCTGGGATCAAGCCCCACATTGGGCTCTCTGATCAGGAGGGAGTTGGTTTCTCCCTTTCACTCTCCCTCTGTGCTATCCCTCTCTCTCAAATAAATAAGTAAAATCATTCAAAAAAAAAAATAAAAGAAATATAATGCTATGTCTCTACTTTAAAAACAAAGACCAATAAAAATCTAGTAAATACACAGTAATATAAAAATCTAGGTGAAGTTTGATTCTTGTCCCTTATCCACTAAAGATTTTTAGATGGGGGCACAATATAAGTAACAAGAAAGCAAAGGAGAAAATCAAGTTGTGGGGAGAAAAAAAATTACAAGTTATGACAGCATCAGACCAAATAGATTAGCACAGTTTAACTTACAGTTTTTGAACTTCAGGCCATAAAGTATTCTGCAAAAGATGATCCTCAGTGGGAGGTTCTATAATAAACGTATAGCACTGGAATTATTTTTTTTTCTGATTTCATGCAAATGAGTGAATTCTACAGCACTTACTTAGGTCAACAGTGACAGGTATCATACTAATGACTCTTATTAAACCACCTTTTTACCATTTCTTACCAGTAAGTATGGAAGGTTGAAAGGCTACTGGTTGATACTCGAAACTGGTACTAGTTAATAGTTCCTCTTCATCAGAAGGCTGAGAGGCTATATCTCCTAGTTTAAATGAAACACATCAACATCATGAATATAGCCCCTATATTTATATGTTTTGTACATGTCCCAATATCACAACGATCAGAAAGCAGTGGCACTTCAAAGTACTAATTGTACTTCAAAGATGCATCACTGTGATTCCAAAGCCAAGGGTATTTCCATTACTCCAGTATTTTCCAAATTCCAAATGTGTTCCTTGAAGCACCAGTCAATTCCACGGATTCTTTTTTCTTTCTTTTTTGTTTTTTAAGATTCTATTTATCCATTCATAGACACAGAGAGAGAGGCAGAGACACAGGCAGAGGGAGAAGCAGGCTCCATGCAGGGAGCCCGACGTGGGACTCGATCCCAGGTCTCCAGGATCATACCCCGGGCTGCAGGTGGTGCTAAACCGCTGTGCCACCAGGGCTGCCCAGATTCCTTTTTTCTTTGACCTAACATTTCCCAAACTTTTAAAAAAATCAGATTCTTCAAGCCACCCATATTAACATGTGGTAGTGGTAGTGCTCTATGAAACACACTTTGTGAAAGCTGTACCTATTTCAGGGTCTATATATGGACAAAGTATTTATCATGAAATGTCTGATGGAGAAAGCAGACAAATATATTGTGATTTAAAAAAAAAATCAGGGCACCTAAGGGGTGCAGTCGGTGAAGTGTCTGCCTTTGGCTCAGGTCATGATCTCAGGGTCCTGGGATCAAGCCTCGCATTGGGCTCTCTGCTCAGTAGGGAGTCGGATTTTCCTTCTTCCTCTATATCTCTCTTGCTTTCACTCTCTCTCAGATAAATAAAATCTAAGAAAAAAAAAATCAGGGGTGCCTGGGTGGCACAAGCAGTTAAGGGGCCAACTCTTGTATTGGCAGCTTGGGTTGTAATTTCAGGGTCATGGCATCAAGCCCCACGTCAGGATCCTTGCTCAGTTTGGAATCTGCTTAAGACCTCTCTCTCCCTCTGCCTCCAGCTCACTCTCTCTAAAATAAATAAATAAATCTTTAAAAAAATTTTTTTAAACAGTAATGAACATGAAGTTCATGTTATCCAAGTGTATAACTAGATTTTATTTTATTTTTTTATTTTTATTTTTTTTTTTATAACTAGATTTTAAACACCACTATGGGTTCAAAACTTTTGGACACTAAAAGCCTTACCTTGAAAGACAGCTTTATTTGATAACCCCAAGGCAGGGACGGTAGCTCCTTCTGGAAGATCACTGTCCTGCTGGAATAAAAAGTATGATACATGTTTTAAATACTAGAAGTTGGGATCCCTGGGTGGCGCAGCGGTTTGGCGCCTGCCTTTGGCCCAGGGCGTGATCCTGGAGACCCGGGATCGAATCCCACATCGGGCTCCCGGTGCATGGAGCCTGCTTCTCCCTAAATAAATAAATAAATAAATACATACATACATACATACATACTAGAAGTTACTACTACACCTCAGGCACACAAAAATGTCATGCTCATAAATGCAGAGGAGCAATTTAAAGATCACATCGGGTGGATATCTGCCCACACTTCCATTTTCTAAACCAACAGATGCAATGCTAAGCAATCACTGTCTGAAGACAGGCTGCATTTAACCCCCAACATTCTACACCCAATCCATAAAGTCTGGCATCCTTTCATCCATGAGCTCATCAAACTCTAACAGCTCAGTGAATTTCAGAGTCTGAGAAGGCATGCACTGGTCTGGTTTCTAGCAAAGAGTGGGCTGAAAATGGCATGCATGGGGCTCTACTTCCAAGAGTCTCCCAAAAACATCCTAATGATGCTCCTGCAAACATCACCATTTCCTAAAAAAGCATGGAGTATTTTCATGAAACATATTTAAATAACTCGGTATCTTTAAAAAAATTTTTTAGAGTACTGTTTGAAGTGCCAATAATCTATACTATGTAATTTACATCAAATTATAAGAAACTATATGCTAACTATAAAAATTGGCACATGTCCAGATGATAAGAGCATTTCTTACAATTCAGACTTTAATATTCAAAGGCTGGAACTCAACACAAACATGAGCAATGGGAACTTAAGCCTTCATCAGGAACAACGGTCCAGGATATAAGAGACAGCATGCTTTATTTCAGACACCAAGAACAACAAACCAGCATGGAAAAGAGAAGCAAGAAGCATTCCTACAAACTTATCCCCACATTCAGAATGGGAACAAAACCCAAAGTACAGCAAGAAGCTTTCCAGTCTAGGCAATTTCTGTATCTTAGGACACAGAATTGAGTGTTTACCTGGACTAAGGCTTTCATGGAATCCCAAAACCACATTTCAACCCCTAGAATTGAGAGATCCTGAAACTAACTGCCCTTCCACCCCTGCAGCTCTATATAATAATCCCAATCAAGAGTTCCCTTTTAATCTCATTCCCATGGTCTATTATGATTAGAAACAAGCAGAACAGAATCTTAAATCTTCTCATCATCAAGAAAGCCTGTGTATACTGAGGTGCCCAGTATACACTCAAGGAAATTTAGTTGGAAAGTTTATTTCAAATGACTCATTTTCTTCTTCTTCAGTCTTACCCACACTGGTGTTAGCTACCCTGCTTTCAGTCTCCAGGCTCAAATGTATCCTGTTCTCACATAATACTTTCTACCCCAAAGTACTTTTCAGAACCTTCTTTGCTTAGGGGACCTCCTTCCCCCCGCCAACAGAGCCCCCCAGTCTAATTGTGCCTGCCTCCCAAGGTCCTCCAGCACTTGGACTTTCTCCCATTCTCTCCATTTTCCTGGCTATACCACTCTTCATTTGAATAGCCATGGCTACCCCGGTGCTCGCTCACTCTCTCTCCCTTCCTTCCCCGTTCTCCCTACGCTTATCCTTTTCAATCTCAGAACCAACTCTGTGACCCAACTCTCAGTGAAGAACCATATGAGGCTCACACTTCTGTGTAACACAACTATCTTCCTAATTTCATACCTTTGAAACTAATTACTTTATAATTTTTATAATTTATATATCATTGGTCTCACCTAATAATTCCAAGTACTTCAACTCCACTGCTCCCTATCCCTAACCTACAGCTACGTGGAAATCTTGAAAGTATGGCCTACTATATATTTTATTTTAAATACCTGTCACAGTGATGATACATGGTTCCTGCCTTGACTTAATATAATTCTTTACAGTGTCTCAGGCTACCTTTTAAAGATATTTCTGGTTTTAACATTTAAATTATTGTATGCCACAGTGTGCAAAAAAGGTTGTCAAGCCAGTAACATGATTTGACTTCCTTTCTACCCATGAGCTTCCTTTACAGATTTAAGCAAAAATTTCTTAAATGAAGGGGATCCCTGAGTGGCTCAGCGGTTTGGTGCCTGCCTTCCACCCAGGGAGTGATCCTGGAGTCCTGGGATCAAGTCCCACGTTGGGCTCCCTGCATGGAGTCTGCTTCTCCCTCTGCCTGTGTGTCTCTGCCTCTTTCTCTCTCTCTCTCATGAATAAATAAATAAAATCTTAAAAAATTTTTTTTTCTTAAATGAAGTGCATGGATTTAAGCTGAAACATTTAGAAGAATACTCACGTTATAAAGCACAAGATTCACAGACTGGCCTGTAATGGCACAAAAATTTTCCACAAAATTCCGAGGTGCAGAAAATACCCGAAGAACTTTTTCATCTGCTCCAGATACAAACTGAAACCGATTAATCATTGCCAAACATTTCAGGTCATATCCATGTATCTGAGGCCGGGCAATTTCATGCCAAGTCACCTGGGTATTAAAATAGGATAAAAAAAAATGATCATACATTTCAAAATCAAATTCTATTTTTTTTTTAAAGATTTTATTTATTTATTCATGAGAGACAGAGACAGAGAGAGAGGGGCAGAGACACAGGCAGAGGGAAAAGCAGGCTCCATGCAGGGAGCCCAATGTGGGACTCCATCCTGGGACTCCAGGGTCATGCCCTGAGTCGAAGGCAGGTGCTTAACCACTGAGTCACCCAGACGTCCCTCAAATTCACTTCAACAAGCAAAATATGAGATGCAAAATCATTTATTATGCCATGGAAATATGACCACAGAGCAGATTCATCTCTGTTGTGTTTATTGATAATTCAATCCTTTTTCTTACTGAGTATATTCCCTTGTACAGATATGTGTATATATGTGCATATACATACACATACATAAGCTTGTTGATCCATTCACATACCAACAGACATTTAGGTTATTTCCAGTTTTTGTCTTTTTTTTTTTTTTTAAGATTATTTATTTATGAGAGAGAGAGAGAGAGAGAGAGAGAATGAGAGAGAGAGAGAGAGGCAGAGACACAGGCAGAGGGAGAAGCAGGCTCCATGCAGGGAGCCCGATGTGGGACTCGATCCTGGGACTCCGGGATCACACCTCGAGCCAAAGGGAGACCCTCAACCGCCAAGCCACCCAGGCATCCCTCCTGTTTTTGTCTTTTACTGAAAAAGCAGTTGTGAACATTTCTGTAGAAGCCTTTCTTTGCATGGCTGTGGGCTTCTGTTTTTCTTGGGTAAATACCACCTATAAGTAAAATGGCTAAATCATATCATAGATGCATATTTAAATTTTTAAGAAACTGCCAAATTATTTCCCAAAGACACTATATGTTTTACAATCCCATCCGCAGTATACGAGAGTGCCAGCCACCTGCTTCCTCACCAAAACTTGGTATAGTCAATCTTTTACTTTAATCATTCTCATAGGTGTGTAATGGTTCCTCACTGTAGTTTTACTCTGCATTTCCCTAATGACTATGGGGTTTCCTGTCCTAAGGACTTTCCTGTCCTTATCTCCTTATATCTTCTTTGGAGAAGTATCCGTTCAAATCTTTTGTCTTTTTTTTTTTTATAGGATTGTTTTGTTTTCCTATTACTGAGTTCTAAGGCATTCTTTATATACCCTGGATATAAATCTCTTACCAGAGATGTACTTGGTAAATACTTTCTCCCAGTTTGTGACTTGTCTTCTCATTTTCCTGACAGTATCTTTCAAGGAGCAAAAATTCTACATTTTGGTGAAGTCCAATTTATCCATTTTTTTAGTGGATGATTAATAAACAACAGCTGAACTATACCAGTAACAAGTCACAAAGAGCCATAGAAAAGCACTACAGGGATGCCTGGCTGGCTCAGCAGTTGAGCTTTTGCCTTTAGCTCAGGGCTTGATCCCAGGTCTGGGATCGAGTCCCACATTGGGCTCCCTGAGAGAAGCATGCTTCTCTGTCTGCCTATGTCTCTGCCTTTCTCTGTGTGTCTCTCATGAATAAATAAGTAAAATCTTATAAAAAAAAAAAAAAAAGAAAAAAGAAAGAAGAAAGCAAGCATTGTAAATCATTTGCTTTGTTTTTTAATGGACTCTAGTATTGCTCCCAATGTCTTCAACTCTATAATCTGAATCTACTACTGCTACTAAAGTACTAATATAAGTGGCAGATTTCGCTTGTTTTCAAGGACTGACTTGTAGTCAGTTCTAAGAATTTCTGTCAGAAATTGAAACTGAGGGGGCGCCTTGGTGGCTCAGTTGTTTAAGTGTCTGCCTTCAGCTCAGGTCATGATCCACCCTGAGTCAGGGTCCCTGCTCAGCAAGTAGTCTGCTTCCCCCTCTCCGTTTGCCCCTCCCCCCAACTCATGCTTATTCCCTCTTTCTCTCACAAATAAATAAAATCTTAAAAAAAAAAAGAAACAAACTGAAACTGAGTACACAGGCTTTCTCTACCACATAGCACAGTTCAACGGCTTGCCAGTGGTAAAGTCTGGTTGTAATTTTTTGAGCTCAGGACCAAGACTGAAAAGTTTATTAAACAAAAACTGCCCTCAATCACTATTACCTAACACTATATGACTTTAGAAATTAGTTTCCACTGCAAACTTGACAGCATTTCCTAATGAATTAAACCTAAAATTATAAGGGATAAGCTAACTTTTATGTAGAACAAAAGTAAATTTTGAAAATAACTGACATTTAAATTGTCTGAATTGTAAAAAGTATATGTATGTTTAAGTTCTTAAGAAAACATCAAACGTTTTCCTAACTGGCTGTATCGTTTTGCACTCCTATGAGCAAAGTATAAAAGCTTGGGCCACTCTGCATCCTTACCACCACTCCTTACTGTCAGTACTTTTCACTTCAGTCATTCTATATAGTCTGTAGAAGCACCATATCACGGTTTTCACTTGCATTTCCATAGTGCCTAACAATGTTGCCCCCCCTTTCACGTACTCAAGGATGTTTTTTAAAGTACATCAGTCAAGTAGGAAGACATTTCACCTGTGATTGGTCTTTTCTCTTCCATGGAGCAAAAAGTCGAGTTGTCTGGTCAGTACCAACAGTGATGATAAACTCTCCTTGAGGATCCCACATTAGGTCTTGGACACCATCAAAGTGTCCTGAAATAACAATCTCTGGAGTCCACTCTCTCTGCAATGAAAGTACTTATGACACATCAAAATAATCAGAGATCACTGCTACTCAAAATCAAGTCTGATAATGATAATGCCTTCTGCCCTCAGGGTTAATGATGGAAAACACTGATGTCCCCAAGCAAGGTGAAAAACTTAAAAAAAAACAAGGCATTAATCCTGGGAAATTCCCCTCAATTCAGCATTTATTGAATGCCTCCTAGAAGTTAGATGCTATTTAACTTTTCTCTGCCTCAAAGAATTCTTCTGGAAGAGTTACCAAGCTTGTACAGCTGTTATGAGAATTAAATGAATTTATATTTGTAAAATATGCAGAACAATGCTGGCACATAATACGTATTATTTGAGTATTTTTGTTTAAACTACGTAATAAAGAGTATTATGTAAAATGAATCAGTAGATTCTGAGTGTGTACCTGATTGGCTTAATTTTTTTTTAAGTTTTTAAAATTTATTTTAGAGACAGGAGACAGAAAGTATACGTGTACGAGAGAGAGGCAGAGGGAGAGGTACAAAGAATCTCAAGCACTCTGCACCGAGCGCTGAACTTGATGTGGGGCTCGATCTCAAGATACTGAAATTAGGATCTGAGCCTAAACCAAAAGTTGGACGCTTAACCAACTGCGCCACTCAGGTGCCCTGATAGCTTTCTTTATCAAGTAAAAGGAGCTACAGGTATATAGAATAGAGGCTGAATCGAACCTAGCTGGCCCACCTCTTGAGGGAGCCTGTACCAGCAACCATGTGAATAGAGACAATCAAGTATAGAAAATGTCCTATGTCTGGTCCACACAGCATCTTTTTGAACCACCTCAAGTAGTAGTAAAACAATCTTTAGAGTAAAATTAGACTTGTATAAATAGCTAAAATGTCATTCAAAGCAAAGTATGATGAAATCAGTCAGTGATTAAGTAAGCTATATTATTTTCTGGTAAAAAAAATTAAACAGCTGTGACTAAGAAATGCTATTAATTTTTTCTGTGACATAAAAACTGATTCTAAAGTTAGCACTAGGGATCCCTGGGTGGCGCAGCGGTTTAGCGCCTGCCTTTGGCCCGGGGCGTGATCCTGGAGACCCCGGATCGAATCCCACGTCGGGCTCCCGGTGCATGGAGCCTGCTTCTCCCTCTGCCTGTGTCTCTGCCTCTCTCTCTCTCTCTGTGTGTGTGTGTGTGTGTGACTATCATAAATAAATAAAAATTAAAAAAAATAAAAATAAAAATAAAAAATAAAGTTAGCACTAATGGGAGTTTTCAAAAAGCTCTGAACAAAGGGCAGCACTTTTGGACTATCAGTACAGTTTTCCACTATAACAGTCCTGAATTGCAGTGTTTGTTTTTAAAATCAGCCTCAATTGTAACAAATGTGCCACTCTGGTGTGGGAGGCTATGCACATGGGTGCAAGAGGGTGTACTGGAACTCTCTGTACTTTCTGCTCAATTTTTCTGTGAACCTAAAACTTCTTTAAAAATAAAGTCTATTTTTTTTAAAAGTCACTTTAAATACTTGGTAAGCAGTTATTATAAATCTGAAGTCAAATTATAAGTAAAGTTCCCTGAATTCTGTCCTCTGGCTTGAGGGTTTTTCCTTTCCTTTTTTTTTTTTTTTTTTACTCATCTGACACTTTTTTTTTCTATGAAGGCCCTCAAAAACTAAAACTGAAATATGACTCAAAGGAGCTTCAAGTTAAGAAAAAAATTTATCCTAAAAAATATCTTATTTAAAAGTGCCTTAGGGACACCTGGGTGACTCGGTTAAGCATCCTCCAACTCCTGATTTTGGCTCAGGTCATGATCTCCAGGTCATGGAATTAAGCCTCATTTTGGGCTTCACATTCAGCAAGGAGTCGCTTGGGATTCTCTTCTTCTCCCTCTGTCCCTCCCACACATGCATACACACGTGCACACGTGATCTCTCAAATAAATTTAAAAATCTAAAACAGGTGCCTTAGCTGATGATTCCCTGGTTCATTTCTTTTTTTTTTTTTCTTTTTTTTTTTTAGATTTTATGTTATTTATTCATGAGAGACAGAGAGAGGCAGAGACATAGAGGGAGAAGCAGGCTCCTGACGCAGGACTCAATCCCAGGACCCTGAGAGATCACTACCTGAGCCAAAGGCAGACACTCAACCACTGAGCCACCCAGGTGCCCAACCCTGGTTCATTTCATAGCAAAAACAATCCTTCTGTTTTTCAAAGTGTATGTATGGTTGATACACAATATTACATTAGTTTCAGGTGTATAACATAGTGATTCAATATATCTACACATAACACTATGCTCACCACTGATGTAGCTACTGTCACCATAAACACTATTATAATATCATGACTATAACTCCTTCTGCTGTGCCTTTTATTCCCATGACTTATTAATTCCATAATTGGAAGCCTGTACCTCCCATTCCCCTTCACCTACTTGGCCCAACTCCCACTCCTCTTTCCCCTCTAGCAACCATCAATTTGTTCTCTGTGTATATAGATCTGATTCCTTACTAGTAGAAACAATCTTGAAGGTCAACTCCAAATGGAAAATATAAGGGAAAGAGTAAATCACTCCATGCACTGAGAAGTCAAATCTTCATAGATGGATGATACAACTATTACAAAGGCCATCAACTAAAGGTTATACAAATCCATGAGCTTTTATTTTATAAAGTAAGCCATGAGATGCACATTCGGAATCTACTGACTCACATTTCACTCAATGCTCTTATTTCTCTCATTTATATACTTGGTTTGAAATATATTAACATACTGTCCCACATGTGTCAGACCCCATTTTTCATACTGTACAAATATGAACTCACTGAAGCACCACAAAAACCCTATTAGTAGGAGCTATTTCCATCCACATTTCACAGAGGAGGAACCGGAGACCAGAGGTCAGGCAATGGCCTTGAGGACACAGGGCCAGTAAATGCTGGGGCCAGGCTCTGAACCCAGGCTATCTAGTTCCTGGGCCTGTGCTCTTAGTTGCTGTTCCTGCAATTCCATTTCCCAAATCCAAAGAAGTAGACCAGAAGCAAGTGAGAAAGAGATGGAATAATGTTGAGAGGCAGACACATGATTAGAAGATTACTTCACTTTGAGAAGAGACTATTATTAAAAAAGATGTAAAAAGAGCCCAGGATTTAGAGGACCATTTAAAATTACACTTATCAACAGCCCTGTGAGCATTAATATATTCCTTCACAAAATAACAGATGGTCTTATTGCCCCTTTTGTCAATCATTCATCAGTAATTATCTATGGAGCACCCAACTGTCCATGGGCAGACCAAATTATGTTATTTCCTTTAAGAAGACAGGGAAGCTAAACATTTTAGGAAACATTCCCATGAAAAAATGCATAGAGTTTAAAGGCAGAGCTTAAAATTTATACAGCTTTCACTTATGTAGAAAGTTTACCTATGTGCAAATTTTAGAACCTCAACAATGAAAAAGCCTTAAGTTTCTTAGTATAACTACAGTATTAATGTCTATAATAAGAAATGATGTCATTTGAACTTAAGCACATCTACTATGTTTCTGCAAAGTATTATAAGTATGTAACATAACTTATCTAGGTTTCACTTCACTCTATTTGATCACAAATGCTTTATTTAAATATGCATAAATATGCTTTTCTTACTGGGTTAGCCACATTCTGTTTCCAAAGGTGTAATGCTCCATGGAAAGCATGAGCAATGATCATGGAGCCATCTTCATTGAACTGGCAATCATAAAATCCCAGAGTATTTCCACCTACTTCACCTACTCGGACCTATGCAATGATAGAAAATAGTATGTAATCAATATTCCACACTTCACACAGTAGAAATCACAGATTTCAGAGATTGTTATGTTCCCTCTTATTTAGCATATATAAAGGGTAAACATTTGCATCTCCAGGAATACAGACTTGGGAGTTAACTACTGTTTATTAAACCCAATTTCTTGTTCCTTAAATATTCACATTTTTACCTGTTCTAGCCAAACTCCTGACTCTTCATCTGGAGCCCAGAGGATCATGGTTTTATCCATTGAGGCAGACAACAATCTCATTGGCTGCTGGAGAATACCATCTAAAGAATAAAAGCAAATGCTTTAAAGTGACCAACAAGCATTATGTTTGTAGATTACCAGAAAAACATGATATGAGTACTGCGAGAACATTCACTTGCAGCATTGCTATAGCCAAACTTTGGAAACACTACATAAGTCTACTATTAGAAGAACAGGGGCAGCCCTGGTGGCACAGCGGTTTGGCGCCGCCTGCAGCCTGGGGTGTGATCCTGGAGACCTGGGATCAAGTCCCACATCGGGCTCCCTGCATGGAGCCTGCTTCTCCCTCTCCCTCTGCCTGTGTCTCTGCCTCTCTCTCTGTGTCAATAAATTAAAAAAAAAAAAAATAAATAAAATAAATAAAATAATAAAATAAAATAAAATAAAATAAATAAAATAAAATAAAATAAAATAAAATAAAAATAAAATAAAATAAAATAAATAAAATAAAATAAAAACAGATGAATGAGTTGTGGTATATTTAGATAATGGAGTATTATACTTTAATAAAAATTAGAGCGATATGAATCAACAAGAATATATCTCCAAACATGTCAAGTTAAAAGGCAAGTTGTAAGAGGAGAGTATATATTGATGCCAGGTATTAACAGCTGTAAAACAATACTGTTTGGGGCTACATAAATGTGTAGCGTAAGTATAAAAATACTCATGACAATGATATGCAGTGAATTCAGTCCTGTAGTTGCCCTAAGAGAAGAACGGAGGGGGAAAAGGTTCAGGAAAGAATACACAGGGTTCTCTTGATACCAATAATATACATATATTTTAAACTACAACAAATACAGCAATATTTGGCAAACATGGCAATACTAATATAACAATATTAATAGCAATTGAATGGTGATTACATTCATATTCGTTATTCATATTTTCTATTCTTGTCTTGGGGAATAAGCTGGGGGAAGAATGTGAGGCTTATGGTTTATTCAGCTCTACACCACAGCGCCAGCTTCAGTATGCAAACATCACTTCACAAATGGAGATTGAGGGCAAAAGAAAGGGACAGAGAGTCTTATCTTTTCATATATGTACCCCAGTATTATGCCAAGTTTTATATTTCCAGGGACAAAGGTTCCAGTGAAGTTGGAAGTTGGCTTAAAAGTCAATTTCTCAAAAAAAAAAAAAAAAAAGCCAATTTCTCTTAATATCCCATAATGACTAGATGAAAAGTTTTAAGAGACTTAAAATGGGAGTGGTGGTTTCAGCATCAGGGCAGCATTCACACTTCTCCCACTCAGGAGTTTAAGTTTCAACGGAATTGAGTGTCCAGCAGAACATGTCCAACAGCTGCAGTTTTATACTTTGCCAACTTAAAAATGTAGTTCAGGGAATCCCTAGATGGCTCAGCAGTTTAGCGCCTGCCTTCAGCCCAGGGCGTGGTCCTGGAGTCCTGGGATCGAGTCCCACATCAGGCTCCCTGCATGGAGCCTGCTTCTCCCTCTGCCTATGTCTCTGCCTCTCTCTCTCGCTCTCTCTGTGTGTCTCTCATGAATAAATAAAATCTTTAAAAAAAAATGTATTTCAGATTTTTTTTTAATTTTTTTTTTTTTAAGATTTTAAGTAACTTCTACACTCAGCATGGGGCCCAAACTTACAACCTCAAGATCAAGAATTGCATGCTCTACTGACTGAGTCAGCCAGGCTCCTCATTTGAGATTTTTAATCACACTGGGGGCGGGGGGCGGGGGGGGGGGAGTAAAAAGCCACCACTTCATTCTGTACATGAGATTTACCTGAAATGAGAGATATGTATATGGTTTTTCCCCTACCTTTGTAGAACGAAGGCTGCCAATGAACTGCATTTACCCAGTTTTCATGACCAGCCAGTACAGTCTCCAGAGTAATTGCAAACGCTATTTTAACACCTATAACAAAAACAATGACATTTTCTTTTCTCAAAGCCCTTCTAAAAAGAATTTTTAAAACCAAATTGTACAATTACATACCCTCCTTCAAAAATCTGAACATGATTTAGATTCAACAAAAAATAAATTAATTTCATCCACTGTTCAAAATTACAAAGAAAAAAGTTCTAAAGACATATAAATTTTTCTCTCAAGTTTTTCTATCTAATCATAAATACATGCTAAGGAATATGTTCAATTTTAAAAGTGTTCAGGAACAACTACTCTTACATTGCAATTAAAAAGCAAAACCAGACATGTCAGCTTTCCTTGCTCTCCACACTATCAATGTGTAATAACCTAATACTATTTTTAAGAAACTTAGCTTAAATACAGAAATAGAGGAAGTCAAATCAGTTTTGTGACTTTTCAAATAAAATAATTGATAAAAATATCACAAAAATTTCCTACTTGGGATTAGCTAGCTACTCATAACACACTGATTAGGATTTTTTGGTTCTCCCCATAAAACGATGCTACAAAATCCCAACCCTAATGGGCTTTAAAAAATAGAGTAATAACAAAGAAGAGTATTCCTAGGTAAACAATGCTCACTGAGGGCTAACTTTATAATTTAGTTGAACACTAAAAAATATTTCCTTCAAATACAACATTCCAGCAGGATATATCATGCAGGGGGACTGTTCTGACTCCAGACAGTAAGAAAATCAGAATTACATATAACCACTGAAGTATAGTGCTTTGGCATGTCTCTTATTCAGTAAAGGTATAGATAATTCTCTTTATTCCTTTAGATCTTCCTATGCTAATGCTGAAAATTTGGCATCATTTTATAAATTAATTTACTAAGAAAATATTAAACATTTTCAGCAATTTTTAAAAATCTTACTAATATGGTTAGGAAGAAAAATAAATCTCATATATGAAAAATAAATCCTCAAATAAAACCTTTTTTTAAAAAAAATGTACAGACAGTGGCTTCTGGTCAGCGTGGCTGTGTGTGCGGTGTCTGGTCTCCAAGTTTCCCACTTTCCAGGTAACATATGGCTAAAAGCTTACGGAGTAAGTGGAAAAGGAAGATGCATGCGGAAAAGAGAAAAAAGAATGCCCCAAAGGAACTCAGCAAACTTAAAAAAGTATTCTTAAAATAGATAGTGATGTTTTAATGAAAGATGTTCAAGAGATAGCAACTGTGGTGGTACCCAAACATTGTCAAGAGCAAATTCAGTGTGTAGTACAAGATGAAAAAAGATGACATGAAAATAAACTGAAATTAAGAGAAACAAAAAGAGCCTTCTAAACCAGCATGGACAGTATCCCATATAGATGAACCAAAGGCAAAGGAAAAGGCTGAAGGTAAAGCAAGAAAAAGGGAAGGGGAAAAGCAAAGCCAAAGCAGCAAAGGCAGCAAAGGGTTTGGCTTGGTAGGCTCTTAAACACCTGAAAAATCCTACGCGGGACTGGTCTTTGATTAGAATGTGTACACGGATTTCAGCTTCACCAAATGAAAACTTGGTTTTCATATTTAACTTGGCCTTGCTCTTCAATTCAAACCCAAATTAACTCCACAAATTAGTTTTGGGAGCTTGAATAACATTTTTTTTTGATGAATGAAAAAATAAAAAATAAAAATAAAAATTTAAAATGTATAGTATCAGTTTCAGGTAGGGATCTGATACTTCTGAAAGAATAACCTTCACACAGGTGTGTAGTGAAACAGATGAATGAGCTAGGAAGCTGTTACATTAAATATTTTCATTATTACTCACTTCCATCTTCTATTGTAAAAGTATTTTCCTTCAGTTTTATATTATCATCATCTTGAGTTTCTAAAGATGTCGACTTTATATACAGCTTCCATATTCGTATCAGGCAATCTTGTGAACAGCTTGCTAGGAAAAGATCTCTACCTAATAAAACAACAAATGTTATGTATTTTTAAACATTATATTCTTAAATTTAGTTATAAGATTTTTCTCCTGCACAATATGGTGATCTCTAGATTTCCTGAAAAACTGAGACTTTGCTTCCCTACTCTTCGTTCATTTGACCTATAATCTTTTTAGTAACATTAGCAAATATACATACAATGCTAATAAATGGTTACAACATGCAGCATTCTTATACAGTCCGTAAGATTCTACAAAGAACTCAAGAAATGTCTGCATGGGTAATAGTCAGCTAGTGTCCTGTTTAAAACATCAATTAATTTCACCCTCTATCACCCCAATTAATAGATAACAAAGGGGTAAGTATCTTCTAATAGGGACAATAGAAAAATATCGTGTAAAAAGAAAACATTAAATGAAACGTAAGAAGCTCCTTTTCTGAAAGATCCACACACTTGCCCCATCATATGTACTTCAGCAAGATTTCATACTGACCAAAGGTTGCCCATTCCACGCCTCTTATCCAATCCTCATGTCCACAGAGAAAAAGCACTTTCTGAAACTAGTAAGATAACAAAAATCATCAGGCTTGAAGTGAGAATTTAGTATTTTCATGTATATCAGTGATTTCATTTGGGATCACAGCCAGTCCTAACACACCTAATGTTTTTTTTTGTTTTTAAACTGGGAACACTATCTGATCAGATAGAAGATAGAGGTCTCACTTGGGAATGAAAAAAATCTCATAATCATTTAACTCATCCAGGTAGATAAGATAGTATCTATAGACCTTAAATACTCTAAATGTTTTCCAGATAAACTGACATGCGCTGTCCTATAGAAAAAAGTTGGTTGGCTGGACATTCACAACCATTGTAAACTTTCTTATAGAATGCAAAGAAACAGGTATTTCCATTATTAAATAAATAAGCCTGAAGTTAATCTCTTTTCTGCAACTTCCCTCCTCTAATTTAACCACTCAATGTATAGGTAAAGCTCAGAACAACAAATAAACACCGCCAGGGGAATTTCACCATAAGTTATACTTTATTTAAAATTTACAGAAAAAGGGATCCCTGGGTGGCGCAGCGGTTTGGCGCCTGCCTTTGGCCCAGGGCGCGATCCTGGAGACCCGGGATCGAATCCCACGTCAGGCTCCCGGTGCATGGAGCCTGCTTCTCCCTCTGCCTGTGTCTCTGCCTCTCTCTCTCTCTCTGTATGACTATCGTAAATAAATTAAAAAAAAAATTTTTTTTTAAAAATAAAATAAAAAAATAAAATTTACAGAAAAAGAAAAAAGAAAACGAAAATCTACTACCCCACATCTTCCTCCTGTCCTTCCCCCATCCAATGACCTGTTTCTCACCTAACAACTCTGGACCACATGGCCAAGGCAGCACTTACTTGGGTGTTCACAGTGTAAAGCTGTCTTAAGAGAGGACTGTCAAAAAAGATTCTCCTATTGGATTATTTTGGTTTAGATTAGAACAACCCTAAAATTCTACAATCTGGAAATAGTCTGTTTTAAGATGTATGATTAAGCAGAACATTAATTCTAGTATCTTAATGAAATCATTAATTACCTGGTCATTTTGTTGAACGAATAAGTGAATCTTGCAGTCATCATCACCACATGCTAATATTGGTACTGGAAGAATAAAAAAGCTTTACTGTAAATGTTCCATCACATGTTATTATCACCAATTTTCTTTACCCAGTAAAGAATGCAGGCTTCTATTTTCCACACCCTGAACAAATAAATTGAAAGTCCTCAATAAATGTCAATAAGAATAAAATGAACACTCTAAAATGTTCTATTAAATGGTTCCTTGGCAAAGAATGACTACTAATTAACCGAGAGTCCTTTCCTCCATCATGTGTCATTTATGATAGAATTAGTGGTGAAAAGAGAAACACAAGAAGCAAGTTGGGAGCATTTCATCAAGCCAACCAGAAGATTAATCCAAAAAGTTGTTAGCCCAACTGAGTAAGAAAATATAAGAGCTATGAGCCTAGCATCACAGCTAATGCACAAAAACTTAAGGGTATGTTTGTTACTTGAAGCACCTTACATTTTGTTTGAGAATTCAACAGTAAAACCAAATTCATAAAGCATGTAGAGAACAAAGTAAAAGGGCATTGTAATTAAGGGCATGTAATTATTATGCAATTTAAAGTTGCTAAGAATAAAAAAATAAAAAAAATAAAGTTGCTAAAAGAGTAGATCTTAAAAGTTCTCATCACAAGGAAAAAAATTCTGTAACTATGTATGGTCAGGGACGTTAATCACTTACTGTACTGACATTCATTTCTCAACATATAAAAAGATTGAATCATGTTGTACACTTAAAACTAATATATCACTTATACCTCAATTTGTTAAAAAAAAAAAGCACATGGTTAAAATGCTATGAAAGATGAGGCTATAAAAAATTAATTCATTTTACCAAAGGACAGCAGATAAAATGACTTCTTCTAAGTAAATGTAAATATAAGTGTGTTTTTCAAAGATTTTCTCAGTTTAAATCAAGCAAAAAACAAACTCCAGTCACATGACTTCAGCGTGGATGGGAAGAAAACTAAATTCTATGTTATAAAGCCAGAATGTGTGAATTCCTCCTACTGGGAAGCCCTCACACAAAATGGGAGCATCACATGAAACCGCAGAGTAGCAGTTCCTGCTACAGAGGGCACCAGAGGCTGGCAGTTTCCAGGCCTGCCTTTCTGCGCTAGCTATGTTCTCCAGGCAACTGAGATGGTAGAGATGGACCGACTCACAGGCCATAAACTTTGTGGAGGATAATCAAAGGTACAGACAGATGGGTTTCAGAGTAAAAGGGAAAGTTTCCTATTGGGAAATTTTAAGTGGTCTCAGGCAAATAGTCATTACGCAAGATGTGAAAAGGCTCTCATCTTCACAGATTCATAGGGTCCATCTTCAGTATTTTTTCAACTTATCCTAGACCTTCACCTTCAGAGAGTTAATTTCCCCAAATAAGACCTATAAATGTTGATATTTGATAGATAACAGTATCAATACCAAGTACATATTAAGTGACTTAAATTTTCAACAGTTATCAAAATTCTTAGCAGCTTCCCTTAATTTTATGAACAAAGATCATTTGAATATTGAAAACCAAAGTAAACTTCTAGTCATAGCATAAGGTACATAGTAGTAAAATCACTGTTTCAGGTGTATACCTGAAACTAACGTTAAAATTTTGTCAACTATACTTTAATTCTTTAAAAAAGTATATTACCCATGTTTCAACTTGTTTCATGAACACTTAGATAAGAAATTAAGACCCAATGTTTCTTTTAGGTTCTGCTTGTATGGAGATAAAAATATACTGTTTTAATGTGTATTCAGCAGGGTACTCACCATTAGTATTAGGCAAATAAGATAAAGAGAGGGCCAGAGTGAATCCATTTCCAAAGTTCAAGGTCTGAAGGCACATTACTAAGAAATAATAAAAAAAAATCATTAACAACTAACTCTGAGCTTATCTACCTGAAAAGGTAGAGTAGCATCATTGCAGCCCTGGGTGCAGGATAGGATGAGAGAGGTCAATCCTGGGACCCCAGTGACCATGTCAATTTAAATGATCAACTTTAAAAAAATGTATTTAAATTCAATTAATTAACATATTACTGGTTTCAGAGGTAGAGGTCAGTGATTCATCAGTCTTATATAATACCCAGCACTCATTACATCACATGCCCTCCTTAATGTTCACCACTATATGATCAGCTTTTAACAACATTACAGAGAACAAAAGGACTTAAAACACTTGAAAATGGTATGTGTGTTCTTCTGTCATTCATTTGACAATTACTACTTCGTTTGGATTATAATGTCTCTAAACCTACCTTCTGAACCCTTTATAGACCATATTCGAACGGTAGAATCGGAAGCTGCAGAAACTATCAATGTATGTAATTCAACATCTGATGCCCTCCTCTGGTAAAGAGCATGCACTGCATAAACAGGTCCTTCATGGCCTTGAAGATGGATAGCTTTTAAAAGCTGTATCAGAAAGAATTGACAAAAATATGTGATAAAAAAGGAATTAAGAGTTCCATCTTTATTCAACTAAAATCACAGAATTAAAGGTACAGTTAAAATGCCTGACACAGAAATACATTCTTTCAAGTTGAAGAGAATGTAAACTTCAGAGATGGTCTGACCACAGTAAGGACACATAGACCTACACAGTCTTTGACACAGCAGTTTCCCATCTAAGAATCTACTCTGAGGGCAGCCCCAGTGACCCAGCGGTTTAGTGCCGCCTTCAGCCCAGGGCGTGATCCGTGAGACCGGGGATCAAGTCCCATGTCAGGTTCCCTGCATGGAGCCTGCTTCTCCCTCTGCCTGTGTCTCTGCCTCTCTGTCTCTCATGAATAAATAAAATCTTAAAAAAAAAAAAAAAAAAAAACTACTCTGAGATGCTACCTACATTAGTGTAACAAATAATAAAAGACAAATGCAGAAAGACATTCATCCACACTCTATAATAGTGAAAAATTCCAATCAACTTAAAATTTCTAAAAGGAATGGGTTAAATTATCATAGGCATACACTGTAGCCAATAAAAAAGATAACAGAGAAAGAATCACAACATGGATATTTTTGAAGACTACAGCTAGCTTTGTGGAGTGTTCCTTCTTTTGTAATGTGATATTTCCTAATGATATTATATTCTGGTTATACATTTTGACATCATTTCTATCCACTAGCATTACATTAGACAATACATTTATGTCACTCAGTCCCAATTTTAGTGATGTTAACTTTGGTATTGTAGTAGAGGTAGTGTCTGCCAGGTTTTTTCACTGTGAAGTTAATTTTTTTGGTGATACTATGTGAGATCATACTTTGGAATTGGATATTCTATTCTCCATCTAACTTTTACCAAGTACTTTTAGCATACACTCATGATACTTGCCTGAATCCAGTACAGCGAGAACATGAAAAAAATCACAAATGGAACTAGGAAATCCCATCTACCTGCCTGCCATGCAAGATTATTCCCTGTGCTATCATTTCTGCTATTTTAGGTATACTTTTTAGAGTTCGAAATGTGTGAGATGTCTTCTATAATCTGCTGTCTACTGAAATAGAGAAGCCCCTTCAACTCCTGCTCAGTTGTTTTCTGAATTAAGCAAAACTCTGGCACTCAAGAAGATGATTAATAGTTATGTATTAGGATCTGTACGTTAACTTAGTATAATCATTGACCTTGGGCTTCTTTAAAAACTCATTTTTAAAAACTCAAGTACAGTATAATCTCTTTTAAAGATTTTTTTTTTTTTACTCATGATAGAGAAAGGGGGGGGGGCAGAGACACAGGCAGAGGGAGAAGCAGGCTCCATGCCAGGAGCCCGATGCGGGACTCAATCGCGGGACTCAATCCCGGGACTCCAGGATCACACCCTGGGCCAAAGGCAGGCACTAAACTGCTGAGCCACCCAGGGATCCCCAGTATAATCTCTTTTATGTATAATTATACACACAAAATAGACACCTAGAATAATGGTCATTAGAATGTTATTAATTCTGTTGAGGTTTCATAATCAGTTTTCCTTTTTTATACTTTTCTGTATTTAAACCTTTTTTACATGAGTCTATATCATTATTCCCTAAAAAATTAAACCTTTTGAAATTACTCAGTTTACATTTTTAAGCAGGATTATATGTCTAGCATCAGATAATTTGAAAAACAAAAGAAACCTCTCAAGTGCACCAGCTTGTTAATAAACAATACTTAATCACTGGAGGTGCAAATCTCTCATTATACTAGATTAGGATTATTTCCTTTTATCAGAAGTCAAAGTGTGTTGAGCACCTGTATACATGGAAATGCATATGAAAAGGAACCTGTAAGCCTCTTAAGGTTTCCATGTGTGGACCTTTCCCCCTAAATCCTCTTATTTCATTCATCCCCTTTTAGGAGTTTAACCCTCCTGCTGTCCTCTACCCTATCTGGCCTCACATTCTCTTCTGGCTTCTAAGTTTGCTGTCTGCCATCAGATACTTGCTCAAGTACAGTCCTCTCTATTGACAGAAGTATAAGGCAACACTGAGGAAAGAGTTTTGCAAGTATCACCTCAAAAATCTCAAAAATGAGTGCTCAAATCAATCTTTGGATTCCTCTGCCAAGATCAATCCAAACAGGAGTTAAGTTTGCTACACCCCTCTCTGCTCTTATTTCAAGTCTAGGTGCTTCCAAAATCGCCACCTCCACACCTGTCCTCTCCTTCTGAGGACAAATCTGGATATCTGGCCAGTAATTCAAGTGACATGTCTACAAGTAAATTCCACATCTTCCTTCCTACTTCCCTATTTTTTCTTTGTAGAAGCACCTTTCTTCCAGGGCCTGAAAACAGAATCCCACTATTTTTAATTACTCACTCCCCTGATACCAGCTCCTACCCCTTTGATAACTAGTCAATGTCAAAATCATCTTCCCTTCAAAAACGCATCCCACCACTTTCTTCATATTTTTTCCTACTTTAATTTGGCACACTGCTGTCAGATTAGTCTTCTTTGACATTCATATTCTTCTGCTTAGAAATCATCAATGACTACCAAATGCCTGCTAATAAAGCAAACTCTTAAAAGATGATATTCACATTCCCACACGATCTTCTATTGTACTTTACTGCCTACAATGAATTGCCTAGGAACGTTTCCAAAACTATGTCATTCAGAGTTACAAAGAATGCTAAGAGATTAAAAGAAAAAATAAAAAGTTCAGATTTGAAAGAAGTATGGCAAATCTAGTTAAACGAAGATACATTCGTCCATGTCAGAACTCTGCAGGGTTTTCACTATACTCATGGTACGCTGGGACTCTCTAAAAAAGGTATAGGATTTATACCTTAGGTATATATACCAAAAGTATTTCCCAACCTTGATTTGCCAGACTCCTTTTTTCATGTTAACTTCTTGAAAGATGAATAATTCTCTGAATAAACTTTAGAGAATCCTGTCCTAAAGACATCTTAGGCTTGGTTAAGACTGGATACTTCTGAGCATGCAATCTCCTTTATCACCTGAGCTTTGTTATTTATGCCAGTCTTCCTACCAGGACTTCTAGCCCCTTAAATTCCTCCCAAGGAAATTATCCCACACTTTAAGACCCAACTCAAAGGCCACTTCTTAAAACTCCACTGCACTGGGATCCCTGGGTGGCTCAGCCATTTGGCGCCTGCCTTCAGCCCAGGGAGTGGCCCTGGAGTCCCGGGATCAAGTCCCGCCATCAGGCTCCCTGCATGGAGCCTGCTTCTCCCTCTGTCTGTGTCTCTGACTCTCTCTCTCTTTCTCATGAATAAATAAATAAAATCTTTAAAAAAAAAAAAAAACTCTACTGCACTCAGCACCATGGTTGTGGTACAGCAATTCAGAGCACATATTCATGGAGCTACCCTTGTACTTTAGCTATTTAAGTATGTTTTGCCTTCAAAACCATGTACATGAATTATAAACAGGATTCTATCTCATCTTCATCTTCTGCACGACAGATGTCCAAATGTCTAACATGCTTTTAATCTTTGCTTACAACTAGAAATGACCTAGTGTTCATCAATAGAGATCCATCCATACTCAGCACTGCATATCATAACATTACTCAGAATTATGTAAAGCTATAATCCACATGGTAACAGCTGTCCTATGAACATTGGCAGTATTAATTTTTGCTATCACTGAAAACAGAACAGCCCCTGTAAGTGCAGTCTGAAAACTATTCCAAAATGATGGGAATTTAACAGAAATGATTAACAGTCATATGAATACAAGAGAAAATTTAGAGGAAAGACACAGGGCATGTGAAGTATAGAAAATATAGGATCTGGATTACTGATAAAAATGAAGCAACTTCATAAAAGAACACAGTAGCTATAAGGAAAAGAGCTGAAAAATAAAAGCAGATATAAGTCATTTCTTATAACTATAAACATGTCTACTCACCTGATTATTCTCTATTTCCCAGTGAATCACTTGATTATCAGATCCTCCAGAAACTAATTCAGTAGAAGGAGCTAGAAAAAATTATATTTCCATAAATATTTTTTTCCTAGCTATCTTGAAAATTTTCAAAGCTACAGAAAAGATACAAGAAAACTCATACGCCCTTTATCTAGACTCACCACTGTTCACATTTTGCCACATTTATGTAACATCTTTATCCATATATATATATATATACACACACATATATAAATATACATGGACCTCTTTGTTTATGACAAACCATTTAAAAATAAATTGCAGAGATGCCTGGTGGCTCAGCGGTTAAGGGTCTGCCTTCGGCTCAGGGCATGTTCCTGGAGTTCCAGGATCAAGTCTCACATAAGGCTCCCTGCATGAAGCCTGCTTCTCCCTCTGTCTACATCTCTGCCTCTCTCTCTGTGTCTCTCATAAATAAATAAAATATTTTTTAAAATTAAATAAATAAATAAAAATAAATTGCAGATATCAAGACCCCTGACTCTCAAAAACTTTATCATCTATCTTACTAGATTTGGAACATTGCCCTACATTCCTGCAATACAATTATTATATTCAACAGTTTTAACCGTTGATACAGTATCATTAATGTGACATACAGTCTATACTAAAATTGCCCCAAGTGGTTCCAGTACCGTCTTTTATAACTTTTTAAAATTCTGAATCTAGGGAAGCCTGGGTGGCTCAGTAGTTGAGCTTCTGCCTTCAGCACAGGGCGTGATCCTGGAGTTGCGAGATCGAGTCCCACATCAGGCTCCTGCAGGGAGCCTGCTTCTCCTCTGCCTATGTCTCTGCCTCTCTCTCTCTCTCTCTCATGAATAAATAAATATTTAAAAATAAAAATAAAATTCTGAATCTAGGGACCACACAGTATTTAGTTGTCATATCTTCTTAGTCTCCTGTAATCTAGAATAGTTTCCCAGTCCCCCCTTTTTGCAACAATGAGAAGTCTTAGCCAGTTGTTTTGAAGAATGACCCTCCATGAATATATCTGATTGTTTCCTCATGTAAGATTCAGTCTAAACACTTTTGGCAGGAATAACATATAAGACGTTATAGTCAGCTGCTGCTACCAAGTAAATGACCTATTTTTGAAATAAGACAAATATTTTAAAGTAGCTATTTTAACCACTTACAACTTCTTGTTGATAACAGAAGAAGCAACAACCAAAAGGGGAAGAAATAATCAAATAGAATTTTGATTTTTATTTTCCATTGGTTTGTTTCTTCTGGCCTATGTGCTAGATACTTAGGGGAAGCAGTTGGGGGATTGTCTAAAGGATATTAGATTTGTAGTCAGAAGTCCCAGGTTCATGTCCTAATTCTACTGCCAGCCAGCTGTGATTCTGGGCTTTCATCTCTTCATACATCACAGAAAATAAGCCATTTAACTACATGATTTGGGGAATTACTATAAGGTAGAGAAAAGTAATGTGTTAAAAATCAGTTTAAAAATATGAAACGGTGGGGCACCTAGGTAGCTCAGTGGTTGACTGTCTGCCTTTGTCTTAAGTCGTGATCCCAGGGTTCTGAGATTGAGTCTCACATCAGACTACCTGCAGGGAGCCTGCTTCTCCCTCTATGTCTCTGTCTTTCTCGCTGTGTCTTTCATGAATAAATAAAAAAATCCTTAAAAAAAATGATACAGGGCAGCCCCAATGGTGCAGCGGTTTAGTGCCGCCTGCAGCCTGGGGTGTTATACGGAGACTGAGTCCCACGTCAGGCTTCCTGTGTGGAGCCTGCTTCTCTCTCTGCCTGTGTCTCTGCCTCTCTCTCTCTCTCTCTCTCTCTGTGTGTGTGTGTGTGTGTGTGTGTGTGTGTCTCTATGAATAAATAAACAAAATCTTAAAAAAAAAAAGATATGGTATTTTTTATTTTTTTATTTTTAAGTAGGCTCCACAACCAACATGGGACTTGATCTCACAACCCTGAGATCAAGAGTCACATGCTCTACTGGCTGAGCCAACCAGGCACCCCTGAAAATATAAAATGGTATCATTAAAATTTTATATGTCACTAATACTTGGGTTAGAAAAAAATGTTAATTATTTGGTGATACAGCCTTCATCTTAGAGGAAATCAAATATAATACTTACAGATTACAGTGAAACACAAGCAATTCATTTTATGTAACCTCACTTTTAAAGGGAAGATAAAACACACAAGCCCAAATTAATATTTTATAATAAATCCCTATACTGAAATTCAAGGAGTCTTTGATGTCATTTGGTGGCAATTAATATAATTACCATTGTGCTTTAATATCTGCACCAACAGCCACTCTTTCTACTATTTAATGATTTTTACTGACCTAATGTGACTAATCTTGCATTACCAACTGGAGTAAGTAGCTTGCTAAATTTTTTTTTAATGTTAAGATACATTAAACAGATAAAGTTACGGCAAAGTCTTACTCGTTCAGGAAATTCTACATTTGCACATGGCTCAGAATGCTCTCAATAAAAGTTTATGGAAAATAAAATTAATTCAGAGTCCATAAGAATACCACAGGGGTGTGTGTGTATACATGATGTTTGAGGAAATTCCATAGGATTTCAGAAGCACCATTTTAAAACCAAAATGATAATTAAAAACTCTTTAGTCACAGAATCTTAGAGATAAAAGAGGCCTAGAGATAATCTAGTCCAGTAATTCTCAAATTTTCTGGTATCAATATTCCTTTACACCCTTAAAATTTTTTGAGAACCCAAAAAACTTTTCTTTATATGGACTATATGCACCAATATCAACCACATTAGAAAATAAACCAGAAATTTGAAAATTACTTTATTAGTTTATTTAAAATGCACCAATATCAACCACATTAGAAAATAAACCAGAAATTTGAAAATTACTTTATTAGTTTATTAAAAATGATGATGAGGGATCCCTGGGTGGCGTAGTGGTTTAGTGCCTGCCTTTGGCCCAGGGCGTGATCTTGGAGACCCGGGATCGAATCCCACGTCGGGCTCCCAGTGCATGGAGCCTGCTTCTCCCTCTGCCTATGTCTCTGCCTCTCTCTCTCTCTGTGTGACTATCATAAATAAAAATTAAAAATAAAATAAAATAAAATAAAATAATAAAAATAAAAATGATGATGAACTCCATCACGCTAACATAAAAAAACATCTGCAGGGAGTGATGGAGGGAATCTCTATATTTTCCAAAATAAAAAATGAAAAGAGAGGCACTATTTTATATTTCTGCAAATATGTTTAATATCTGTTTTTATTAGAATACAACTGGATTTTCATATCTGCTTCTGTATTAAATTTGTTGCAGGGGGATCCCTGGGTGGCTCAGCAGTTTAGCGCCTGCCTTTGACCCAGGGCATTGATCCTGGAGTCCCAGGATTGAGTCCCGCATCAGGCTCCTGGCATGGAGCCTGCTTCTCCCTCTGCCTGTATCTCTGCCCCTCTCTCTATGTCTATCATGAATGATGAATGAATGAATGAATGAATAAATAAATAAATAAAATCTTTTCAATAAATAAATAAATAAATCTGTTGCAGTATGCCACCATATACTTGAGACAGGATGAGAATGAAAGCTTTGAGTAACTTCTATTACTCTGAAAATAATTTTGACTTCTCAAGTGTTGCAAACCTCTAAGGTCACCTGATCAAGTCTAAGCATTTATTTTTTAGGTACTACTATGGTGTAAACTAGGGTGAACAGGGATGCAATGTCCCGCCTAAAAAAGCAATAGCTGGTATGTGGCAGAGATAGATCTCAAGCCAAATCCTCTGAATCCCAGTCCGTACTCCAACACAGGCCCTGTTTACAGGCTTTTAGGTCAAAAACTGTGGGTGATGGAGAGGGTCTAGCCATAGTCAGGGCTGCCTCATCCTGGGCACTGCTGTGTCATTCATAATTTCTATAAAGTACAGGTCAGCTGTTTCCCTGGGCATACCATTTTTCTTCTGCCTTCCAAATGCATATCAGATAAGCTAATGTTAAATTAAGACAAGTGATGAAAAGAAAAATAACTAACCATACATTATCAGAAAATAAGATCAGCATTAACAACCAGATTGATACTTACAACCATCTTGTTTACAAATCCACTGTATGCAATTGACTCGAGCAGTGTGACCATTCAGGTTGGTAACAACAACTCTTTTCTTTAGAGAAGAAAACATCAGTAAATTACAATTTATCCCATAGATGAATTAATAAATTAATAAAAGTCAGGTATCAGTGGTTTTGATGCTAATAAAAAGTTCAGGATTACTTCAAACTGAATCACCTTCCGTAATTTATAAACTTTAAATTATAACTCTCCATTCACTCCAACATGTGCCTGCCTTTTCCACCACTCCACACTCCCCTCTATGTCCTGTGCTCTTAGCACACGAGCTCCCAGGTCTTCATCTGCTAGCTCCTGTTAAACACCTCCATCCTCTCTACTGGAGAGCTTGTCTACATCCCAGGCTAGACAAGGTAACTCTTCCGTGAGCTCCCACAGGTCTACTTCTACCATGCTTACACCAACCCGAGAGCTGTATTGACCCAAAAAACCCTTCGATAGAGGAATTCATGATTACTGGATTCAAATTCATGGCTCAACTTTGCAGGTATTAGGTCCTTCAGCCCTAATGATACAAAGTTACCTAGCTATAACTAAGGTCCTCAGGTACCAGCTCCTTTCAAGGCCTACAGCCAAGTTCCCAGCAGCCCCTGAGACTGCTTTCATTTCAGCAAAATCCCTCCATACTTGGGCTTTCTTTACTTCTCGCACTGCTTAAGTTAACTCTGTGACTACAGTGCCTTCCTCTTTAAACTCCTTTCTCTACTGCCAATGACACTAGCTTTCTATCTGCTTATATGCCAACTGAAATTCTCAAGACTGACTAAAAAGTATGCACATGTAAATGTGCAAAAAACTAGTGTATTTCACACATAAATCACTTGAAATTGTGGAACAATTTATAGTATTTCACGGTCTCTCTCACCAGGTTAAGAATTCCCTGATGGGCAGGAATAATATGTTACCTCTTATCTTTGTGTCATCACCACCAGTCCAGGGCTAGCCCATAGAGGGTCCTCAAAAATTTGCTGAATATCACTCCAAAACTTTATTTTTGCATCTGACATGCTCTTATTTCAATAATTAATTAAGTGTCCAAACAGTAAATATTTAACAAAACAAACTACTTTTTAGGCCCAATATACTTTTTGGTAACTTAAAATTCCCTAACATGGCCACAAATACATTAATTGGCTGCAGACCCACAGGCTTCTCCAGCTGAGTCAGCCTTTGATTCGGTCAAGTTTACCCTTGGTCTTCATGCTTTCAGTTGCCAGTAAGAATGCATGACAATAATAGTAAAACAAAGAGATGGCAAGTAAGCTCAAGATACGGAAAATGAGGGTATCCCTGTGTGGCTTAGGGGTTTGGTCCCTGCCTTTGGCCCGGGGTGTGATCCTGGAGACCTGGGATAGAGTCCCACATCAGGCTCCCTGCATGGAGCCTGCTCCCCCTCTGCCTGTGTCTCTGCCTCTCTCTCTCTCTCTCTCTCTCTGTGTGTCTCTCATAAACAAATAAAATCTCAAAAAAAAATATGGAAAATGAATACAACCATTTCATATACAAATTTGAGTATAAAAAGGTTACGAGAATAATGGGATTTTTAATCAAATTAATAAGCAGTACGAGAAATACAAATAGCTATTTCCAGCAAGGCATTTTCCTTTCTATCACTTTGAGAGGCAACACTAACTGTATGGTCCAAAATTAGACAATGAGAATGCAATCACAACAACTCTGGGAAGAATGCAAAAACCGTCCCTTGAAAAGTTAGGTAAAACACCAAGAAAAAAAATCAACTGAATGGATGAAGTTCAGGGAATGTGCAAGTCCTGCCTTATAACTAAAGCTTAAGACTCCTAAACCCTTTGAAACCCTTTGACCTTTACCCCAATGATGCCTTCCTTAAAATGTCTATTCCCGGGCGGGGGGTTGGGGTGACTGGGTGAGTGGACACTGAGGGGGGCGCACTGGACGGGATGAGCACTGGGTGTTATGCTATATGTTGGCATATCGAGCTCCAATAAAAAAAAATATATATATATATATATATATATATATATATATATATATATATATATATATATAGGGGATCCCTGGGTGGCGCAGCGGTTTGGCGCCTGCCTTTGGCCCAGGGCGCGATCCTGTCTGGGGTCCTGGGATCGAGTCCCGCGCCGGGCTCCCTGCATGGAGCCTGCTTCTCCCTCTGCCTGTGTCTCTGCTCCTCTCTCTCTCTCTCTCTGTCCATCATGAATAAATAAATAAGTAAATAAATAAATCTTCTAAAAATATGTACATACACAAATAGTAATAAAAATAAATAAACATGAAAAAAAATGTCTATTTCCAAAGCCGAAATAAAAGCGGTATTTCTTTGAAACCCAATACAAGCCTATTAAATAATTCGGAAGGAAACACAGAAATGAGGAAGCCCCTGTGACCACGGCTTTCATCCAGACCTGAAGGGCAAATCCTTTAAAACTCAAACTGGTCAACACTACGACAGGTCCCAGGGAAGGCTGCAGAGGAGGCGGTGTTTCCGGCGGGGTTACGTGGGGCTGCCAGGCCAGGCCCCGGTGACCCCAGGCTGCCAGGCGAGCCAGCGGCCGAGTAAGTCCCGCGCGCCCGGCGGACACTGCCCGCACACAGCCTCCCCGCCGCTCGGAAGGAGCGTGGACGGCCGGCCCCGAGCGCACCCAGGGCGTCGGGCCACTTCTCTCACCTGAGGGTCATACAGCACCACGGACCAGGACGTGCCGAAGGCCAAGAGTCCTCCGGGCCCGGAGCTCCAGCTCAGGGCTCCCCGCACCCGGTTTGGGCAGCAAAACGCGTGGGATACCTCCAGCACCGGCGCTACCATGTCGCCGGCGGGGCCGCGGCCGCGAGCGGGGCGCGCACTTCCGGCCCCGGGGCGGAACTACTCGCCCGGCCGCCTCTCTCGCGGGTGCCGCTCGCCCCGCGTTTCCGAGGCGGCCGGGGCGGGGCGGGGCGGGCGGGCGGGGCGGGGCGGAGGCGGCCGCGCCCCCCGCCGGGCCCGCCCCCTGGCCCGGCGCCGGTGGTCCTCGCATCCCGACTGCGGCTCGCAGCTCCGTTCCGGGCGCTGACGCAGCGCGGGAGCACAGCCTCCGTCCCAGGGATGAGGGCCTCGCTGGAGTAGCTCGGGACCTTCCCCCAAGCCCCGGGGCCCGTGTGCCCCGGCTCGTGCGCTGCTCGGGAACGTCCCGCCGCCTCTCAGGGCCAGGCTCCCAGGGCGGGGTGGCGGGGCCTGAGGACACAGCCACAGCCGCGGAGGGCCCCCGGCTAGCTGGGGTCGGCGCCCGTAGCCCACTCTACCCGCGCCTTCGCCCCCCCCCCCCCCGGCTGCTGCGAGCCCCCTGGCACCGGCGAACAGACGGACACGCGGATCCGCCGGTCGCGGACGGGGTCCCGGGTCGCACTGCGCATGCCCCGCAGTCATGGCCGGCGGAGGCGGTGGTTCGCGGCGGCGCGCTGCGCGCGGCGGTAATTAGTAATTGTCCTCCTGCTCCCGGGAGGCGAGGCGAGGCGAGGCGCGTGGGGCGCGGCTTCCCCGTGGCTGCGCGGCCGAGGGGCAGCCGGGCCGATGAGACCGCCGCCTCTCCGCGCCCTGTAGAGGTTTCTCAGAGAGAAGCACGGACCGGTTCCGAACCCTCCGGACCGCCCGCGGGGCACCGAGCCGGCGCGGCCGCGGAGAGGTGAGTCCCGCGGCTTCGGGAGGGGACAGTGGAGGCCGGGCTTGCGCGGGCTTGCGCGGGCTTGCGCGGGCTTCGGGGTCCAGCGAAGGAGGGACTTTAGGAGGAAACAGTCTGTGCTGTTCGCCTCCCATTCGAAGAAGGTACTGTCGTGTTTAAAAATAAAAAGCCTTTGGAAGCCGTTTTGTGTCCTCTTTCCCCTTTTCTCCACTCGCCCCTTTTTCCAGGCCCTTGCCCTTCGGCTTTCTTTTTTCTTCCACACATGCTGATTTGCCGGGAAGATCGCCCGGTCCGCGACCGCCCTAAGCATCCTCCCTGGAGAAAAGCGTGGAGCTTCCCGCTGATCCATCCGTCTGTGTCCGTCCCCACCCACCCCGCTCCTTGCGCTCTCTCTCTCTCTCTCTCTCTCTCTCTCTCTCTCTCTCCCCCCTCTCTCCCCTACGAATGATTTCTTAATCTTTCTCTTCTGCATATTATTAACTGAATTACCAAAACTTCGGGCCCTGAAAATTCTTCTTTCAGGAGACTAGCCCTGTGGTGGTCATACTTCTATTTTCCAGGGCTCCCGGTATGATAAGCAGCAGTGTGCAACAAATGACAGTTATGGAGCACCTGCACAGGCATTCGTTCGCGTGGTGTCTCAAGTCATCCGTCACATATGTATCATTACCAGCTTTTCCTGGTGCAGGAAACAGCTGAAAGTCGTACATCTAGGTTGCCCCGTCCTTGCTTCCTAGCCCCGGAACCCAACCCCTAGCTTCTTCGGCTGAAGGCAGGTGAATTTGGTCACAATCACGTCCTTCGTTGGTGCTAGACATCTGCGGGGTCCTGAGATATCAGTTCATCCACTTATCTGGACTATAACTTCTGTATTTAACTGAGCTCTGTTTTTCAAGACTCACCTTGGTATTTTTATACATGTAAAATGGGCTTTTTAATTTATTTTTTTACTCTTTTAAAGGTCCTTATTTTTAAGTAATCTCTACACTCAGTGTGGGCTCAAACCTACAACCCCAATATCAGGACCCCCAAGCTCCGCTGACCGAGACAGCCAGGCACCCCAAGGCTCAACCTGATTCTTCTCTTTGGAGTGTAGACCTCTGGTTCCAAACACTATTGTGTGGATGAGTGATGATAGTCTGTGATAAAATTTTCACTGTTTTACAGCTACATAAGAATGATAGTTTTTTTTTTTTTTAAAGAAGTTTAATTTACTTCAAAGGGTATTATTTTGCAGTCATTCAAGAGAATGAGATCAATAGAAGTACCGACCCAAAAAGTGTCATTTGTTGAGTGGGGAAAAAGGATCCCGTTTGTGTGAAGGAAAAAGGACACATCTACTTGAGTATGCATAGAAAATATCCTAAGGGATATACAAGAGACTGGCAAAACTAGGTACCGTTGAGGAGTGGGATGGGGGGAAGAGGCCTCAAGTTGATTTGTACATAGTTAAAAAAAAGTTTCAAAGGTGAATTATTTTGATATTACCATTTCTACTATTTTGTATATTAAAAGATTATCCTATGAACAATGATGATGGGGGGCTAGTTGCGTTTTGTGTGAATCCTTCTTACCCGATGATCCCTTTTGAGGGTCCACAGAGCAGTAATTTGCCAAGTATGGCTGTGACCACATGAATATCCAATTTCTGAATTACTGTTAATTTGCAGTGCTAATTATGGTCTCAGCACTCAACTATCCTATAGTTGTTGCACGTGTTTTAGCAATGCAAGGGTAGAGGAGCCTAGGATTCTTCATATTTCCTTTATGTATATATGTAATTCTTTATATTTTCACATGTAGTACTACACAGTCACACTAAATGATGCTCTGTAAACCTTGATTAGTATTGATTTTCAGCCTAAGATTTCTTAATTTGTTTTAAAAGTGAAGTAAGAATATTTTTTTTTTTGTCTTCTCTAGGAAAGTGCAATGGCGAGGAATTTATCTGTAATCTTGATTCTGACCTTCACCCTGTCAGTCACAAATCCCCTTCATGAACTAGAACCAGCAACTGCTTTCCCTCAGACCACTGAGAAAATTATTACAAATTGGGAATCTGGCATTAACGTTGACTTGGCAGTTACCACACGACGACATCATCTACAGCAGCTTTTCCACCGCTATGGAGAAAATAATTCCTTGTCAGTTGAAGGATTCAGAAAATTGTTACAGAATATAGGCATAGATAAGGTTAAAAGAATCCATATACACCATGACCATGACCATCACTCCGACCATGATCACCACTCTCACCGTAATCATGCTGCTTCCAATAAAAATAATCGGAAAGCTCTTTGTCCAGACCATGAATCTGATAGTTTGGGTAAGGATCCCAGAAACAGCCAAGGGAAAGGATCTCACCGATCAGAGCATGCCAATGGTAAAAGGAATGTTTTAATCAAGGATGGTGTTACTGCTAGTGAAGTGACCTCAACTGTGTATAATGCTGTCTCTGAAGGAACTCACTTTCTAGAGACAATAGACACACCAAAACCTGGAAAACTTTTCCCCAAAGATGTGAGCAGTTCCACACCACCCAGTATCACAGAAAAAAGCCGAGTGAGCCGGTTGACCAGTAAGAAAACAAATGAATCTGTGAGTGAGCCCAGAAAAGGCTTTATGTATTCCAGAAACACAAATGAGAATACTCAGGAGGTAAGATGAATGCTTTTTGTTATGCCTGACTTGTTTGTCCATCACCTTTTATCTTTAGTTGCACGGAGTATGTAGTAAAAATAAAATGATGACATTATTGAAAAGAGACCTTATTTCTTCTTTCTCATCCAGACACTTGGCCCAAAGGCCTTTGTCCCTGCTATGTTGTAAACCTTTCTGATACAAAATTTGGGGGATCAGTAAGAATGTTGCTGGCAGGTGAAACTATTTTCTAGTATGATATTTAAAATGCATGTGGAAAGCAGTAATCAAGGTTAGTTTTGGATAAAGTCTTTAAAAGGTGAATATTGTTAATGAAAAGTAGAAAACGAGATAAAAAAAAAAAGCAGGAGTTAGAATCCCATGTTTTAGGGAAAGGTGTGGTTGAAGGCACAAAAGAAGGCATGAAGAACAATAGTGTTACCTTTTTGGAAGAGAAATCTCAATGACTTATGGAGTGCTGAAACTGGAGCAGCTACCAAGTATCATGCGCTGGACAATCTAAAAGTCTGGGCAGGGAGGTTCTGAATTCATGTGTTTTTCCTAGACTAGACATCCAGACTGTACACAGTTTTCCTTGGCTGAGAGATGTCAAGAACAAGGAATTAGTTGGTATGCATTAATAGGCAGAACTTAAAGAGTTCTTCATTCAAGTCATCTTAGGACTGTACCAATTCCTAAATAATCCTAATGGTCATTCCCATTGTGACACCGGTAATAAAGTTTTTCCTGAGTAGTTTTGGCCAAGAACTATGAGAATTTAAAATAACTTTACAGAAGATGAGAAACAGGTGCTACTGCCAATTTTTTTTTTTTTTTTTTTTTGGTAAAAAGGGGAGCTTAGATTCCCTAGAGGGGATTCTCTTCAAACTAAGCTTGTCATCTAATTAAGTTGTTGAAATAGCTGCCTGCTGGTACAAGTTTGTTTTATTAACCAGCCTTGCCCTCCACAAGAGTAATTTACCTAATTTAATATTCTCTCGTAGATATTTTGCCAGGTTTATAGAGTTTGCCAAGTGTACAGACCTGATCTAAGTATTGCAAGTACAGTCATTGCTGGAAGAGTGACGTGTCTTGGGCTTGTTTAGGCCACCACATAGCGTTGGTACTAAAACAACATATTTCTCAATCTCTAATGAACTCCATCTCAAAATTAAAGCTCATTTCCTTAATAGGTTTATACAATGAGTTAACAGGCTTGTGAATGTCCATTTATCCTCAAGGTTATTCCACTCGGGGCTTTCTGTCTAGATTAGTAGCAATTTAACTGCTTCCCCCAAGAAGAAACAGGCAGAAGAGCTGGGATATCACCATTGTGACATAGTATCTCAAGGGAACTTGAGGCAAGTTTCGAAGTACTCAAGACAAAAGTTGGTTTTAATGCATTAGCTTGAAAAAATCAAGTAGCTTCAGTATGGAAAGGGTGTTGGTTGTATCATCAGACAACTTTTTTGGATTGTCTAGTGAGAATGCTTCTTGGTAATTTTCACTGCTTTGTTTCTTGCAGTGTTTCAATGCATCAAAGTTGCTTACATCTCATGGCATGGGCATCCAGGCTATGCTGAATGCAACGGAG